AAGCAATATGACGTCGACGCTTTAATCTAACAGTATGTTTATAATTGCTTTTTAAAAGACAAAGCTCATCCCTATTTTCATAACTTTTTACTCTGTTAAAGTTACGTAAAGCATTTAAATATGCATGTTTTGCCTGCACACATTCTTGGTCAAACCAAACCTTATTTTTATCATTAAATGTATTACAAAAATCAACACTATTATTTACACAATAAGATTTACAAAACATAGGGCTAGCTACATCTTGTATCAGACAGGTAAAATCAGAAACTAGCGCATTTATAGATAATTTACTACAAATATCTACATTATTTAACAACGTATTAAAAACCGGCAGTTTAGTTATTAACTTTGCTCTGAATTCCTCCCTTAGGTTATTTGACCAAACATATTTGCAAAAATTTTCCTTGCATTGTTTTTTTTCAATATTTTGTGATTTATTACAAAATAAATTAAAAGAAATAGGACAGTGGTCACTCCATACGGTATAATCATGAACTGTAAAATTACTAATTCTGGAAAAATTACAATTCAAAGTGAGTAAGTAGTCAATAACAGACGCCCCCTGTCTCGAAATAAACGTAAAATTACCGTTACGATCGTGATCTATTCGACCGTTAATAATACGTAAACCTGTACTTTTACAAAATTCAATTAAACGATGACCAAAAGTGTTACACGTATTGTCAAGTGAGGCCCGAAACAGGGGTACATCTGGGTCATACACATCATAATCAATATCAATATTTAATGCATCACAAACAATGTAATCTTTTTTCGTACCAACTCTACTATTCCAGTCTCCAATTAAATACAGTTCTCCTTCCGTTTCAAATTCATACACATCGTTTTGAATGACGTTAAACAAATCGACATCACATACATTGTACGCTGGTGAATCTTCACACCATAAATAAATTCCACATATGTATATATCTCTTTCTAAAGTAAAAAAATGTTTATCAAGTTTAATCCATAAGATTGTATCAAAATGGTTACGCACTATTTCTATGCCAGTTTTTAACGATTCTCTATACAGTAAAGCGATCCCACCACTACACCTTCTAGAGTTCCGGTGTTGAAATTTTCTAAAATAATTATATGATACATAACCACTTAGATTAATATTTGAATTCACATTTGCCCAGGTTTCATATAAAAAGATAATACCAAATTGTTTTAAGATGTTAATAAAGTCATCGTCTTCTATTTTCTCAGCAGTCAGACCATTAACATTCCAGGAGAGAATTCCAAGGTTATCCTCATCGAATCCCTATCTTCGGTCGTCTCGCTGTGCTTTACCATCAATATACAATGTATCGTAAGATAACCAGGCCCGTTGTCCCTTCGTCCTAGCCTCCTTCATTTTCGGGATTAACGCTCTTCTCTTATCAATCACCTCCTTTGGGAACTGCTCGTGAACAAAAAACTTGGTATTGTCTAATGATTTCCAACTTTTACGAACCAGTTCTCTCTCTTTAAACAAATTAAATTTTGCCACTATTTTTCTGTCCCTTCCTCTTTGCCTTTCGCCCATCCTATGCACTCTTTCAAATTTCAATTGAGCTACTAAATCACTAGCAATTTTCATCTTTTCCACAAGAAATCCCCGCAATACTAACTCTGTATCTTCACTTTCCCCTTGGCGCGCCTCCTCAATATTTCCAAACACCAAGTTATTTCTCATTGATTGAGATTGCACATAGGTTAAATCATCAGCCAACTGTTTACTTCTTGATTCTAATTGTTCTACTTTTGATGAAAATAACCCTAAGTTGTAGTCAGTGCTTTCCGCCTTCTCTTCAATTTCATGTATTTTATCCATAGCCTTTTTATTTTGGTCATTTATACAAGTCCATAATTTAGCCAAATCCTTTTCAAAATTACACACTTTTTTTTCTAATGATTCTAATGTACATAATTTATGTTCAACTGACTCAAGGCGATTATTAATTTTATTTAGAATCTCCAGTAAATCGGAATTTGAAGGGTTTATACTAGCCATACCTGGATTGTTGTTTGCTACACTCACTTCATCCGTTTCAGAGCCTGAGTCTGTGCATGAATTCAATAATGTTTCTAAGTTCAAAGTTGTATTTGTGGCAAAATTATCCTCTTTATCAAAAAGGACACAGTTGGTTTCCTTTAAAATGTTACTAACCACAACTTCGTCTGGGGTAGACGTAAAGCGACCTGATTTTCGCTCACCGCCATTTTTCAAAGATCCATCACTGCACTTTCTTTTCTTTTTCTTATCCTTTTTACCAGTCATAACTCACAAACAGATAATCCAAAAACATTCAGCACAAAATAATACATTATCCTAGCAACAAAAATAACAAGATTGTTTCATGAAGATAACTTTTAATCCATTTTTTAATCCATTTTTTTCAGAGCGCACAAAACATGTCTAACCATTGATCACGTGACTTAAGCGTGGTGCCCTTTCTTTGGACGCCTTAAAAAAGAAAATATTACTGTAAAAAAAAATTATGTTTCTAAGATCAACATATACTAGTCAGAAAGATAACTCCAACACTAAATCACATTTTTTTTTTCAATATCTTAATTATCATCCTGTACTGTATATTTTAAATATAGAGCCACCTCAACAAAGTTCAGTTCAATGACTTTACATTACATCACAAAAATTATACATGTATGAAAGGGAAACTGGTACTTCTTTAAGGTCCTAAATGTGGTATACAAAACATGGTCTTTTTATCCCACAATTAATAGTAGATAAAGTCAGCAATTAATTTTTTAAGTAAATAATGACATGAAAATCAGCATCAATATTTTATTTTTACATCTTAAATGTTTTATCAATTGTTGTTGATATAAAAACATTTTTTAAAAAATCTTTCCCATGACAATGACCTGTGGTCTATACAATTCTTACTACCTTATTATAATTTAGTAAAAACGTTTTGAAGCAGTTTTTGCCAACGAAAAGATTAGGTTCCATCACGGATTTATATTACATGTAATATAAATACGTGGATCCATGAAAAATATTAAAACAATTAACTTACAAAAAATCATTACATTCTGTCCTGCTCCTACACAACAAGATGACCATATGCTTTTTTTTTAAACTAATTTATAACAATTATATTTTTCAAGTGTCGGGGTTATCTATGCGTCGGAGTTATCTCTCCGACCAGTACAATATTACAATTGCTACGTACTCAAGACCAACCAATATTCAAATAATGAAGCTATTTTTTTTTTAAAGATTTTAACATTTTCAACATGCCTTGATCTTGTTTAGAAATAGATAAATAAATACAACATGACCTATTTAGCTCATTAATCCCACAGCGACTCGACACATTGTTGGGGTAGTGCAAAAAGTAACTCTAGAAAAAATATACATACAAGTATATATACAGTTATTTTTCTAGAATTACTTTTTTATAGACAGTATTTTTTTCTAGAATAACTTTTTACACTACTGTATTCCAACACTGTGTCGAGACCCTCTGCTTATTCCCAGGAATATTTCAACCTACATTTAAACACCTGAAAAATTTGTTCAATTATAATGTATGTCAGGGCTACTAAAAGTTTTGTAGAAAAAAATCGCAACAGTCTAACAGTTTTCAGGATTATATTCTAAATGTAATAAAGGTTTTAATCAACATATGTACTGTACAGAGCATTGTCATGGCTATTGTTCATGTGTACGAAAAGCGCCAGTAGAAAGCATCTGCTCATAGTACACTATTGGGGTGCAAAATGTTAAATGATCGGTTACATTACATGTAGTTAAATCTCAATACATTTGTACTTTCGAATTCTTTTTTATCAACCTTTTTGGAAATGACTAACCATACTTGCCTATATTCTAATAGCCAAAAGCTATAGTTGCATGTGTGTCATATACGACTAGCGATATAAATTAACACATCATACATGTTGCCTCTATATGCAATTGTATCAAATATAAGATATATTCGAATTCACAGATTTCTGGCTGAGTCAAAGTGGTCATGTAGAGGTGTTTCGAATAATCGAAAGGTATCAAAGTATCCCTCATGTACGTACAACTCAATCAAACCAGGTCTACAATTTTCATGTCACTGTGTTGTTATTAATGCTGCCTATGGATCACTTTTTATTCCAGATTTTTTTTTATCTAACTTCCTAGCTTAGTCAAAACCTAGCTTGGACCTACTGTAGATATTGCGCGTCAGTAGTAGGATGAAAACATGGGTTTATAAGTGAAATAAATTAAAGAAAAGTAGGGCAGGTGTGTATTTATGCGAGACATGCTCAGTCTTGCTTAAAGTCTTATTGTAGTCTTTAGTTGTATGATTTAATTTTTTGAAAGCAATACAATGTGAATTTCGATTTGGTCTTGTTACTTGGGTGACGTAGTCTGGAAGGGGAATGACAACCTTATTTTGTATGAAGTTGTGAAGCGTAAAATTTAAGGGCTGATTTATGTATATTTGCTCTAGGATTCCCCATTTCAGAGAATCAAGCATGACAGAACCACTTAATGCACGAATGTAGTCCTTGGCCAAACGGGGAGCACGACATTGCACAGACTAAATCTGATCAACGAGAGCTCCAGCTTGGATCTGACACGGCTGTAATTAAGCCACGAACTCAAACTCCAAAACTTTATAACAAATTTACATTTGAAATTAAAGTAAATTTGTTATTTCACTAATATGAACGAAATGAATATACTATCATTATGTTATATTCACTTAATATAATTGACTGCACAAAAGAGAAATTTATCTAATCATTTAGATTAGATAAATTTCTCTTTTGTGCAGTCAATTATTCTTAACTACAAGACACGAACTCTAAAATTCAAAACTTAAACAAATATACATTTGAAATTAAAGTAAATTTGTTAAATTCTCTAATCAATATGATATTATGGATTGAAACGTATCTACAAATGACAAAGTGGAATAAGTGAAACGGCTGACATTTACAAGTCGGCATTTTAAACTATGTCGCGCTGATCGTCCATAATTTAGTTCGTGCCCAAATGTGTTTCACATGCGACTAAAAAAAGTTCAAGGACACTCGGCACTAGAAAAACAACGAATAATTAAGGATGTCTGGTGCAGCAAAGGCTGCTAGATATGGAACGAAGGCGAGATTTTCGCAAAATTCAATTTTAGTTACAGGAATGAAGTGGTATACTAGCAGATGTAAGTCTTGAGTGGGTAGTCTTTAAGAGTCAACTCGGCCCGGGTCAACTCGGCCCACAAAAAAAAAAAACAACATTATATACATATTAACTTTTTTCGATTACCTGCATGTTTTAAAGGCAAAAAAATGTTATCAATGATAAAATAAGAGATATCTGGTTTATTATTATATACAGATATAGGCTAATTGTATCGTAAATTGTAGATCTACCACGGATTTATAGGCTATATCCTGGATTCGACCCTGGGGTTTAAACCACAGGTGCTAGTGGCATTGATTTGACCTAAAATGTGTTTGACCTTGTTATTTATACAATAAAATATCAATATTTTAAAAAAAAAAATATTTTCTTTTCACTGTTATATTATTATAGACAAGGTATGCAACATTCAGGTACGAAAATTAATTTTCATTTTTCATTTTACATGTTACGTTAGGTCATAACAGATCTTTGCAAAATCGTGTAGCAAAAAAATTGACATTATACATCAGTTTAGTTCTAATGAATTTAAACAATTAAAACAGCGTTTTTTTACATTAATTTTGACCTATTTATGAACAAAACTAAAAAATAAATACCTTTTAACAAAATAATTGAACTGTCACATCCGAAAAGTCATGATTAAATCCTCTCATTTAATTAAATTCCTTGTACAGCCGATATACAAATGGCCGCCATACGGTGCGCGAAATCTGATTGGCTAATTCAAATGCAAGCGTTTAAATGAGTCCAGAAGTTTCTAACGGAATATTTTTTCAACGAAATAATTGCCCATGCACCATCAGTGTGTTCGTTCAAAAAATTGGAATCAATCTGTAAAACGCTTTACTTAACCAGTACCATATGGCCGATGAGCGAATTGACTGATATTTATATTTTATTTTTATTTGATAAGTACATTGTTTGAAAGTTTTTGTTAAAGATAGACCATGCAATAGAAAGAACAGAAGATAAGCTTTTGAATAAAACTTGAAAGGCAAGTCAACAGACATTTTTTTAATTTTTCCAAATGCTACGCGTTTCTAAGCAATAACTATTAGTCGCAGGCTTGACCAACATAAACCTATAACAAGCCTGTAACGTCTAATCTATTGGACTACCGATAAAGGTACATCGATCGATAATTTACAGGTGCTAAGCGTAAATGCCTGTTCGCAACGGATACCTACTTTACAAAATACCATATATAGCTTTTCCATTTATTATCCGATTTTGGAAATTTAAAGTTTATTTTGAAGAAAAATACTTGTTTAATTCAAATATCTAATTTATTTTTTAAAGGTACAGTGTATCTGTCCGTAACGATGATTAAAAAATTAACTTGACGAAATCCACGGTAAATTAACATTTTTTATATAAAAAGCAGGTATTTGAAATTTATTATTATGGTAACATAATAAATTCAATTTCAAAATAAAAAAGAAGCCGATGTTAATTATTTACAGATGATCAAAGATGCAATATTTAAGATTTATTGGGTTATGTAGTCAAATTTATTAACGCACAATTGTTTTACATGTAATGTTTTGCGGGCTTTACAATTCGCTCAACACGTGATGAAAATTTATTCTTTTTTTTTTAGTACAAAATATTGCCGAGATTGTCAATATTGCCATATTCATTGAATATTAAAATTTTATTCAATTGATTCATCATTTATATCATTATTATTTTTTGTAAATCTGTTTTCAAATGTCTGTGCAGTGAAGTAGACAATCATCGTAACAGTAAAATACTCTTGTGTGTCTGCTCGATTCCGGCCTTTTTAATGTCACTAGTATATCTTAATTATTCTTTTTATTTGAATGCCTGTAGAAAGATATTTCTGATATCTTTTAATGTAACGCTAGAAAAAAACAATAAAAATCTTAACAGTTTGGGTCATTAACTTTTGATTATTTTTTACACATCGCTTAAATTTCTTTGAAGTTTAATTACTTTTGAAGGGGGTTAATTACCAGCATTGTTCGCACGGGCCTTGAAAAGTCCTTGAATTTGGTTTCAACCTTGAAAAGTCCTTGAATTCAGGGTTGCCTTGAAAAAACACTAAAATTGTCCTTGAATTTCAGTAAACCCCCTTGAATTTCGGTAAAATGCCTTGAAAATCCAAAAGGGTATAAAACCTGTCGCTGTAAAGGTCAGGCAAATTTTCCGCTACAAATCGGACATGTGAACGTAGGCAGCCGATCGAGTGCGCCCATTTGGATCTGTTTTAGTAGTGTTTAGCCAGCGTTACGGTTTAGCACGGATTTTAACAAGCACTTGTGTATGACGTCATCGCAAATTGTGTACAAAATGTCAGCTTCCATTGCGAAGTAAAAAATGGGAAAATACACTAAGAAATGTACGTTTCATCTCAAATGGCTTCAACAATACAGTTGGGTAAAACAAGTTATACAAGACCCACGAAAAGCACAATGTACCATGTGTATGAAAACCATCGATTTGTCGCAAATGGGAGAGAGTGCATTAACATCGCATGCGAGGGGTGCAAAGCACCTAAAAAATCTAGACATCAAGTCGTCATTGTTGAAGTGTGGCCTTGCATTTGTCAGACAGGAAGGAACTATAAATGTCAAAACTGAAAATTGCAGTAGATCTGATTCAAATAATAACATTGTGCCATCCAAATCCACAACGGAAACTGTGCATGACATGACAATACCACCCCCACCCACTTCTAGTAATCAAGAAAATGTCCCCTGTGTATCCAGTAATCAAGCAGGAATATCTACGTTCATTTCAAAGGCTGAAAATTGTCTTGGTGATCTGCCATGGTCAAGCAGATGTCGAGAGAGGGTTCTCGATTAACAAGGAGATGACAGTAGAGAACTTAAAGCAACAGTCTCTTGTAGCTCAGAGGATAATCTGCGACCATGTAACACATGTTGGTGGTGTCCTGGAAGTGCCATTAACTCAGCAGCTAATGGCATCAGTCTCTGCTGCATCATCTAAATACAAGCTGTATTTAGATAAACAAAGAGAAGAGAAGATGGCAGCTGAGAGGCAATTGAAGAGGAAGTCTGACCTTGATGCTATTGAAGATCTCAAGAAAAAGAAGGCAAGACTTCAAACTGATATCACCATTCTAGAAGAAAAATCTGAAAAACTGTTGGAAAAGGCTGAGAAAACTGGAAAAATAACATTTGTGACTGAATCAAACATTCTAAGAAAGGGCTTCAAAGAAAAGAAACTGGAAGTTGAGGAAATTGGAAGAGAAATCCAAAAAAGAAAGGAAAAACTAGATAGAGTTGTGTGAATTTACTCAATCACCTATATGTTACAGTTTTGGTGTTCATATATTCTACTGACTGTGCTGATTTTCTAAATATAGTCACTGTTTTGCAATTCTAGTCATTTGAACCTTAAATTGAAATACACATGTTTTATTTACATGTTTTATATCACAGATATGGTTGTAAAAGTATAATTTTAAATAAGATCAATTGCAATAAAAATGTATATCACAGATATGGTTGTAAAAGTATAATTTTAAATAAGATCAATCGGGGAAAAAATGCCTTGAAAATGACAATTTTACCTTGAAAAGTCCTTGAAAAGTCCTTGAATTTTGATTTGAGAATTTGGTATGAACCATGTACCAGGTTACAAGTGATAATTGAAAAACTTCATTTTTGATTTCATACATGATTGTATTTAAGTGTGTTACCATTTTTCATGGCAATTGCTATGTTATGAAGAGTTTAAGCAGGTACTCTATAATTTCTGACTTGTAATGCTTTTAAGGTATTAGGACCCTAATGGGCACTATAAGGTACTGAAAAATTGACATCATAGGTCAGATGTATACCTTAAAGTACACCTGTATGCAAAATTTAAACAAAGTTTACCGTACGGAAATCAAGTTATGGCCACTTTTCTGAACTCAAGCTAGGATGTTATGAGGCCCCTTTTTTAGAAATGAGGAACCTTTAAATAATCTGCAATAACTTTCTAATGAAAAATGTTTTCCCATTAATAATTGGTAAGAAACAAATAGTACCATTCAGCTAACAATCCACATAAGCAAAATTGGGGTTTCTACATAAAATTTATGAAATCTGTATAAAAATGTTACCCTACCCCACCCATTTTTACCACGTGTCTGACCATTTTTCTTCTTGGGAGCCTAATTTAAAAAAAATTCAAAATTTACTCAAATGAGTGCCTGTTTTCAAAGTTTCCCTAAATTTTTAAAAAAGTTTATTGGTTGATCTTGTAAAATATGAAATACTTTTACCGTCTAGTTTTGATTATATTACACTTTGAAAATATCAGGTATCATATTTATTACTAGATTTAGCATAATTTAGCTAATAAATACCTATATAAATTAAAAAATCAAAATTAAACACTTTTTTCTCTCCAAATGGGACATAAATAATGTTAAAAGAAAAAAAGAAAGAAAAAAAAGTTGACCCTTCTGGGGATTGAACCCATGGCCCTCATTTTCAATGTAGTTAACAGTAGTTCTAGCCTATTTGAATACTCTTCAACGCGGAGGTAATGCATTAGGGTGCTAATACCTTAAAAATAGATGGATATTGTTTTTGTGGAAGAGGGTTATTTTCATTTCCTGTTTGTTGAGATATTTACGTTTTAAATTTTCTTCTTGTTTTTCAGATTGTGTGCAACGGTATTTTCAAAAGTTTGGAAGTGTAAAAGGTGTATTTGTACTAATGGTAATTATTTATAAAATTTTATTTATTTCAGAGCTTGAAATGATTACAGGTTAATATGATGGCATAATGTCCAAAAAGAACCCTTGGGCTAAAAAATTAATTTACATATTTTCATTTTGCTCCTCAAAAATGTACAAGTGTTATCCAGAAAGTATGCATAATTTTGATTTTCATTCAAGATTCTCGAAATTAGGTATGCCAGGTAGCCTACACTTGTCCCAAGCATATTTATGTTTTGAATACCAAATCTTGTTATCCAGATATACAGGTTTTATAGCATCATGATTATTGGTTTCCAAGGCAGTTCTAAAAAATACAAAAAGTTAATTTCTGCAACATTTAAAAAAAGTAGCAGCGTCATGGAAACTTAACCATTTTCTTGGAAAAAGGATGTTGATAGGTGACATCAAGCTGATTACTTGTTTCCTAGCAGTTTCAGGCCACAAAATCGCACTTTTTAACAAATAAAATAAAAATCAGTCTACAGAGGGGTACAAAACTTTGACAGGACAAAGTTAGGTACCTGTCCAGCATTGCCATGTGTTTAATGTTGAACTTCCATTTTACTTTTTATGCCCCCCGTACTTACGTCTGTCCATCCGTACGTCTTTCCGTACGTCCCTAAATCTTGTGAACGCAACTCCTCTTAAACCCAATGGCAGATTTTGCTTAAACTTCCAGGGATGTACAACATTAATGTGTAGATGGTAGTAAAGGAAGGAATTTTTGCTGCGACCAAATTTAACAGAATTATGGCCCTTTGTTGATTTTTTCACTATATACCATATAGAAATTTTGTGAACGCAACTCCTCTTAAACCGGATGGCAGATTTTGCTTAAACTTCCAGGGATGAACAACCTTAATGTGCAGATGGTAGTAAAGGAAGGAATTTTTGCTGCGACCAAATTTAACAGAATTAGGGCCCTTTGTTGATTTTTTCACTATATACCATATAGAAATTTTGTGAACGCAACTCCTCTTAAACCGGATGGCAGATTTTGCTTAAACTTCCAGGGATGAACAACCTTAATGTGTAGATGGTAGTAAATGAAGGAAATTTGCTGCAACCAAATTTAACAGAATTATGGCCCTTTGTTAATTTTTTCATTAAGCACTAAGAGTATTCAAGCATGATGTCCATGTGACAGCCCTTGTATAAAATATCTTATTTTGAAATGAATCAACAACATTAATAATATACAGGACTCCTAAATTCTTTTGCAACTGCAGAATAAAAAGTTCCACATAAAAATGTTACATACAGATATGCATGCTCTTGTTTAGAGCACATCTGCACAGTGGGGGCATCTGTGTCCTTTGGACACAGTTCTAGTTAATTTGAATATAGGCCTGAAACATAACACCTTTTTTCACCTTTATTCAAAAATTCATAGCAGTTTTCCGGACCTTTTTTATTTTGAATATGATTCAGTACCATAAAGCAATGTTAAGATGGTTTAATCAGACAAACAGAACTTCCCAACCTTTTCCGTGTTGTCTGCATAAATATTTTCCGAAGTATTGATTTACCTAAAATGGGGTTTTAGTTATTGCACATGGATATTCAAACTAGAATTCCCCAGATGTTGCTTATTTTTGAAAGTCACAAGTCCTCTTATGTAAATTTAAATAACAGGCAAAACTTCAAAACATATAAATCATTGAACTATTTTAAATGCTATTTAGCATAGAAAACAAATGTCTCTCTGATTGATGAAGTAATGTGGATGACTTACTGGTAAAAATAGACTGTACTGGACGAAAATGATAAACGGCCGGAAAACTGCCAGGGGACGGAAACTGCTAGGAAACCAGTAGTGTAGTGAAATTAGATAAATGAATACTGTGCCAAGCAACAACTTATTTTATTTTAAGTTTTGTGTTCAAATGTAAGTTTAATCACTGTAATAATGCAAAATTTGCTAAAAAATTTCATACATAGGGTTTATTCTATTTTTAGCTCACCAGAGCTTGCTCAGGGTGAGCTTTTAGGATCCATGAATGTCCGTCGGAAATCGTCGGTTGTCTGTCACATTTGTTCATTAACACTTTAGTGGTCACATTTTTGCCTCAATCATCATCAAACTTTGTCAGGATGCTTGTCTAGGTAATTGCTCGGATGAGTTCAAATATAAGTCATCTCGGATGAAAAACTAGGTCACAGGAGCTAAAAAAAGAAAAGTCTTGTAAACTCTAGTGGCTACTGTTGTTATCTAAATATCCTGGAAATTGGTCTGCAAGTTTGTTTTGATGATTTCTAGGTCCAGTTTGAATATGGGTCACTTGGGGTCAAAAACTAGGTCACACTGCCCAAATATGAAAAAACCCTGTGAACACTCTAGTGGTCACATTTTTGAATCAATTGTCATCAAACTTGGTCAGGTTGCTTGTCTAAGTAATTGCTGGGATGAGTTGGATGTGTCAGGTGAAAGATCTAGGGCCATCTTGGCCTTCTTGTTTGAGTTACTTGCTCCTGAAAGTGACCTAAAAACCCCCCAAAAAAATCAACTTTCTGGGGAAGATAACACAAAAAGGATGGTGACATCAGGCTGAATAAAGTCGATCAATTTGTTCAGCAAGACTTTTTATGTTAGTAAATGTTAGAAAGATTGCTATTGTATCATTAATATGTGTGTATTTCAGGATAGGTACAGAGGAGTAGGCACTGGAAAATGTCTAGTCAAGTTTGATGATAGGGAAACAATAAATAACGTGTTTGATGCCAGTCCTCATATGATAGACGAGAAAGATGTAAGTTTATCGATAAACCTAAAAACTTTTATCCCCTAAAAATGTGTTACCTATCAATTTACAATTACTGCATACCTCTTAAACACTGAGCTTTCTCGGGTTGAGCTTTTAGGATTGTTGAATGTCCGTCGAACATTGAACTTTGTCCGTCCACATTTGTTCGTTAACACTCTAGTGGTCACATTTTTGCCTCAATTATCATCAAATCTGGATGCTTGTCTAGGTAATTGCTCGGATGAGTTCAAACATAGGTCATCTCGGATGAAAACTAGGTCACAGGAGAACCGCATCCGTGGTCGAGGGGTTAGAGTCGATGACTTCTAATCCAGTTACCTCTCTGGTGTTGGTTCAATCCCCGGGAGATGCTTTGGTAGTTTAGCGCGGAGGAAGGTAGTCTAGTACTGGTGTAACTCTCTAGGAACGATGGTGAGGAAACTACCCGCCTATATGACTGAAATACTGTTGGAAAAAGGCGTAAAATGAAACAAACAAACAAACAGGTCACAGGAGCTATAAATAAAACAATCTTGTTAACACTCTAGTGGCTGCTGTTTTGATCCAAATATCCTGGAAATTGGTCTGAAAGTTTGTTTTGATGATTTCTAGGTCAATGTCGAATATGGGTCACCTAGGGTCAAAAACTAGATCACACAGACCAAATATGGAAAAACCTTGTTAACACCACTGTGTTCACATTTTTGACTCAATTGTCATCAAACTTAGTCAGGATGCTTGTCTAAGTAATTGCTCTGATGAGTTCGATTGTTCAGGTGAACGATCTAGGGCCATCTTGGCCCTCTTGTTTGAGAACATCATAAACTGAAAGTCAGTATCCAAGAATTATATCTCTGTCGTTGATTCTTGCATTACCTGAGCACAGCATGATCAAGGTGAGCTATTGTGATACCTTTTTGACCGGCATAATTATGGTGTCTGTCGTCTGTCATTAATATTTTACTGAAACAACCCTTTTGTCCGGCATATGGTGTCTTTCGTCAGTCATTAATATTTTACTAAAACAACCCTTTTGTCCGGCATATGGTGTCTGTCGTCAGTCATTAATATTTTACTGAAACAACATCTGCCCTTACACCTAGTGATCTCCTTTGACTTTGATTACAGACATTTCGGACCACGGCCATTTTGCATTCTTTTTGTGATATTATTAGGGTCGGGAATTATGTTCGAATATTCAAAACACTACCGAATATTCAAAAAAAAAAAATGTTTTTTGTTTTGTTATTACTTTCAAATTTCAATTAAGATCGTAAGTTAAACCATTGACCTTTACTTGACCAGGTGTTCACACGTTTGTATGACGCGTGTCAACATTTATCACCAATTAACTGTGAAAACTTTGGGGTCTAGTTGATCAAAAGGGGTCCTGTTTCACTGTTTGCAATTTAACTGTTTAACAGTTTAGAATGTATTTTTTTCCGATTTTAACCATCTTATTTATTGTTTTCTGTGCTATAATCTTTCCAATTAATCAAAAATTGTCTTAAATTTTGTGAAGAAGAATAAATCAGCACAGGAACTTGTAGGGGTGCAACGATACAGCCAAACCCGTATTGCGATATATTGCGATATAGACAGCCTGTATTGCGATACGTATTGTGGTACAGTGTATACTAAAATAATTAAAGAAAACAGTAAAACGTAAGCTATATTTCAACTCTTCTTATTATTCTTTTAGAACACATACATGTATCTATAGAATGAATAAGTACCCTGTGTCCTCGAGGCTTTTTAAATGTTTTTCTTAAGAAATATCAACATACCCCACGCGTTCATTGTACATGTTCGGTATAACAGTTTCAGAAAAGTACGTACGTGACGGTTGGTCGTATCTAGGGTCTAAAACACGAATCATATCCTTAAATACATCATTTGAGACAACACTAAACGGTCGAAGATCATTAACAATGAATTTTCCGACGGCTTGCGTTATGTCCTTATACCGCTGGCTTGTAGGCTTGTATTTGGAAGTCTGCCCAAAAGAACTCATAATTGTCGGCTGCTTTACAGTTGACGCTGTTGCCGCGATCAAACTAGTACCAGACTTGCATGCACTTTGTTGCAGATTGATTTTGTGGTGTCGAGTCAAATGTGTATTTAGATTTGTGGTCCCTCCGCTGTAGCGAATATCCATCTTACATTTTTTACAAACGGCTATGCCGTCCTCAATTTTTCCTGTAGATTTTCTTTTTTTTAAGTTGAATTCCACCCATATTTTACTTTTAGCTTTCTCATTTTCAATTAGTTCAAAATCTTCTTTTTCCATTTTTTATGCTCCCCGAAAAACTTCGGGGGAGCATATAGTCGGCGCCTTGTCCGTCTGTCCGTCCGTCTGTCCGTCCGTTGTCTTGTCCGGAGCATAACTTGAAAACCCTTGGAGATAATTTGTTGAAACTTCATACAGTGGTAGAGGGCATCGAGGGGGAGTGCAGTGTCAAAGAACCATAACTCTATTTTGCCCGGTTTTTGAATTATCTCCCCTTATAGAAAAATCTTGTCCGGGGCATAACTCTAAAACTATAAGAGATATCAACATGAAACTTTGTAGGTGAATAGATCTCAATGGGTAGATGTGCAGTGCATAAGAACAATAACTCTTTTCATCTTAATTTTGGAGTTATTGCCCTTTGTTAATTTTAATACTTTGAACTTTGTCCGGAACATAACTTGAAAACCCTTGGAGATAATTTGTTGAAATTTCATACAGTGGTAGAGGGCATCGAGGGGGAGTGCAGTGTCAAAGAACCATAACTCTATTTTGCCCGGTTTTTGAATTATCTCCCCTTATAGAAAAATCTTGACCGGGGCATAACTCTAAAACTATAAGAGATATCAACATGAAACTTTGTAGGTGAATAGATCTCAATGTGTAGATGTGCAGTGCATAAGAACAATAACTCTTTTTGTCCTAATTTTGGAGTTATTGCCCTTTGTTTATTTTAGTACTATGAACTTGAACTTTGTCCGGAACATAACTTGAAAACCCTTGGAGATAATTTGTTGAAACTTCATACAGTGGTAGAGGGCATTGAGGGGGAGTGCAGTGTCGAAGAACCATAACTCTATTTTGCCTGGTTTTTGAATTATCTCCCCTTATAGAAAAATCTTGTCCGGGGCATAACTCTAAAACTGTAAGAGATATCAACATGAAACATTGTAGGTAGATAGATCTCATTGAGTAGAGGTGCAGTGCAAAAGAACCATAACTCTGTTTAGCCTTATTTTTGAATAATCTCCCCTTTTAGAAAAATCTTGTCCAGGACATAGCTGTAAAACTATAAGAGATATCAACATGAAACTTTGTAGGTAGATAAATCTCAATGGGTAGATGTGCAGTGCACAAGAATCATAACTCTACCTTGCCTAATTCTGGAGTTATTGCCCTTTGTTTATTTTTACTTTTTGAATTGTCCAGGACATAATCATAAGAGATGTCATCAAGAAACTTTGTAGGTTGATAGATCACATTGATTAGAAGTGCAGTGCAAAGAACTGTTACTCTGCCTTGCCTAATTTTGGAATTATTGCCCTTTGAACTTTTTCCACGGACATAACACTGAAACTACAAGAGGTGTACTTTCCTGTGTCCAAAACCTATTCGGGGAGCATCACCCGGCTCAAACTGGGCTCTTGTTTATTTCAGTTAATCGACAATTTTAATCAGTCCTAACTTAAATTGCGTAACTGTAAACTGTGTGTAATTTAATAAAGCGTGATCAAAGCCGCACTCTGAAAATGACGTCACACGATTCTGCTACTCGGCTCGCGCGGTAAGATCAAAGAGCTTCGTCAGGAAAAGTTCGCGGCGGCGTTTCTTTATACATCACAGGGATCGACTAGTGTCGGCAATCTTTTCATGTTTCATTGATGTTTTGTTTTTGATGTCGTAAATCGTTGCTTACTGATTCAAAATTGAAGTTTCTACATTCATGTTATTTCGGCATAAATATTAAAGAAAAAACCGCAATACAGGGCAGCTGCACCGCGGTACGTATCGACCCGAGACTGTATTGCAATATACCGGTATACCGGTATATCGTTGCACCACTAACAGGAAGTGTCTATTTTCCGTCAGAATATGTTTATTCCGTAGATATTACGCTTCAATATAATTATTTGTTATTGGGGCCAAGAGGCTACGATGATTCATATTACTGTCAATCAAGTCATTTGAGTTACCTTCCGTTAATAAGACAAATAGGATTAACTGAACAAAAGGCAATCGAATTACGAATTTATTTCAAATTGTAAACATATATGTCGATTTACAATATATGAAATAAAAAAAACTTTGACGTAGTAATAAAGGTATTTTTAATCATCGATTATTACAAGCATATTAAAGTTGTATAGTATTTAACGCAATCAATTTCGGAAACGTATACATCAAAGAGAAATATTGGAACAAATGTTGTTAAAAAACGAATATTCAAATATATTCGAATATGGAAAACGAATATTTGAACATCACATTCCTTATTTGTTCCCAGCAGCCCTAGATATTATTGATGTAAATAATCGTTGATTTTATTCGTTTTCCTTTGTGTTTTTGTAAATATTCTTTGCTTTTTATTTTATAAAACACTGTTAAAAAAAAAACCAGAACTTTTTGAAACGGTATTTACTGATAAATTATGAAACAGTTTTTGGTACGGTCTAAGTACCGTTAATCGGTATCCACCCTAAATTTATTCTTTTAATACACCAACCCTAATAAGTACAAACTAAAATTTTTAAATTGGTTTTTCTGCCAATGTCTTAATACTGCTATCTTGTTTATTTGAACAATCTGCTAAGGTGAGCCATTAATGGCCATCAAAGCCTCTAGTTTACTGAATTATTGCACTTAAAATTAACTTATAAATTTTCCTGATTTGCGTTTTGCATGCAGGATCTTAACTTCTGAAGGTATTCACTTTCTTTTGCTGAATGTATTTACTTGGCATTTCATATAATCAGAATCATGAGGTTTTGTATTTTTCTTTTCAGGTCAGTATAACAGTTTCAGATGGTAATATATTATTATGTTTTTTCCCCCTTAATTTGAAATATTTTTCTTTAGTTAAAGAGCATATTAAATTGTTTCCAAGAATCTTCTATTTGCAAGCAACAATCTACTGTGCATTTTGGTTGTGCATCTTCTTGCACTTTTATAACTATGAGCCATTGTGGACAAATGGCATATAACATTAATTGTCTACCATATCTCGTCATGAAAACATTAAGACCAGAACTTTAAGTTCACTTAGCAGATCTGAGATCCTTAGACCTAAAGCTCTTTCTACTGAGCATTGACTTTGTTAGCATAAGAAATAGGCCAAAATACAGGTTTTTCCCAATTGGAAACACATTAATTTTTTTTTTTTATGTCCCCGCCATATAATGGCCCGGGCATATAGTGTTACCCTGTTCCGTCCTTCTGTCATTCCGTCATCATCAGTTTCTGTTCATTATCTCCCCAATGGTGTTACATATTCAACTCAAATTTGACATATGGATATGTCAAAGGAATGCCCAGGTCAAGTTGGAATTTGGTCATGGTTCGATGATTTTTGGCAGAGTTATGCCCCTTTAACTTTGAAAAAAAGAAAATTTTCAGTTTCCATTCATTATCTCCCCAACATATTCAACTCAAATTAAAGATATGGATATGTCATAAGAATGCATTAGTTAATTTTGAATTTAATCATGGTTTGATGAAAGCTGACAGAGTTATCCCTCTTAAACTTCGAAAAAAAACCCAGAAATTTTAAGTTTCCGTTCATTATCTCCCCAATGTTTGTACACATTCAACTCAAATTTGACATATAGATACGTCTTAAGAATAAGCAGTTCAAGTTTGAATTTGGTTGTGGTTCAATGATTTTGGACAAACTTATCTTTCTTGAATGTTGGAAAAATTTTGAATTTTCAGTTTCAGCACTCATACTTAAGTGGAAATGTATGTAGCCATTATTTTGGCTACAAATATGCAATATGCAATTTACAAAAGGTTAAGACTGAATAATTTCAGTGCCTTGAACATTGTATAAAACTGTTTTGTGTTAACATTGAATAGTTTTAAGGGCTTTGAACTTAAGTTAAAATGAAAACAATAATTTGTGCAAACAAATTTGGAACTAAATGTTATAACATCTGAAATTTTGGCTGCATGCGGGGGCACCCGTGGCATGATGACACATTTCTAGTTTTTCAAAGTACTTGGCATAGAGCTGATATTTAAATTGTGGCACATTACCTAATGGACCTAAAGTAATCTGTAATTCATGTCAAATTTGTGGTTCCTTAGAGTATTCTTTACTACAGTATGCTTCCTCCATGTGTTTGACTTTAGGAATAAAAAAAAGTGAAGCTTGGCTCCTGTTAGGCAATGGCTCTTGTTGAATGTGTGAAACTACAATGCCTAGAGCTTAGATATTTGGCATATAGCATTGCCTTGTGGACCTCTACTCATACCCCTTAGTTCAGTATTAACCCCATCTCTTGTGGGGGGAGGGGGTCACTTGATTTATGTAGATTTATATATAAAGGAAAACACATTTGAGTCTGTGCAAAACTACAATGCCTAGAGCTTAGTTATTTGGCATGTAGCATTGCTTTGTGGCCATCTATAACACTGATCACTGTAAAGAAAACTTTATTGATCTTACAAAAGGCCTGCTTGATTTGAACATAAATTGATGCAAAATGAATTTTAATATGTGTAAATATCAAACATAAGCAATGTAACTTAGGTGAGTGATTTAGTGTCCACATGGCCTTTTTTGTTTTAGCTCACCAGAACGGAAGGTTTAGGGTGAACAATAAGTATCAAAGGGGAATGCTCCTGCGTCCCGTGTCATGTGTCAACATTCATCTTCTCTGAAACTACTGGGCAGATTTACCTCAAATTTGGTCTGTCAACAAATGGTCCCAATTTGGTAGTAAAGTGGGGGCACAAAAATAAAGTTGCACGAGTTGATATGCTTTACTTAACAGATGAACAGGAACAATAAACTTGGGATATTTGTTAAAGGTTCCTATCATTTTTACTATAAAGGAAAAAAAAACAAAAAAACAGTGTTGGGAAACTTTATAACTAGAGAGGCAAGTTGAAGTTGAGCTGGACTTGTCTTTCTACATGTTTATATGGAAAGCTGAAAAACAGTTGTTTGTGGTGAGCAATTCAGGGCCATCTTGTTTTTATCTTAATCAAGTTTTAGCAATGCATATTTTGAAGTAAAAAATTTCAATTTCAGAACCGAGTAAGCCTTCATGAATGAGAAGAAATGTGCACCAAGCAAGAGAGAAAGTATACAGGAAACATAGGTTGAATTCTCATTGTGGAGTTAATTCACATAGTGGAAAGCATTTATTGTTTTATCACTGGACCAGTAATAAACTTCCACAATAAACTATTTCTTCAAAAGGATGTTTACTGTTTTAAATATGTATGTTGATAGTTTTATAAATAATAAAGTTACTGTGATGACATTGTGTTTTATATTTGATAAATCACCTTAAAATATTGCACAGGTTCAGTTCAGATGCAAAGTGATATAAACATGAAAACCATTGGCTTGATTTATGGTAATTTGTTTGATAATGTGTATCTATTATCATTCTTATTTGCTAATCATAAGAAGGGAATTGGTGAAAATATGAAGAACCACATTTAACACTTTAATTATCATAATGTATTCATTGAGTATTAAAGTTTGTTTCAGGCTCTCTTGACCTGATAAATAAAATTGAATTCTCATTCCTGTGTTTGAGTTTGTTTTAGAGGATACATGTATGTTGGATATTTGTTTACTAATACACAAAATTCACAGACATATACATTATGATAACTACAATTATACTAGAGTCTTGCAAACTTAATATATCAGTGAATCACCAACTAATGACAGGTAATTTTGTAGTAAACCCATGCTGCTTTCCTCATCTGACAGTTTACATTTTACTAGTGTTCAATACAGGTGCCTGCTTAAGACAGGTGCCTATTAGCAGTCAGTGAATTTAAGATTTTGAATTTCTGAGCCCGAATTCCAGTTTTGAATTTATTCTACTATATAACTAAATTTTCTTAAAATTTTCACTGGCCCGAACTTATTTTCACAGGCCTTGGGCTACCGCTAAATTTGATGACTGTACTAGAACCTGTTTAATACAGGTGCCTGCTTAAGACAGGTGCCTACTAGTACCTGTTTAAAACAGATGCCTGTTTGTTATAGAAATAATGCAGCTGATGTCTTCTTCCACTAGTAAAGCTGGAAAGTCACCAGGTGTCTTCTGCTGTGTTGGAATGATGTAAAACCAAAGAATAGAGAGAGCTATTGTACTTGTATCTCCAAGATGTTGATGTCACACATAGGTTAAGTTTTTGAGTGCAAGTTGGTATCTCCAAAACTACTGAAGGGAATGGGTTAAAGCTTAAATATCACTTGTTCTCTGTGATTATCTCACATGATCCGCACAAGTCCCATATCTCTTGTTTTGCTTTTATGCTAGTAATTTGCATGCAAGCTGGTATCTCCGCAACTTCTGTAGAGAATGGGTTAAAACTTCACATTTAACAAAATTATGGCCCTTTTAAAACTTGTAAAATTTTACATTATTCAGGAATCAAGAACTGAGAATAGTCAACTAGTTACAGTATAACAATACATTTGTCAACTAGTTACAGTATAACAAAACATTTGTCCATAGATAATGGATTTTATAAAGAAGACCCAAAGTGCCATTGGCTGTAAGTCATAGTGACTTTAAATAGAAAAATAAGCCCCCCCTACCCCACAATTTACTTCATTCATAAAACTGAGTGGTATATTATTTTACTTTGTAAATTATCACCTCACACATCATAAATGGATTTAAGGTTTGGCTTAGGAAGAGAGGCAAAATATGTTTCACAACTTTATATATATATGTAGCTTTTAGAACAATGCTGGTAGGTTTTCATAAAGAAAAACAGATATGCATCAAATTTGAATATTTATTTACTGCAGGCACAATAAACTGAAATTTTTGTTATGACATCCATTCACCAATACAACATTTACATGATGTTAATATTCTGCTATTCAGTTAACTGCAGTTGAAATATGTATTTCTTTAACACTTGTTAAAATGAGTGAAACCAATGAAGTATTGATTATACCCACAAAACACAAATCCCATAACTAGCTCATTTATGACCTGTTTTTAATTTGGAAATATCCAATGTTTATGATAGGAAGGCCATCAGTTCAGAGTCTGGACTGACTGCATGGACATACAGACTGACCTGGGTCTTTCCTGGTGACATATGATAATCATAACCATTATTAACCATTGAATCACCCTATCATCTATAGACTTGCAATGTCTCAAGAATTACAGGGCTAAGAATTACAATGACAAATGATATGAAATCTGACATGAGTGTAGTTTAACCCTTAACCTGCTGGAACCAAAAGTGATCAGCCTTTGCCACCAGTATAGAGCCAGGCCAGCCTGCACATCCATGCAGTCTGACCAGGCTCTATACTGTTGGCAGCTCAATTTTTGTATTTTGATATTGAAATCCCTTGAACTTTGAATGGACTGTTTCAAAATTTAAAGCTGAGGAGATTCATTTTAGAAATATAGCAGGTAATGGGTTAATACATTAACAGATGATAAAATCAATATAATGTCCTTTTAAGAAGTCTCCTACCAGTTAGAAAATTTTATTACTCAACATACTTTACTATCTTAAATACAGTATTTCACCTATAGTTCAGAATGTAAATTGCAATTTTTATTAATAATGTAAATTTTTGTACTAAAGATTAAAGGAGAACTTGCTGTAAAGTGGTTATTTCAGTTCAAAGGGGAAATAACTACTATTTTCAGTTTCTACCTAATGTACATAAAACAAGAGGGCCATGATGGCCCTAGATCGCTCACCTGATTTATCAAACTCATCCAAACAATTACCTAGACAAGCATTCTGACCAAGTCTCATGACAGGTGAGTCAAAAATGTGACCACTACAGTGTTAACAAGGATTATCCATATTTGAGCAGTGCGACCTAGTTTTTTACCCAGGTGACACATATTCAAACTTTACCTAGAAATCATCAAAACAAACTTTTAGACCAATTTCAAGGATACTTGGATCAAAACAGTAGCAACTAGAGTGTTAACAAGATTTTTCTATTTTTAGCTCCGGTGACCTAGTTCCACATGCGATTTCGAACTCATCCAAGCAATTACCTATACAAGCATCCTGACCAAGTTTGATGATAATTGAGTCGAAAATGTGACCACTAGAATGTTAACAAGGTTTTTCCATATTTGGGCGGTGTGACCTAGTTTTTTTCATCCAAGATGACCAATGTTCGAACTTGACTTAGAAATCATCAAAACAAACTTTCAGACCAATTAACAGAATATTTGGATCACAACAGTAGCCACTAGAGTGTTAACAAGATTTTTCTATTTTTAGCTCCGGTGACCTACTTTTTCATCCGAGATGACCCATGTTCAATTTCTTCCCAGCAATGACCTAGACAAGTTTCCTGACCAAGTTTGATGACAATTGAGTCAAAATTGTGACCACTAGAGTGTTAACAAGGTTTTTCTATTTTTAGCTCCTGTGACCTAGTTTTTCATCCAAGATGACCCATGTTTCGAACTCATCCGAGCTATCACCTAGACAAGCATCTTGATCAAGTTTGATGATGATTGATGCAAAAATGTGACCACTAGAGTGTTAACAAGGTTTTTCTATTTTTAGCTCCGGTGACCTACTTTTTCATCCGAGATGACCCATGTTCGAACTCATCCGAGCTATCACCTAGACAAGCATCCTGACCAAGTTTGATGATGATTGAGGCAAAAATGTGACCTCTAGAGTGTTAACAAGGTTTTTCTATTTTTAGCTCTTGTGACCTACTTTTTCATCCGAGATGACCCATGTTCGAACTCATCCGAGCTATCACCTAGACAAGCATCTTGACCAAGTTTGATGATGATTGATGCAAAAATGTGACCGCTAGAGTGTTAACAAGGTTTTTCTATTTTTAGCTCCGGTGACCTACTTTTTCATCCGAGATGACCCATGTTCGAACTCATCCGAGCTATCACCTAGACAAGCATCCTGACCAAGTTTGATGATGATTGATGCAAAAATGTGACCGCTAGAGTGTTAACAAGGTTTTTCTATTTTTAGCTCCGGTGACCTACTTTTTCATCCGAGATGACCCATGTTCGAACTCATCCGAGCTATCACCTAGACAAACATCCTGACCAAGTTTGATGATGATTGAGGCAAAAATGTGACCTCTAGAGTGTTAACAAGGTTTTTCTATTTTTAGCTCTTGTGACCTAGTTTCTCATCCGAGATGACCCATGTTCGAACTCATCCGAGCTATAAACTAGATAAGCATCCTGACCAAGTTTGATGATGATTGAGGCAAAAATGTGACCGCTAGAGTGTTAACAACTAAATGTGAACGGACGACGGACGGACGGACGACGGACGACGGACAATCATCGATCCTAAAAGCTCACCCTGAGCATGCTCAGGTGAGCTAAAAAATCATTACCAATGTGGAAAATGATTTAAGCATTAAATTACTTGTATTGGTCAAACAAATACACCACTTAACAACAGTATATTTAAACAAGCAAAAACTGAAGTAACATGCAGGTAAAAACTAAACCAGGATTGATTATGAAGTATTTATACAAAATCTCTTCATTAAAGATAATGTAAATTCAATTTAAAAAGTTGTAATCATTTGAAATAAAAATATACAGATAAAGTATATAAATTGATTAAAAATTATTTACAATAAAGAGGGAAAAGCAAAAAACAAAACAAAAACCATTAATGATCATTGCACATAAGATGTGATCATTAGTCATGTCAAGTGGAAGCTATAATATAAACAACGATAAGAACACTTCGAAAAAACAAACTGACTTAATTTGGTTCCTTGAACTGTCAACATGTAGCCGTTGGCAGAGAACAACTTCAAAATACATGTATTTCACTTTTTGACAAAGTAAAACAATAAACTACTTTTATTAACAAAAGACAGTATTCTAAAAATAATGAGCCACTTATACCATTTCTTAATTTCATCAAATGGGATCTGATATGTTTGCAATTCACATATTATTCTTGTGAATTTAAATTTTTTGTTCACAAAAAAGATATCACAAAAAAGATAACAATGCCTTGCTGTTTTGCACCAGTGTATCAAAGCACTGCCACCATCCCGACACCCCAGTGACTAATGCAGGCTACTACTTGTATTTTTAAATCCCAGTTAAATTATGTTATATAATGAATTAGTAAAAACAATAATCACTTTCAAAAAGGCACCAATATTTACGAACAAAAGCAGTGCACAAATATTTCAAAAGCTTGATAATGGATTAAAGACCAAGTCTTTGAAAGCAAATTCCTGTCCAAATCAAAGATAACAATACATTCTCTTGCATGCAATAGGGGGTTAAAGGTCATATAAACAAGTATTCTATCTAAGTTTCAAAGCAAATACATCAATATGTTAGAAGAAAAAACACACAAAAAACAGAATAATTGGTAATAAAAATAGACTGAACGAAGGTATAATACCCAAGTTTCTAGATACGTGTAACTCTTCCGATTCGTTTAACAGTCAAGCCAGAGATAGATAACAATTAATTTCTTTGTAAAGGAGTTCCACTGAAGTTCTTAATTACACACAAAAACATAACTTTTTTAATTCTTACCTTGATGAATTGGGAAAAGCAAAAAATTAGTTTTAGCAATAATGGTCGCAGACATAAGGTGGGTTTTTTTGTTACTAGAAAAGAACATATTAAGATTCTCAAACTGTTGTTGAGTTAAAAAAGTTATTTATTCCCAGAGGCCATTAGTGCAGTTTAGACTGTTTTCTTATTATTCAACTGTAACTTTACATTTCTAGAACTGCATTTGTATTTTAATAGCAGCAAAGGGAGATAACTCTTACAAAAGCTAGAGTAATGGACCTTCGCAACCTTAAATTTGTAATTAAGAAAAAAGTGGTACTTCAAACTTAATCTTAAAACTAGCAAAAATCAAACATTGACTATCAAATGACAACCTAAATTAAAACGGTACACATTATGATGTTACAATAACATAATTTCATGGAAGAATAACCAGGGAGAATTGTTATAAGCACAATGATAACATTCAATAATCCAGTGTTTGCTATATAGACCACTACACATGTAACTCAGAATACCTTTATTATTTAAAGACGGGAAGGTGTGCAATAAAGTGAAAGCCTAACATTATATTAAAAATCTGAATAAGTTTAAATTGATGTGTTAAAAGAAGTATTAAAAGCAGATAAACAAACTTTAAAAACTTTACAATTTTACAAACTTATAGTTAGTAAAATATAGAACGAGAAGATAAAGTAATATCTTATAAGTTATTAAACATAACAAAACCTCGAATGGTTCAAATGGATAAAAATCATACACCAACATTAACATTTTGTATTCATGACTTAAATCATCATTAACAGAAAATACTTTAAAAATATCTCAGCCTGCCTCCAGATCAGTGCAATAAATGATTCATCATTCAAAAAATCAAACATAAGAAGAAAAAAAATTCTGTTAAATGCAGATATTCATTCACTAGTTATATCATTAAATGTGTACACCTGACCACATTATTTTACTCTTGAACAGCAATTTTTAAATTCACCTAACTATTAACACAAATCTGGAGGTGTGCTGCTTTAAAGTTTCTTGTAAAAAGCCTTAATATATGCCTTAAACTACAACAACAATAAAACAACAACATCTTGATATTCAGGGTAAAATCTTTCCAATATCACAGAATATAATATGATTTAAAATCTTAAGAAAGTCTTCAGTTAAAACCAGCTTTTAAAAAGTATAAAATAATACCAATAACTATTGTTTACAATAATCAAACTTGTGATGCAATCAAAACAACTTGTTTATAAAAAGGATGAAAAGAAAAATGCTTAAAGCATTCCTAAAACAGACATAAATATCCAAACTGTATGTGAAATCAAATTTCAAATGTCTGTACAGTTGTTATCATTATAAAAACTATAATATACATTAACATAACTTTAACACAATGTTTTTTTCTCACTGCTACAACCCTACTTTTTCCGTCCTTTTCCCTGTTTCCCTTTGCTAGATTTTCCCTGTTGTTTCTGTTGCTGTTGAGACTGCTGGGGAGCAGCAGCTTGCGGTTTTTCAGCCTGCTTCTTTTCCTTCTTCTCAAGTTTAAGTTGTTTTACTTTTTCTGCTAAGAAGGTTTCATTGGACGGAATTGCAGCTTGAAAAACTTCCTTCTTTACCGTTTTCCAGACAATCTCGTCAGTTTTTCTGTAAATAAATACCAGCATATTCAGTCCCATTTATTGTTATTAAATAAAATCCCATTAGCTACTTTAGTATAACTTTCAAAGCCATAGGTATATAAGTGACCACAGGTTATCGGCGTGGGACCAAGCCCTACCCCTAAGGTATCACCCCCAAGGACCCTCTATACTACCCAAATATACTTCAATACATTCAAAATACATGTCAATACAAAATCAAACAATTCTATCAAACAAGAGCTGTCGGTAGGACAGCAACGCTCGACTATTCTAAGTGCTTGATAGTAAAAAAATGCTTGATACAGTTACCTCCTCCTGTTTACAGGTTGGGGTAATGATGGTGATCAAGTGTGCAAAGTTTCAAAGCCATATGTCAATGGACTTTGAAAATATTTTAACTATTACAAAAACTTTAACGTAAATTCTAAGTCGAAAAAGGGGCATAATTCTGTCAAAATCCTTGATAGAGTTACCACCTCCTGTCTACAGGTTGGGATCAGGATGGTGAACAAGTGTGCAAAGTTTCAAAGCCATATGTCAATGGACTTGGAAAATATTTGAACTATTACAAAAACTTTAACGTAAATTCTAAGTCGAAAAAGGGGCATAATTCTGTCAAAATGCTTGATAGAGTTACCTCCTCCTGTCTACAGGTTGGGGTCATGATGGTGAACAAGTGTGCAAAGTTTCAAAGCCATATGTCAATGGACTTTGAAAATATTTTAACTATTACAAAAACTTTAACGTAAATTCTAAGTCGAAAAAGGGGCATAATTCTGTCAAAATGCTTGATAGAGTTACCTCCTCCTGTCTACAGATTGGGGTCATGATGGTGAACAAGTGTGCAAAGTTTCAAAGCCATATGTCAATGGACTTTGAAAATATTTGAACTATTACAAAAACTTTAACGTAAATTCTAAGTCAAAAAAGGGGCATAATTCTGACAAAATGCTTGATAGAGTTACCTCCTCCTGTGTACAGGTTGGGGTCATGATGGTGAACAAGTGTGCAAAGTTTCAAAGCCATATGTCAATGGACTTTGAAAATATTTTAACTATTACAAAAACTTTAACGTAAATTCTAAGTCGAAAAAGGGGCATTATTCTGTCAAAATGCTTGATAGAGTTACCTCCTCCTGTCTACAGATTGGGGTCATGATGGTGAACAAGTGTGCAAAGTTTCAAAGCCATATGTCAATGGACTTTGAAAATATTTGAACTATTACAAAAACTTTAACATAAGTGGTTACGCCGACGCCGACGCTCGGGTGACTGCAATAGCTCTACTTATTCTTATCGAATAGTCGAGCTAAAAATATAATACTGATACTATAAACTATGTAGAAGAATATTTGGGTAGTATAGAGGGTCCTGGGGGGTGGTACCTTAGGGGTAGGGCTTGGTCCCACGCCGATAACCTGTGTAAGTGACCAAAACTGGTGGCCATTTATAACATCCAAAAATACTTTCAGATATGTTTGATATATTCTTTTTGTTTTCTACTTTTTGTACAGAAAGCATGAAATTAAACAACAGAAATATAAAGTGATGTATTGTTTTGTAGTTAAATTCAAAAATGGTTTTGTGAAAGTCAAATTTAAATGTGGTTAAAGCGGTTTCTGTACTGATTTCGACTCAACCAGTATTGAGCTGGAAAGTCAACTTTATACATACATATTCAATATCATTGCGAATAAAAATCCCAGTTGCAAAACAAATTTCAGTATCATAGTATTGTGTAACTTAAAACTTGACCCCCCCCCCCCTCCAAAAACCTGTCATGAATCAAAGAGAAATGATATCACTAGAGCAGCTCAAAGAATTATAGACATTTGTGTACTTACTTTATACAAGCTCTGTATAAATCTGAAATTAATTTTCCTCTCTCATACAGCATGCCCACAATATCAGGATCATAACTGCTGGACACTGCCTTGCCATAATCTTCATTCTGTTTTGTCCACTTCTTAAACGGTCCTTTATTACTGACACCCAATTCATCTGTGTCCATTTGTGAGAGACATATCTTTCCAAACAAAATCTTAAAAACAAACAAAGTACTTATTAATTAAACCATAGATGTATAATTATTGCTAAATAAAACTAGAGCTGTCAGAGGAGCAGCACGCTCTACTTTTCTCAGTGCAGAATAATAAACTGCACTTTTTCTAAATAATCAGATAGTTTCAAAAAGGCAAAGCTTAGAAATCATGGTCACATTTAAAATAATCTGTTTTCAGCTTAAGATGTATATTATAGGAATCTAACACTGGATGCCAGTGCAGACAGAAATATCTGTTTACAGTGGCAACAATGCTGTGCTATTTGATATTGTTGTTCTTTTTTATGTTTTTTTTTTATTTGTAAAGTGGTATAATTATGCATTGAAAAAACTTGATCTAAAGGCAGAATGATGTTTAACTTAGTACACAACTAATTGATAAAGACAGTAAAATGATGTCCATCAAGACAGTTAATATTACACCAGTTGGCACAAATGAAAAAAAAAAATAATAACATTAGAAAATCAACACTGATTATCAAGAAAACAACCGCACCTGAACATGTGTAAGTTTACTTTTAAAATGTTTCTATATTTAAACATGCATTACCAAGAATTTCAACTTGACCCATAAGCTTTGTAAATTTAACTGCCTCTACTGAGCTAAGTGGCTCAGAAATATTGTACAAGAACCCCCCAAAAAATTGAGTTTTGTTAAGATAAGATATATCTAAAGAAATATACTTACCGAGATGTCCCATATTGGTATACCATCCATAAGAATATCATATTCATGTATCAGACTAGCTGAGACAGGACCTATGTCATGATAAACCTGTACAGAAAACACAAAATTTTAGTCTTAAATTTAAAGAACAAAGCTACAATAAAACTAAAATAAAGTTTAAAAGTGCACACTTCTAGATGAGTAAACAAATTTTCAAAAAATCAGAGGCATAGAAAATATATTAATGCAAACCTTAATTTTAGTAATGTTAAAGTATTCAAGGTCTGATGGACAGTACATCTTTGAAGCAGACAATATATTTTATTACCATATCTTTACTCTCACAGAGCAAAGGCTTTATTCTGTCTTGAATACATTTTGAAAGGTTATAGATGGTTTTTCAGAAAGTGCCTCAAGTTGCTTAGAACAATTTATTTGAACATTAATCCATCCAAGTAGTAAGAGGAACTATTTATTGTTGGTTTTTAGTAAATTTTAAATTTTTGCAAATTTTAACACATTTTTTGGTCATATCAGTGGTGAGAGACAAATGACCATTAGATTCAGAGTCAAATATCATTTGTCATGTAGAAACTCAAGTAACCATTTTTCCATGGGGAAATTACAAAAAAAAATCTTTAATTTCTATTGTTCTAGGGAATATCTCTATACTAGCAAACTATATCAACGAACCTTAGTTATTGTCTTGTCAAGAAGCAACTTTTCCAAAAGTCCATCTTTTACCAAACCTCTGGTCTCGTCCTTTAGATGGTATACATAAGATTCAGGATGACAAGAAATCACAATCATTCTTATCTTACTGCTTTCAGTACCAAGGTTTTCTCCAACGCAGCAGACGGATATGTGGTCTGGTGGGTTCTCACATAAACGATTCACTAATGATTTAGAATCTTCAACAGTGGTAACTTCCTGTGGTTCGGACCAATTCTTCGATTTCACTGTTGATAATTTAAAAAGATAAATGAAAATACAATACAGACTAAGTTTTGAAAAAGATTTATTTTTCTTTTGAGCATTAAAGTGATTATTAACAAAAAAATAGGAGACAACCATGCAAGAATATTTTAGCCATTTTCCCAAGGCAAGTAAACAAACATGGCTACTTTGAGCTTGAAGTTTTGACCTGTAACCCGCTAGAACTTAGTTGTCTTTGTCACCAGTATAAAGCTAGGCCAGTCTACTCTGCACATCTGTGAAGTGTAGTTAGCCTCTATACTGTTAATAGCTCAATTTTTGTACTTTGATATTCAAATCCCTAAAACTTTGAATGGACAGTTCCAAATGTAGAACTGTGCTAATACATTTCACAAAGCATTCAGAGCAGGTTAAAGGTTATACAAACTAAACACTATAGAGACACAGTAAAGAATTATCATTTAAACATAATTCATAATACACACACTTTCTACAATAAAACTTGCAGTACTTTAAATGATACATACATAATACAAATAAATATACTTGATAAATAACATATTATGCAATGATGTGCTAATAAGATACAGAAAAGCGTGTGTAATAAATCACAACTGTTGTTGGAAATGTAAACTGTTTATGTTCCTGACAGGTGGTCACTCAAATAAAGTAATTTAGCACTTTAATTATTCAACCAGTTAATTTAACAAGTGGCTGTTTAATTACAAATTTCACAGATTTTGTATTTATTAACCACAGGGTTAATTGTATACTAATGTAGTTAAACATTTGATTGGATTTCAAATTAGCAGTTCATGTCAAAGTTTGACATTCAGATTCTTTTTGAATGTTACAAAGCTAGCTAAAACAGTAGTTAACAAAATTTCTGCAGACTCCTTATAAAAACATCCAACAAAATGGATATACAAATGTAAATGTAAGTTAAAATATTGAAATATTTCATTGCCTTTTTTCAAAACCCAAGAAATGTACATTAAGTTCGATTTTATTCAATGAAATATGAATGCAGCTGCTAAACCAAATGTTTAAAATGGATTATTCATAGGTTAGTGGTAACATTACAATAAATAAAGATCATAAATAATGGCACACTTTTTAAGACACTCTATAAATCAAGCCCTATCACAAACTAATACTAAATGGTATCACATAACATCTATCATGCTAGGATTTAACTACAGTCAAAAGCTACTAGGGCAAAAATGGGTAAGTCAAGTCCAATACACACTACCTTCCTCTTTTGCAAGTTCATGGTTTTCATTTCTGGTTGGTTCTTGTTCCACTTCCTTCTTTCCTGAGAATTCAGCTTTAGGAGTTTCTGACTTTTCAGGCTGGGAGAGATGTGGTTTTTTAGCTGCAGGTAGCGACATATCATCAGTTGTTGCTCCATCTTCTATTTCTTTTGCCTCTTTCTCTGTCTTTTTCTCCATTACTGATTCTTTTTTTGCTTCTTCCTCATATTTTACTTCTTTGAATTCCTTGTCTTCTTCTTGCTTATTCTTTCCTTTATTTTTCTTCTTCCTCTTTTTGTTTTCTGTTGGTTTCGGGTCAAACGAACACCCTGCATCTACATTTTTCGCAGAGCTGATTGTTGAATCAAAATCTAGTCTGAAATCTGTAACAAAAAGAATAACAACCTGCTTATGGGTAAAGAACATTTCTCTTTATCTGTATCAGAATAAAATAATTAACATATACATAGTTTCAACATCTTGTTTATGACCATCTTCATAAAGATAATATTGTTTTTTCTTAATATTTCAAGAACAGTGAAGTTAAATACAAAGTTTTGGTTTCTTTGTTATATAAAAACTTGTACAATCTTGATGTACAGAGGTAACCTAGACGTATATATGTTACTATCTGCAAAGTTTACCTTACCACACTTAAAAGATCCTTTTATGGTTTTTATCATAAATATGATGCTCCAGTTAATTAAAGATTTTATCAATATTGTAAGTATTTGTAAAGATATTACTGAATTTACATTTCATGTAAAAAGGGAGGTAATTAGACATTTATTTTCTATAAAGTCTTAGCCAAATTTTTCAATAAGAAAATGAATGCATACATTTTAATGATTACAAACATTTGCAGTACATATCTAGCATATTCTTGGATGTTTGAAAATTGTTTTTTAAAGAATAATTATATACATATATAAAATTTAATTAAGTGTTGATACATCCTTAATTACAACATACAGGATCTTAAATATCTTACACAGACTTGTAAATTTTTCAATCTGGACAAAACTATTCATCATTTATAAGGAAATATCAAAAGCAGTACAGACCAAGATCAGACTGAACAGTGTGATGTTTTTATCGATTTTACAAAGATTCTAACACATTTTTGGTGATATCTCAGTGGTTGATCCACCTTGAATGACTACAGAGTGAGACACTGAGACACTAATGACCATGAGACTAAATGTCTGTGATCAAATGTCAAAGGAGAAATTCTGTCTGACACAAGGATTGAACCAGTGGCCCCTGAATTACTAATCTGATGCTCTCTCTTGAGCTAAATTGGCAGACTAGAGGCCACAGATGTGCCTGTTGATCTTGGTCTGCACTGGTACTAGCACAGTTGGAATCTATTGCTGCCAACAGACTCAAAATTAACAACATGGCCCTGAAATCGCTCACCTGTATAAAGGCCCCTGAGCCAAGCCCAATTTTAAACCTAGAGCTTTTATTAGAACAAACATGGTGGACACCCATTAGAAGATGTTTCATGATAAATATCTATGCTCTAGCTCTTTGGGGTTTTTATAAGAAGATTTTTTAAGTTTTTACTATATACATATTGGGAAAAACAATGACCCCCCCCCCCCCCCCCTTTCATGCTTAGTATCCAAACTCTAGCTCTTTGGGTTTTTTTATAAGAAGATTTTTTACTATACATATATAAGGAAAATCAATGACCCCTGGGCTGGGGCCAATTTTAACCCAAGGGCCCTTATTTGGACAAACTTGGTAGACACCCATTAGAACAAGTTTCATGCTAAATATCTTAGCTCTAGCTATTTTGGTTTTTTAAAAGAAGATTTTTTAAGGTTTTACTATATTCAAATAAGGAAAATCGATGACCACTTGGGGCTGGCCAATTTTTACCCAAGGGCTTTTATTTGAAAAAACCTTGGTAGACATACACTAGAAGATGATTCATGCTTAATATCTAAGCTCTAGCTATTTGGGTTTTTTAAATTAAGATTTTTTTTAAGTTTTTACTATATACAAATAAGGAAAATCAATGACCCCCAGGGGGGTTGCAATTTTGACCCCAGGGCATTTATTTGAACAAACTTGGTAGACAATGACTAGATGATGTTTCATGCAAAATATTTAAGCTCTAGCTCTTTCGGTTTTCTCAAAGAAGAAGTAGATATTTTAAGGGTTTTTTCCAGTTGCCATGGCAACCAGAGTTTTGCTTGGAATTAAATTCTTTGAACAAATATTTAAAGTTGACTGCCAAAAGAACATTCCTGTGAAGTTTGGATGAAATTGGATTAGTGGTTTATGAGGAGATGTCGTTTAAAGTAAAAGTTTACAGATAAACGTATGGACGCCGGATGAAAAGCGATCACAAAAGCTCAACACGTCACTTTGTTAAAGGTGAGCTAAAAATGTAAGTGTAAATTATTTGAAAAACAGAGAAGAGATGCAACAAATGTAAGACGTTCTCAACTTAGTCTAAGTGATTTGTCTTAACAGTTCAACAACAACAACAACAGGGTACCATAGAATAATGTTATAAAAATAAAACTATTGTGCAGCTAATAACAACTAAACAGTGAACTTCTTTTAAAATCAAGATAATTTTTATATTAAACAAACTTACTCATCCTTCTGTCAACAGCTCCAGTGAAGTAAAAGGGAATAATTCCTTCTCAACACCGGGGGCTCAAAAATCATTGTTTGGGTGAGCGGAAGAACTTTAAACCCCTGTTTTAAAACATAACACAACGGTTTATAAATAAAAAAGAATACAGTAAAATATCAAAAAAAAAAATTTTCTGTAAAATGTTTCTGAAAATGTAACGGAATTCAAAAATTTTGTCTGAGCTTGCAGGTTGACGGTTCTATCTGGTTACCATTACCTCGTTATTAATCAATGCATGAAATAATAAATAAATAAGACTTTATGAAATAAAAAATGAGGGAAGTTAAGGTCATTCTTACCACACCCATCCTTAATAGTACAGTCAGTGTGACTTGATGTTGGACAACAAAAACCTATTTAACTGAAATGTCAGCGATTGTCACTTTACATACAGCATAATAATAATCATTTTGTTTTAAGATTATTTCAATCTTAAGAAAGCCAGTCAGTGTTGTACAAAGAAGTTGCAAATCACTTCATATGAAAATTTATTCCATTTCAACACTTTAGGGAGAGACAAATCATTGTTTTGGTGCAAGCAAAAACAATGTTACTGGTAAAGATTGGGCTATTGTCTTGACAAAAATCTTTACACCGACACTCAGGTATGCTATGATTGTATTTACCTTTTAAAGCTTTTTCCAAATCTATGTGGATCATCACTTCACAAGTTTTCCTCATTCCTGAAAAATGTATACTTATTACTGATATCAGTGCAGGTTGCTATGTCTCTTCCAGACATTTTGTTGAAATGTGGATTAAAATTGATTTTTTTTTGTATTTAATAGAATTCTTTTCAGGGTTCTGAGACTGGCATGGAATGGAAAGGAAAAGAATCCTTGAATTAGACTTTAAATAGAGAGAGAAAAAGTCATGGCTATTTACTGTTTAACCTGATGTGGAACTTGGCTAAAATTATTGAGGTATTATTGCAAAATTTAAAATACATGTAGGCAATTATATTTCAAAATCCTTACCACTAATAACACCATTTTCTCCTGGTACTCCAGCTGCAAAATGTATGTGGTTACGATTCATTCTATTCAAACCCTGAAACACAAAAACGATGAAAAATGAAAAAAACAAGAGCTGGGTGATGCTCCCCGAATAGGTTTTGGACTCAGGAAAGTTCACCTCTTTTACTTTCAGAGTTATGTCAATGGAAAAAGTTCAAAGTGCAATAATTCCAAAATTTGGCAGGGCAGAGTTACTGTTCTTTGCACTTCTAATCAATGTGATCTATCAACCTACAAAGTTTCTTGATGATATCTCTTATGATTTCAGACTTATGTCCATGACAACTTCAAAAAGTAAAAATAAACAAAGGGCAATAACTCCAGAATTAGGCAAGACAGCGTTATGATTCTTGTGCATTGCACATCTACCCATTGAGATATATCTACCTACAAAGTTTCATGTTGATATCTCTTATAGTTTTACTGCTATGTCCTGGACAAGATTTTTCTAAAAGGGGAGATAATTCAAAAATGAGGCTTAACAGAGTTATGGTTCTTTTGCACTGCATCTCTACTCAATGAGATCTATCTACCTACAATGTTTCATCTTGATATCTCTTATAGTTTTAGAGTTATGTTCCGGACAAAGTTCAGTGTTAAAATAAACAAAGGGCAATAACTCCAAAATTAGGACAAAAAGAGTTATTGTTCTTATGCACTGCACATCTACCCATTGAGATCTATTCACCTACAAAGTTTCATGTTGATATCTCTTATAGTTTTAGAGTTATGCCCCGGACAAGATTTTTCCATAAGGGGAGATAATTAAAAAACTGGGCAAAATAGAGTTATGGTTCTTTGACACTGCACTCCCCCTCAATGCCCTCTACCACTGTATGAAGTTTCAACAAATTATCTCCAAGGGTTTTCAAGTTATGCTCCGGACAAGACAACGGACGGACAGACGGACAAGGCGCCGACTATATGCTCCCCCGAAATTTTTCGGGGAGCATAAAAAAACACAAACAAATAAATAAGACACACATTTGTAGTTGTATTAAACATAAAACAAATAACAAGATGCTTTTTTGTGGTTACTCAACTGTAGAGAATATTGTAGGTGTGGATACAGACAGAATTGTCTGAATTTGTATAATGGATTTGCCCTGACCTGCCTTGAATTTGGAACACTCCATTCAGAACCCCTGCCTTGAATTTGGCAAAGACCTCTCACTTTCTGTTCTAGCAGGTTAACACATTTACTAGAACTAAACTTATTCCCTTTCATAGAGGGCATCCATTTACAAGTAATTTACATTGTGTAATCAATAGGAATAAAGTCAATAAACATAAAGTTAAGCTATTAAGTGTGTTCAGCACAACTATAACATAACAACATTAAACTAATAAAACCTTTAGTAGATATAGTCCTGTAGGGCATTAGAATGAATCCTTATTAGGACTGCAGTAAGGTTTTTTTTACAAGACGGGACTGCAGGTATTTCTTGGAGATTCTGTAGGTCTTGACCTATTAACATGTTATTGCATCATTTCAGATCATGCATGTTTTTCAAGAATAATTATTTTAATTGTGAAAAATGAAAAAGGTTTAAGGGCTTTTAACTTAAATCTGGCCAAGATTTGCACAAATTTTAATATATTTTTTATCCTTTCTAGTGTCCCAGATGGTTTATGTAAGAAATTCGAAATTTATGTTTTAAGGTTTCTGACCTCATTGGAGTTTCCATAAGTCAAAAATATAGCTCCAATATCCTTAAAAGTATAATAATAATAATAATAATAAAAATAATAATAATAATAATAATAATAATAATAATAATAACAATAATAATTCAATGAGACAATTAAAATTTAAACCAATTTCTTTTATATTTGTTCAAGCACAGTCTTTTCTTCAGTGCAAATGATCAGTATAAGACAAAGAAGAATCAAATTACATATTGGTTTTATTTTAAGTCACAGTCTATACCTTTCATATATGTATTACACTTAATACTTCACATTTACATGTAAAACTTCTTTTTATAAATTAAAATGGTTTCTAAAAAGCACTGGATTATTTTGTTAGTACTGTTAAACATTTTCATACTTGTTATCATGTATTTATTTACACAACAATGGAAATATGTAAGGGATATGTATAGACATAAACCTAGTCTCAATGATAGAAAACAAGAATATAGACAATTGGAAAGATTTGTTACAAAAAATGTTCACATGACTTCTTCTTATCCAACTAATGAAGACTACAGTAGCAGCCACTACACTGGAAATGTTTTGGATCAAACTTATATGAATCAGCTGGCACTGAAGAATGGAACTTTAAATGGTTCTAAAGATAGCAAGCCAAAACATCAAGGAATGAACAATATGTCATATCAGCATGTTTTTGTACATGCAGTAGAAGAAAGAAATAAAGTTCTGCGAGGTGTTGTAGAAAAACATCCGGATAAATGTTTGAGTAACTGTGATGACAGATTAGAAGTTTACAAACTACCAAGTTATAAATTCTTACAATCAGATTTCAAGGTTAACAACAGTCTTTTTTCAGTTTTCAAAGAAAACAAAACTCTTTTTAAATGTGACGGCAAAATAGAAATTCATTGTAGACATTTCGCAATTCTTCACGAGGTTACATTACATGTGTACAAATGGCAAGCAACTGGACTTATAGAAGCTGGGAAGAAACTGCACACTTTTAAAAGCCATGAATTAAGAACAGATGAAGCTGAAGTTCTTAAACCAGTCAATGGCTTGCTTAGTATGCAATGCCCTGGCAAAAATGCTGTCCAATTTGACAATAAAACATTAGAAAATGTATTAATGCTGAAGTATTTAACAGTACATAGAGAAGATAGAGTTCACAAAGAAGATAATAAGAGTGAAATAAGTGCAGGGTATGATTATGAGAGACAGTTTACAGTGGCTATTCAGAGAGAGGATTACGCCAATTTCTATCATGTTATGTTACATATGCATAGTATATTTGTAATGTTGATGGTATTTCATCAACAACCAGTAAACATGACCATTCTGGTTCTTGATGCACATCCGCAAGCAGAAATAGACGAAATGATTGAAACTCTGTATGGGCCACTAATACGTGTGACAAAACTTAAACAAGACATCAAATTTCAGAACTTAGTTCTTTCACTTAAGGAGGGGAAAAATCTTTTATCAAAGTATTGGATTAATTCATTACCTCATTTAGAAGAATTTCGAACATTTGTATATAATCAGTATGCACTGAATGAAAATCATTTTCTCAGCTGTAGAAAATTAACAATTACTTTCATTTGGAGGCGTGACAAAATCTGGCATCCAAGAAATCTAAAAGGGACAGTGCAGAGGAAAATATTTAATGAAGCTGAAATCTATAAGATTGTTTATGATAAATATTCAAATGTTTGTATAAATGGTTTACTTTTGGAATCTGTACCAATGAAAGAACAACTAAAATTTATACACAAGACCGATATTCTTATAGGCATGCACGGTGCAGGATTAACACATGCACTGTTTCTACCAAAAACATCTGGTCTAATTGAACTGTTTCCGCAAAACTTTCGGAAAACCTTTCACTTCTATAAGCTGTTTGAGGTAATAGCACAAAGAAGGGATCTCCACTATTCATACTGGGAAAATACAGACGGTGAAAATGAAATGCCAAACTACTTCACAAGGGTGGATCCTGTATCCTTTCTCAGAGTCGTAGACAATATGATTCAAAAAGTATGTGCAGACAATAAACAATATAATCAATAACAAAATAGTCCATGAGTTTATACTGATGGTATATATGTCTAAATACCAAAAATCTGTGTTGCAACTATAAAACAAAACATACAATGTGTAGATTATCAATGTGTTTTCTGACTCAACTAGTGTTAGTCACTGTCCCTGCTAAGCCAGTAAGAGATTCTAACAGGAATGTACCAGGTAATTTTAGAATATGGTGTACAATGTTTAATTTTACGCCTTTGATGACTATAAGTAGGGTATTCCCATGCTTCTCACAATACCATCTATTTTCCAACAAGACAGGTACACATGTTTACGGGATATGAATACAGTTTATTTGATATTTTCATTTGTAAATTTATAAGAAATTAAATTGGTCTCAGCAGTGTTTACCATCTATTTAACACTGGGTTGGAAGTTTTATCATTCTTTTAACACCACACATACAGGTTTAAAATGATGTCATTCTGGCACCTTTATGAATGAGTTGCATTCTTAGGATGAGGTCATTAAGCTGCTTAAGAACTGGCGCAGATTTTTCTTATATAAAATTTATCAACTGATAGTTTTATGGATAAAACCAGTGATGTTTGTGTATTTGAGATGTTATTTTAGCATAATATGAAAAGAAGACATAATAATAGCTGAAAATATCCATAATTAGTATTATTGCCTTATGAAGGATTTGTAAACTACATGTATCTTAACGGAGGGAGAAAAAAAACAGTCGCATATACATGTAGTCCCTATCTAGTGTTTGTTGGTTGTTAACACATTTTTCTACTTTGTTTTTAGTGACAAATTCACGAGGAGGGTTTAAATGATATTTTTATCATATTCTTGGTTTAAGCTTGAAGAAAATCATTTTACTATAACTTAACTTATTCATTTTCTTCTTATATATTTTATTTGCATTAGGTAAAAAAAGGCATCTATCTGTTAATATGTATGTTGTACATTTCTGTAAATCTCAGAAATCAGACAAGTACACTGATTAAAATACAGTTCTGGCAGTAAAAAGGTTACAACTTTTTATGCTTTGTGAATATTATTGACATGTACTATTGAATGACTATTAATAATGTTATAAAACTTACAGTGTTCTTTATAAGCTCCCATGATGAGTAATAAGTTCCATGAATCACCATGGGAACTTCATCTGCTGATAGAATGGGTTTTAAATCCAAGTCCTCTACCTGAAATAGCAATCCTATGTTAGAATATCAATAGCTATAGTACACTGTTCATGTATATCATATTTTATCTAGATATTATAAAAATTAATTTTTACGAAATAGAAACCACATTACCTCCCTTCATTTTTCATTTACCCATCAATACAAAGACATGTATCTAGTGACTACCTTTAGTACTTTTGAAGATGTAGTTGCATGCAAACCTTTCACCAATTGTGTTCGTACTTCATAAAAGACCAAAATTAAGTCAAAGTTCACATCAAAAATAATGGCCTAAGAAAGTGACCTCCAATTATGGTAACAAGAACATGTACTTAATTTGAATGAATACCTTCAGTTGTTTAAGGTAGCTCGCTACTTTCCGACCGAAATTTGACAATATTTCAGATCTTGATGATTTTTGGTATACAGACATGTAGTTATGTAAGCTTTACTTCTGCAGCATCATTTTATAAATAAACAGCGTTACTATGACGTCAAAGCGCCCTCTTATCGGTGGCGGCGAAATTGCGTCTTTTTTTCAAATAAACCGGTCTGTTATTATCATTTTTCATCGATTTCTTTCATTTAAATTCTATTAATGTTCAGTAAATGTATGTCTTTGTAATGATGTCTTTCTTGAACATTTGCTTAATACTCTGCGATTCTACGTTATTTTCCCTCACGTTCTGACGTCCATATTTTGATGCAAATATCGCGCGATATCGCAATAAAGATTGTGAAATAATAAAAAATCAACACGGTGAATTTTGCTATAAATTTTTTTAACATGTAGTGAAGTCATAAAATAAAATATGTATGCAATAAAAATATAGGGTCAACGCGTAAGATATTTTGCTATTACTATTTGAATAATAAAATAAAGGGTGAGTAAAACGTAATGATTTTGGTGACGTCAAATATTTTCTCAAGGAAATTTTCACGACTTTTTCGATAAATAACATACTGACAGGAGTAAAAATGTGTGAAAACCATCAACAACAATAGTATGTAGACATGTTCCGTAAAAATGTTCTTTTAAAAGTCCTGTCAGATGCCTGCTTTTTCGATGAATATCTTCAATTATATACATGTACAACAAATCAGGGTATAAACTGTCTGCAAAAGTTGGTATCAATCGCTGAAAAACTGCAACGAATGGATATAAATACCTCGAGGACTGAAAGACAATTCAGAATATTGAAAAGATATAATTAAAAGGCCACCTAAAAGGAAATTATACAAAACATAAATTTTGCAAAGAATGTCAGAAAAAAGAATGAAAAGGCTGGTGCAGTCGCAACAACATAAACTTCCATGTTTATCATATGTAACAATTTTTGGATTGTATATATCCGTAAAACAGAGACATAAATAACATCTATGTCTGTGGTAGGAAATGAATCAAATTTACGTTTCAAAAAAATGTATGATCACTGGAAGTAGCAACGATTTGTACGAAAGTCATGATTCACTAGTAGTCTTTATTTATATTATAAAAATCTAGCAGACATTTAATTAAAAAAATTTCTAACACGTATAAAAATTTATTTATTAAACAGCCATCAGTTTATCTATTTTCTCTCGCAGCTAAATACCCTGCACTAAGCGTGAGACTCAAGATTTTAAAGCAGGAATCACGCTCTATCTATGGCTTTAATTTCTCACGTATTTCACATAATTATAGAGATATTCTTATTTATTTAAACTAGCTGACTCGCGGTATGCGTTTAACTAGCGCATCGTTGAGTCGACATGAAGCCGCGATCATTTCTCGATTAGAGGCGAAAGATCCGTTGATTTATTTTGTATGTTTAGAAAGCGGAGAATTTTGCATATTAAATACAGATTCCCCTTGTATTGAAGGCGATTATGTAGGATTCTCAATTTGTGTGAGTTTGGTTGTGGAGAAGCTCGTTTTTTGTCTGCACATAATGCAGTGCTATGTAGAGCCTATGAAAATAATGAACTATGCATTTATGTTTTATCTTCTTATTTTTTTAAAATATTGGGTTTAACGCCGCTTTCAACAGTATTTCAATTAAAGCGGAGGGAATTTAACGAAACCAGTGTTCTCACAGTATCAAACTTCTCTTTGGAAATGAATGAATGGAGTCCGAGGTGGACCTTTGAAACATTTCATACACAGTAACCAATTCTATGGGATAATCTATTAGTACAATACGCAATCGTGTCTCGAATCCATGCCTTCCGAATTCAGCGTAAGACCATTTTACCGATTACAACGTGGCAACAGAAGAATATTCAAAGTTAAAAACCTGATTATGATCTCCGTTAATAAGGGAGAAGTCCATTTTATTGCTAACATCATAAACACGTGTTGTTGGTGTGTGTTTTGAGGTTGTTGTTTTCTTTCTTGCTTTTTATTTTGTTTTAAAGCAAACTGTATTGTACTAAAAAATGAACTAGATAACGTCAACATAATACATTATTCGTATTCAGTGGTAACAAAAATTGCACGAATTAGTTAATAATTATATTTTGTATTTAATTAAAATATACAGTATAACCTCTACAGAAAAATGCCCTTTGTTGCCTAGAGTGGTTGCTCTACAGAGGTAAAATGTAGTGGAACTCTTTAGAAATAAATAATACTTTGAGGGCCGCTATGTTATACTGTACAGTAATGAAAAAACGGTAATGATTCCGAGTTGAGTAATGGTTATATTGGGTGTTTCACATTCGAGTCTGCAGTTGCGAATATGCTTATATATGTTTTATTCAGTATGCATTTGCTTCCAAAATAGTTTATAGTTTGTCACATAAGTGCTCATTTTCTAATTATCATGACATTTTAATTAGATTATAATTATATAATCTATGTATTGCACAGACTTAAAAATGGTAAGCAAAAATAAAAATAAAAGAAAGGTTTCTGTTTCTTGTACAGTTTGTTTTTAAATATTCTTAAAGGGACTCCACTGAGGTTGAAAAGCCAAACACATAACATTTGAATTTCTTACATAAATGAGCTGGGCACTTTAAACAGAAATATATGCGAAGATAGTTAGGAAATATACTTTGAAATAAATTGAAAATCGTATTTTTTATGGCTTTTGTTAGCCCGATTCGGCCGTGAAAAGCGTTACAACGCTTTTCATTTTTAATAATTATTCTGGAAAAACGAAGTGCGGCGAATGCTCTGAAATTTTGCACAAAGATTAATGGTCTAAACCTACATCAAATGGTACATTTATCTGGAAAAAATTTTTGTTCAGTTCCATCATGTCAAAAAGCCTCAGTGGAGTCCCTTTAACATATTTGAATATTATTTCTAGTTTTTATTTATCACTTATTTCGGCACATTTGTATGCATATCTATTTTAATTGTATTTTTACGATGTGTTTTGACACCCGAGGCTCATCTGCCTTTATGTGATTTTATGAAAGTGTTTAAAGGCTGAATGTAACGTAAAATAAATATTCTACGGGTATAAGCTAAGCGACCTAATATTCTTACTTCATTCATACAGCAATATGTGAATCTTATTTTTTGGGCTGAAACTAGTTAATTCATATAATAATATAACACTTTAACAACATCACATTATAAATATAGAATTAAAAGATGTATGAGACTGTGTCCTGCAAATTAGAAAAGTATTTATATAGGGATTTTTGGATTAAACATTCTAAATGTGCTCATCTAGCGCATGCTTTCAATGAGAAAATAATCAACAATTTAAAAAGTACACTTCATCAAGTCCCTGTGTTGTTTATACTTACTATCGTTATGTTTGACGTAAGAAAATTGTTATTTGGTATTATTCTTTGAACGCCAACATCTATTAACGTCACCAAAATCATAACGTTTCACTCACCCTTTATTTTATTTTAAAACAGTAATAGCAAAATATCTTACGCGTTGACCCTATATTTTTATTGCATAAATATTTTCCTTTACTATCTCACTACACGCTCGGAAAATTATAGCAAAATTCACCGTGTTGAATTCTTTTTATTATACAATCTTTAATGCGATATCGCGCGATATTTGCATCAAATATGGACGTCAGAACGTAGAGAACAAGAGCTGTCCGTAAGACAGCGCGCTCGACTTTTTTATTGCTTGCCAATAAAAAAAGTTTTTGCAGTAAAAGGCAATACAAGAATCTCTGTATTTTTAAAGTGAACAATGGCCATGAGCATTAAGATATTTAGTGAAGAATTATTTTACTGAATTGTGTGATACCCTTGAACACTGCAGCAAAGTTTGAAATGTTTAAGTCAAAAGAGGGCTGGTAAGAAAGAAAAAAAAACTGAGTTGAGCCTTAAATAAATTTAATAGTATTAAACAAATCCTTGACAGAGTTACCTTCTCTTGCGTACAGATGGGGTAATGATGTGAAATAGCATTAAAAGTTTCAAAGCAATATCTCAAAGGGTTAAGGCAATAAGTGGATTTTACCCATATTCAATGTATTTTCTAAGTCAAAAAGGGGCATAATTCTGTCAAAAACCTTGACAGAGTTATGTCCTCTTGTCTGTTGATGAAGGTCGTGATGGTAAACAAGTATGGTCAGTTTCAAAGCAATACCTCCAATGGTTTTGAAATAAAGTGAGGTGGTACAAAAAACTTAACCAAGCTCAATACACTTTCTAAGTCAAAAAAGGGCCATAATTCTGTCAAAAACCTTGACAGAGTTATGTACTCTTGTCTGTAGATGGAGGTTATGATGGTGAACAAGTATGGTAAGTTTCAAAGCCATACTTGTAATACTTCTGAAATAAAGTGGGGTGGTACGAAAAACTTAACCAAGGTGTGACGCCAACGCCGACGCCGACGCCGGGGCGAGTAGGATAGCTCCCCTTTTCATAGAAAAGTCGAGCTAAAAATGACGTAAAATCGCAGACTATTAAGTTAATGTTAAAGAAAGACATCATTACAAAGACATAAATTTACTGAACATTATAAAATTAAAATGAAGGAAATCGGATGAAAATTGATAAGAACAGACCGGTTTATTGATAAAAAAAGACGCAATTTCACCGCCACCGATAGAGGGCGCTTTGACGTCATAGTAACGCTGTTTATTTATAAAATAATACTGCAGAAGTAAAGCTTACATATTTATATGTTTGCATACCAAAAATCATCAAGATCTGAGATGTTGTCATATTTCGGTCGGAAAGTAGCGAGCTACCTTAAAAGACTGATGTAAACTTTAACCAATAATTTTTTAACTTCACAAAGGTCCATAATTAAGTCAATCTCATGTGCAAGCTATGGGCCTTGGAAAGTGTCCTCCAATAATTATGGTAATTATAAAAGACATGTATTAAGTTTCAAGTGAATACTTCCATTAGTTTAGTAGATAAATGTTGCTTGCAAAACTTTTACCAAGAAATTACTAAGTTCACAAAGGGCCAGAATAATGTCAAAGTCAATGCTAGAGTTATGGATCTTGGATAGTGACCATCTATAATGATTTAAATAAGTGTGTAATGTTACAAGCCAATACCTTTAGTGGTTGATGAGGTATAATGTTGTACAAGAAGTTGCACATGAAACTTAAACCTTGTGTTATGCCGAGTTGATGAAGATGCCTGGTGAATAGGATAGCCCAACTATTCTTGAATCAATCCAATGATCAATTGATCGAATTAAAAAAAGGCACAATGCCAAAAATAAAACTTTTAGAACTATGCCCTTGTCTAACAAATGCAACTGGTCTCATTTTAATGTGTTAAAATAATGGGTTAGATAGATGTTATCCAGAACTCAGCAAATGTGGGTTTTCCCCCAGCTAACCTGTCGGTACAAACAAACATTTACTGTTATAGTTCCAAAGTGCACTACCTGTCACAATACATTAGTCAACCTGTTGCTCATATTTTCAAAGCTGTAACTGTAAAAGTTGGTTTTTACCTACAGATTAGCTGGGAAAAACCCAAATATTCTTAATTCAGGAGTTAGTCTATTAAAGTTTTTGCACAACAATGACCACAACTGTGCAGCGATGATAACAGCTTTACTTTTTCTTCAAAACAGATAAGCAAAAAATACAATCTTAGGTGCTCCAATTATTGCAACTACAAATTTTACCTCTATGCTATGGCCTTGGTTTGCCCTAATTTTCAGCCTTCCTTCCTCATTTTCCAGGGAAAACCTTTTCTTGTCATTACTTTCTACTACTCTTATCACATCTTCAATTTTGAAACCATTTAACTTCTTAACATATCTTAGTATTTCATCGACATACAAAAATCCACCTGAAATTTTGAAATAGAACTTTACATATATTCATTATACATTGACAGGCATCAATGATTATTATAATTTAGCACATCTACCTGTTAAAGTAATTAAAGAGAAAAGCATTCTTTGTACTATTTTCAATACCCAAAATTTGTGAACATCTGGCAAAGGCAAGTGGTTTACATGCCTTATTGTCTGCATCAGTCATTTGTATCTCTAGCCCCCCAACCACAAAGGGAAGTAGAAATAGCGGCATGAATTAGCCGTTTAACCTTCCAGGGCTCTAAGCACTTCTAGGTCAATGCAGCATTACATTTTGTCCCCAAATTAGCTTGAGATAACATGCTTTATCGCAGTGTCACCACAGGTACAAAAGTAAGATTACTAGAACCATTTCCAATGGCTATCATGCTTTTTTCCCAACTGAACTAAAATTGCTTATATCAAAACAGAAAATTTGCTGAAGTTCATTCCTATCATAACAGACAGATGTTACCTCATATTTTATTGTAAATATTGTATATTGCTTCGGTTCATATTTGCATTGGTTTGAATAAAATATGTCATACAATTCAAAATAATGAGCAAAAAGAGTCTGAATTGCAGTTTCAAAAGGTAAGGAAATTAACATGAAATTTAATCAATAGAGCAGGAATTATACCAAGATTTCAAGATTTTGCTGGTACCAAAGTAAATATTCAAACTATTCATCATAAACTGGATGGGGCTTTGGGCAGAGTTTACAAATAAAATAAATAGAAAATGACAAAATATGCCCTATTGACATAATCTGTTGATAGAATTAATAAAAAGAGCATGGCATAGACAGAACAATAATTATGTCCAAATGAAAATTTTTTTGGGAAATAATAATAAAACATTTCTTTTAGAGAGAACTTGCCAATTCCTGAAATTTGTCCAAAACATGAATTATCTGAAACAGCGAAATAATTTATACACAAAGTTTATTTGGAATAGCAAATCTATTGTTTTTATAAAACATCTTGTAATTAGCTGAACATCTGAAATGTAAATGAAGCATTACCTTTCATCAACTGGAATCCAAATCTTTCAGCATTGTGTCTCAAGATGGATGATAATGTTTTTGACAAAAACACATCTGGGTCTTCATCCTGAATATAAATGATAGTTGAAAACTTAATTATTAAAGTGCTGGTGATAACAAAAGCAATTCAATGCCAACAGCATAGATAAGCCAGACTGCTCCTCTATTTAAACTGACCAGACTTTATACTGTTGGCTGCATATATTTTTAATCTGAAACACCTAAATTAGCAATTAACAGATCCAAATTATTTAAGACAGGATAAGTCCTATTATACAAAATAAGAGTGGAAGCAAATGCAGTGCTGTTGTAATATACAAATGTTTTTAATTATAGTTTCTATTTTTCTTCAATATATATCTACAATGATTCATATTTTGATACTTTTTTTCAAACTGGCAAAAAGATATACCAAAGAGCAGTGGTTCATAAAAAAGTAAAATTATTATCTTAGAAAATTACCCATCTTTGTTGGTATCTTCCTGGTGTTTGACTATCGCTACTACCATATCCACCTTGCTGCCGTCCCCTATTGTGCTTCTGCGGTGAACCATATCTATTTCCACCCCTATCATGGCCATGTTGTGGGGAGTTCTGTGGCCAGTAACCACTATCATCTCCCGATTGAGGCGACATCCAGTCCTGGTTTTGTCTGTCTCTAGAACCTGACCTGTCTCTTTTATGGTCTTGTGAATTATTTTGTCCACTGCTGCCTCCATTTCTGTCATTAGAACCACCTCTGCTGTTTGAACCACTTCTTTGTCTTTCGTTAGATTGTGACCGTCTTCGCTCTTTTCTGTTTGGATTATGAAAGTTGGAATTAGAGTTTCTTTCATCATCTCGAAATCCATAATGATTATCAGGCGATGAAGCCGGACCATTGTTGTAATTCCATCCTCCAGGAGAACGTCCGTGATTTCCCCTACCTCTGTAGTTGTCAGATGACTTATTTGGATATCCTCGACCATTGTTCCAACCGGCTGGTGAATTTTCTGGACAGTTTGGTCTTTTAAAACCAGAATTTGATGAATTTTCTCCTGACATCTTTTCTACTGTGATAAAAGAACAATAATGTGTTACTTTTTTCTCATCTATTTTGTTGTATTTGAATAATACTTTTTTAACAAGATTGCATTTGAGAAAAATGCTATGTCACCGCATTAATACAACACTAAATAGTAGTGTAGGAACAGATTTTTTTGGTTTCTATACAATTTTGAAGATTGTCATAATGCATAGACCCCTGACCTATCTAATTCTTATCAGATTAGTGGTTAAATCTGTTGTTAACTCAAAAAAAGATCAGAGTAGTTATATATCAATGCACTCGAGTCTAGTGAATTTGGTGGTGAAGGTCATATTTCACACAGCCTAAATTTCATGACTACATCAAAGGACAACACAGTAAGACACTTTGTCAAAATCTAGGTCAGCTGAAATCAAAATTCACTTTACATCTTAATCTGTACACATGGTTCAAATTTCATAGCTGAACATCAAAGGACAAGAAAGTAGGTCACATCATCAAAATCTAGGTCACCTGATAACAAAGTTCAATTTTACAACTAAAACTGTGCACATGGTCAAAATTTCATTGGACAAGAAAGTAGGTCACTGTCCCCTTGGGCAAGGCAAAATTTTGGACCAAAGGGTTTAATTCAAAACAATCTTGATACAGGTGCACCAAACAACATTTCAAGTCAAATATCTAAGCTGTAGCTTTCTCCCATTCAGAAAACGTTTGTTTTATTTTCTGTTTTTACTATGTGTACATAATGAGAATCACTGCCCCCGGGCAGGGCCAATTTCGACACCAGGGGAAAAATTTGAACACCTTTGGTAGAGGACCTATAGATGATATTATATAGCAAACATCAAAGCTCTATGCCTTGTACCTTAAGACAAAAATATTTTTTATTTTTTTACTATATGTACATAATGAAAATCAATGACCCCTGGGGCGGAACCTATTTTGACCCCAGGGCTATAATTTAAACAATCTTGGTAAAGGTTAACTTTGCAAAGTCTCATGCCATATATTTAACCTCCAGCCTTTGTCAATTCAGATAAGAAGATTTTTCAATTCAGAGAAGAAGTTTTTTCAAGTTTTTACTTTATACATATAAGGAAAACTATCGCCTCTGGGGCATGGCAATTTTAACACTAGGGGCAAAATTAAAACAAGAAGATTTTTTAATTTTTTACTATATGTACATAATGAAAATCAATGACCCCTGGGGGCGGAACCTATTTTGACCCCAGGGCTATAATTTGAACAATCTTGGTAAAGGTTCACTTTGCAAAGTCTCATGCCATATATTTAACCTCCAGCCTTTGTCAATTCAGAGAAGAAGATTTTTCAATTCAGAGAAGAAGATTTTTCAAGTTTTTACTTTATACATATAAGGAAAACTATTGCCTCTGGGGCAGGGCAATTTTAACACTAGGGGCATAATTAAAACAAGAAGATTTTTTAATTTTTTACTATATGTACATAATGAAAATCAATGACCCCTGGGGGCGGAACCTATTTTGACCCCAGGGCTATAATTTGAACAATCTCGGTAAAGGTTCACTTTGCAAAGTCTCATGCCATATATTTAACCTCTAGCCTTTGTCAATTCAGAGAAGAAGATTTTTCAATTCAGAGAAGTTTTCAATTCAGAGAAGAAGATTTTTCAAGTTTTTACTTTATACATATAAGGAAAACTATTGCCTCTGGGGCAGGGCAATTTTAACACTAGGAGCATAATTAAAACAAGAAGATTTTTTAATTTTTTACTATATGTGCATAGTGAAAATCAATGACCCCTGGGGGTGGGGCCAATTTTGACCCCAGGGCTATAATTTGTACAATCTTGCTAGAGGTTCACTACATAATGTTTCATGCAAAATATCTTAACTCTAGCCTTTGTAAATTTAGAGAAGATGATTTTTTAACTTTTTCCTATATACATATAAGGAAAACCTATGGCCCCCAGGGCGGGGCTAATTTTGACACTAGAGGCAAAATTTGAACAACTTTGGTACAGTACCTATAGATGATATCATTTAACAAATATTAAAGCTCTAAGACAATAAGATTTTTTGATTTTTTACTACATGTTTATATTGAAAATCAATGACCCCCAGGGCGGGGGGCAATTTTGACCCCAGGGCTATAATTTGAACAATCTTGCTAGAAGTTCACTTGACAATGTTTCATGCAAAATATCTAACCTCTAGCATTTTTCAATTGCTAGAAGAATTTTTTTTAAAGTTTTATACTATATACATATAAGGAAAACCAATGACCCTCGGGCCGATTTTGACCCCAGGGCTTTGATTTGAACAATCTGGGTAGAGGTCTACCAGACAATGCCTTATGCAAAATATCTAAGCTCTAGGCCTTTTAAGTCTTTACAAGAAGGTATTTTAAGTTTTTACTATATGCACTTACAGTGAAAATCAATGACCCCCGGGGCGGGGCCGATTGTGACCCCGGGGCTATAATTTGAGCAATCTTGGTTTTTTATACTTCCCGTGCTAACTTTTTTGTACTTTTTATATTTGAACTTGTATCACTGTTTACATTATATGTATATACTTTATGGCTATAATGTTGTTATAACATGTATGCAAATAACATGTTGTCGTTGTTGTTGTTGTTAGAGGTCTACCAGACAATGCCTTATGCAAAATATCTAAGCTCTAGGCCTTTTGGGTCTTTACAAGAAGATTTTTTAAATTTATTCTTATAATTCCTTTTGGTTGCCATGGCAACCAGATTTCTGCATGGAATGGAATTCTTTGAATAACTTTGGTAGCCCTTCACCCAAGGATCAATCCTGCCAAGTTTGGTTGAAATTTGACTAGTGGTTATTCACAAGAAGATTTTTTAAGTTCACTATTTAATCTATATAACACACACACACACACACACAGATGCTGCAGTGGCATAAAAATATGACTTTGAAAGGTAATATTCAGGGGAGAAGATCTAATTCCTGGAAGATTTCAAAATGACAAGGCGGACAAAAGCCCACCCTTGAAAATGACAGGGTGGACAAATGCCCTCCTGTGAGAATGTCCGAGAGCGCTTTTGTCTGTTTCCCGGCAAAGACTTATCAAGCCGATTAAAGGTTCAAATATTTATATGCACTTTAAAATTTAAGAAATAACAATCACTTACTGATACTAGTCAAATGAGATCTATGAGAATTTGGAGTTAGAAATCTTCTTAACAAATGTAACAACTTGAAAGCTGAAAAAAAAAGAAACTTAAATATAATTCCAGAATAAATATGAAATTGTAAAAACACAAATTTGCTGAAATATTTGAAGATATAATATATATAAAAGTACTGTATTAATACCATTAATTTCTTAAAATAAATTTTCTGTGTTTGCTCACCAATGGGTACTGACATTGTTATAGAGTGAAAACAAATATCAGTATACTTCAATATTATCATTGAAGCCGAAAGTGTTCTTTTGTGTGTGTGTTTTTTTTTTAAACAGTTGTATATTACATAAATTAGATACTGGATATTAATTGAAATTAAAGAAGAAAAAAACATGTTAAAATTTGAAATTCATAAAATTTCCACTAAGTACAGGCATTTACTGCTTATCATGAAAGCAGAGTCTTTCAAATTCCTATTAAAAAGTTTCTGATAAAGACAAGTTCTAAAAAATATCTTTTAGATATGTGTAGATTCTATTACCATTACGAAATATTTTTAAAGTGAATATTAAAATAGCTTTGCTTATTTTTCCTATTTTCTTTTGGTTCAAGCTAACATATTGTATGCATTTTAAAAAGAAATTATTTTAGAATATGCATACATGACACGGCATTACCTGCTGATGCATACAATAATAATTTTGATAATATCAATATTCAATTTTATTGTTTTATACTTATTTAGATTTTATCAAATCTTCTGATATTCATAACTTATGGAAATTCTCAATTGATCCTATTTTTAACAATATACATGTATAAACATGTCAAAATAGTCAATATTACCTTGTAATTTTCACACCTTATGGCTTGATTAAGTTAGAAAAATAATTGCCAATCTCTTTGTACCACACAAGCCATTTGTTATTATCTTATGACACTGATTAAATTTAGCTTTAGGCATCATTATAATTATGATAACATTCTCAAGTAAATATGTGGGGCCTCCGTGGCAGAGTGGTTAAGGTCGCTGACTTGAGATCACAGGTCCCTCACCGCTGTAGGTTCGATTCTCACTTGGGTCGAAATCTTTCATGTGAGGAAGCCATCCAGCTGGCTTACGGAAGGTCGGTGGTTCTACCCAGGTGCCCACTTGTGCCTGAAATAATGCCCGGAGGGGCACCTGGGGTCTTCCTCCACCAATAAAGCTGGAAAAAATCGACGAAAAAATCTCGGCGGGACGCTCTAGGATGGCCCGACTTGAGTGTACGGTCGCCCATATGGGCTTTCCGGCGGCGACCTTAAATAAACGCATTAAAAAAAAAAAAAAAAGAAGTAAATATGTCAGTCTAGTCTGAGACATACTTTGGGTCCTATTTTACTTGAGCAATTTCCTTTAACATTTACAGCATAGTTTAAATTGCATGAGTGGAAACTCCCAGTTAATCATACATTAAAACAAGAGGGCCATGATGGCCCTAGATCGCTCACCTGACTTATCAAACTCATCCAAACAATTACCTAGACAAGCATTCTGACCAAGTCTCATGACAGATGAGTCAAAAATGTGACCACTACAGTGTTAACAAGGATAATCCATATTTGAGCAGTGCGACCTAGTTTTTTACCCAGGTGACACATATTCAAACTTGACCTAGAAATCATCAAAACAAACTTTTAGACCAATTTCCAGGATACTTGGATCAAAACAGTAGCAACTAGAGTGAGTGATAACAAGATTTTTCTATTTTTAGCTCCGGTGACCTAGTTTCACATGCGATTTCGAACTCATCCAAGCAATTACCTAGACATGCATCCTGACCAAGTTTGATGATAGTTGAGTTGAAAATGTGACCACTAGAATGTTAACAAGGTTTTTCCATATTTGGGCGGTGTGACCTAGTTTTTCATCCAAGATGACCCATGTTCGAACTTGACTTAGAAATCATCAAAACAAACTTTCAGACCAATTAACAGAATATTTTGGATCACAACAGTAGCCACTAGAGTGTTAACAAGATTTTTCTATTTTTAGCTCTGGTGACCTACTTTTTCATCCGAGATGACCCATGTTCAATTTATTCCCAGCAATGACCTAGACAAGTTTCCCTGAGCAAGTTTGATGACAATTGAGTCAAAATTGTGACCACTAGAGTGTTAACAAGGTTTTTCTATTTTTAGCTCCTGTGACCTAGTTTTTCATCCGAGATGACCCATGTTTCGAACTCATCCGAGCTATCACCAAGACAAGCATCTTGATCAAGTTTGATGATGATTGATGCAAAAATGTGACCGCTAAAGTGTTAACAAGGTTTTTCTATCTTTAGCTCCGGTGACCTACTTTTTCATCCGAGATGACCCATGTTTGAACTCATCCGAGCTATCATCTAGACAAGCATCCTGACAAAGTTTGATGATGATTGAGGCAAAATTGTGACCTCTAGAGTGTTAACATGGTTTTTCTATTTTTAGCTCCTGTGACCTAGTTTTTCATCCGAGATGACCCACGTTCGAACTCATCCGAGCTTTCACGTAGACAAGCATCTTGACCAAGTTTGATGATGACTGATGCAAAAATGTGACCGCTAGAGTGTTAACAAGGTTTTTCTATTTTTAGCTCCGGTGACCTACTTTTTCATCCGAGATGACCCATGTTCGAACTCATCCGAGCTATCACCTAGACAAGCATCTTGACCAAGTTTGATGATGATTGATGTAAAAATGTGACCGCTAGAGTGTTAACAAGGTTTTTCTATTTTTAGCTCCTGTGACCTACTTTTTCATCCGAGATGACCCATGTTCAAACTCATCCGAGCTATCAACTAGATAAGCATCCTGACCAAGTTTGATGATGATTGATGCAAAAATGTGACCGCTAGAGTGTTAACAAGGTTTTTCTATTTTTAGCTCCGGTGACCTACTTTTTCATCCGAGAAGACCCATGTTCGAACTCATCCTAGCTATCACCTAAACAAGCATCTTGACCAAGTTTGATGATGATTGATGCAAAAATGTGACCGCTAGAGTGTTAACAAGGTTTTTCTATTTTTAGCTCCGGTGACCTACTTTTTCATCCGAGATGACCCATGTTCGAACTCATCCGGGCTATCACCTAGACAAACATCCTGACCAAGTTTGATGATGATTGAGGCAAAACTGTGACCTCTAGGTGTTAACAAGGTTTTTCTATTTTTAGCTCTTGTGACCTAGTTTCTCATCCGAGATGACCCATGTTCGAACTCATCCGAGCTATCAACTAGATAAGCATCCTGAGCAAGTTTGATGATGATTGCGGCAAAAATGTGACCGCTAGAGTGTTAACAACTAAATGTGAATGGGCGACGGACGGACGACGGACAATCATCGATCCTAAAAGCTCACCCTGAGCATGCTCAGGTGAGCTAAAAAGTAGGATACTGAATGAGTGTAGGTTTAATACTAAATTTATTGAACAAGTTGAATAAAATCATATAAATAGATTGTTGTTGACAGTCTCTCTTTGCTGGTGACCAATATTTTTTTTTGCAAATTTGAGGCGGCCCGAATTTCATTTTAGTCAGTCAAATCAGCCGCTAGCTGCCTCCTAATTAAAACCCTGATATGGTAATAAATTTATGTTATAAGGTCTAGTTGACCTGTGCCGAGTCAGAGACTTTTATTACAGAGGGATAAGAAGCTCTAACAAGAACTGTCGGAGGACAGTAACGCTCGACTATTCGAAAAGTTGTCACAAGGGTGTTTTTTATTGAGTATAATAATGCTTACCTATATGAATACATAAAATTGTCCGAAAAGGTACAAACCCTTCAGTAGTTATGGAGATACCAGCTTACAAGCAAAAATTTACCTAGAATTTCTAAGTCGAAAAAGGGGCATAATTATGCAAAAAAGTAAATCAGAGTTATGGAACTTGTGCCAATCATCTTAGATAATCACAGACAACAAGAGTGTGAAGTTTCAATCCATTCCCTTCAGTAGTTATGGAGATACCAGCTTACACGCAAAAACTTAACCAAGAATTTCTAAGTCAAAAAAGGGGCATAATTATGCAAAAAAGCAAATCAGAGTTATGGGACTTATGCCATTCATCTTAGATAATCACAGAAAACAAGTGTGTGAAGTTTCAATCCATTCCTTTCAGTAGTTATGGAGATACCAGCTTACACGCAAAAACTTAACCAAGAATTTCTAAGTCGAAAAAGGGGCATAATTATGTAAAAAAGCATATCAGAGTCATGGGACTTTTGCCAATCATCTAAGATAATCACAGACAACAAGAGGGTGAAGTTTCAATCCATTCCCTTCAGTAGTTATGGAGATACCAGCTTACACGCAAAAACTTAACCAAGAATTTCTAAGTTGAAAAAGGGGCATAATTATGTAAAAAAGCAAATCAGAGTTATGGGACTTGTGCCAATCATCTTAGATAATCACAGAGAACAAGTGTGTGAAGTTTCAATCCATTCCCTTCAGTAGTTATGGAGATACCAACTTACACACAAAAACTTAACCACAGGGACGCCGACGCCGACAAATGGGTGACTGCATTAGCTCGATTATTCTGCGAATAGTAGAGCTAAATATAAAAAGAATTCAAATTCTGACCCACAATCCTTTGCATGTCAGATTCATTGGCCCTTAATTGGAGTTGATCAGTTTCCAACATCTTGTTTTACATAACCAAATTTGCTTACATGTTCATCTATCAGTATTACAGAGAATAATTTACATCTTCTTGTTCTGTATTACTTTTTAAATACACTTTTGCAACTTCTTAGATTACCACAACAAATTTCAGTTTACTTGGCAGCATACATTTATTGTCGGTGCCCTTAATTCGTCCCTGTCATAAAGTCAACACCCTTACTGTGTATGTTAGAAAGTCTCAACAAATGTCCGTTAATAAAGAAAACAGGGAGTCGTATATTTTTATACATAAAAGTAAATATATTGTATCTGCAAAATTTCTTATCATAGAGCGCTTGGATAATAAGGAAATATAGTCTGTCAAACTAGCACTGTAAAATGCTTAGGGTAACGATTCATGGCCACCAGAGGATAAACATGTACACGTATCTGTAAGATTTCTCTTGCCTAACATGGTCTCGGAAAATATCACAAAAATGTGAACTTGTGTGATAATAAATCATTGATACAGATTTTAATTGTATGACATCATAGCTTCATCTCCATTTGAATATAGCTCCGTGGCCAATTTCGACAATTGACCCGTGCCAAGATATTACTCACCCTTTACCATATTATAATGCCATTTCTGTTAGCCTTGTGATGGAATTAACAGGAATGACCCATTTTACAGTGCTATTATGCCGTTGGTAAAGACATTGCCAGTCAAAATTATCCTGATGGCTCTGACAAGTAGTACTGACAGTGTGACCAAGTGCAAAAACACATCGTCACATGTGCTGATTGTGCTCTGGAATACGACTTGGATGCTACCCCCTCACCATTCTTGTTCAAGTGGTACTGTATGAATATAATTATTCAATTTCCTGACTCATTTTTGGATAAATGACAAATATATGGAGCAAATTCTCTGTTAAACAGCGCTACTATAACCTGATAAATATCTTCTTCAACAGTTCAACTGTTCAATATGATTAACTCAATAACTGATAAAAATATAAAATAAAAAACACCTGCCATGACTTTGAAAAACTTCACAGACTATTAAAATAAAATCATATACATATACCTTTTTCAATTTATCATTTTGCCACAAGTACAATCCGCCGAATGAAATCGAAATTTGGAATTTCCTGTTTTTTATTTTCATTTTCCAAAATTGGTTGTGAAACGCACCACTGACAGGCTCATAAGAGTTGCTCCCCTTGAAATATTGGTTCTCGTTCTCAAAAGGTGGCAAAGAGCGTACGCCAGTTACCAAAATAGTTTACTTTCGGTTTGGATTTTCAAGAAATACAACGGAAATTGAGCAGGTAAACCCATTTTGTTCAAGAACTGTGCTTCTCCAAGACGTAGCCTTTCATATTAAAACTAAATGTGTTTTCATTTACCTTCAGCTGATTCTGGTCTTGTAAACATTGTTCAACTTATGTATATACTCAACAGTGTTCAATAATTCATCATTCTTATCAGCTTATCAGTGCTTATTTTCAGATAATTTTCTGACCCAGTTATTACCCTTTTTTAAATTTATTTATTTTTTTCCAAAAATTAGACATTTATTAATAGGGTAACTATTCATTAAATATCCAACAAGACTTAACACGTTTTTAATAGTCAAAATAAGAAAATGTACACAGTAGTTTGAACAGGTAGTCAGACTATTCTCTCCCTTACCAGTTTCTTTCCTGACTTTCCTCCCTGACGGTTCTCTCCCTATTTTGGGGGAGAACCGTCTGCATATTTGCAAATAAGCAGACAGTTCCTCCCCATCTTTGAACACTAGCTGTTGAATTTTATCATGTATTGATACATTCTGCTTTGTAAAGTACATTATACATATATAGATATAGTGTATCAATACATGATAAAATCAACAGTGTTCAAACTACTGTGTTCATTTTGACTATTAAAACGTGTTATATATGAAAAATTCAGCATAGAAAATCACAGTCCCCAGTTGGGCGCCAAATGTCACATGTTAAGAAAAATGTGCAGCCTGACCAGGTCTCGAACCCATGGACCGTTAGAATACCATACTGTGGGTCTACCAACTGAGCTATCCGACCGCTTACACAATATCTCCCCTAATAATTGAACAGTTCTGAACCGTAACACTACATGTATCATCCCACGTACAGCACTTCCCCCCCATAATATGCCACAAATATGCTTGTTTCAATACTGTATTGTTTGCCACTCTATTTGCCATGGCAAACGATGGCAAGTGGTAGAAGAATTACAGAAGGGCAATGATTCAGTGATTTTTCCCCCTATATTTTACAGCTGAATAAAGGCTGTTTGCCCTAGACCAAAACAGGTATCTTTTCTCCTGAAATGCCCTATGCACATTCTTCGCCAGAACCATGACTTAACAGCAGCTGACTTTTATCAGCTACTCGATAAATTTTATTGTCTGAAAGACAGAAAGCTGTCCCTATAGATAGCCTAAGCTATGTACCATGCATGTTAAATTGAACTAAAATTGATAATTTTATTAGAAGTGTAGGTATATTCCATTTTCAAATTTTCTACCTTTTCTGATTTTTCATGCTTTTAATATTCTCCCCTTCAGAAGGCTATAGGTTGTTTTGAAAATTTGAAAAAAAATCAGTGATGATTGTTTTTCTTCTTACATTTTGAACTTATACAGAACCTGTCCAACTTTAGTCATGTGAAGTGTAGTTAATATTAGTGCAATTTGGGTGGATAATTCAGATATAAAAATCAAATAAAGCTATATATACTAATCAAAATTTGCGGAAAGAGAGTGCTGGATGAAAATCAACCTTTTGGAGATCACATAATGAAATAAAAAAAAATCTTGCAAATCAGGAAATGGTTGGCGTAGGGTGTTTAATACCAAGGATGGTGTCTGCGGGCATTAATTACGGCCTGGCATTGCCGCTTAATGCTGCGGACCTTGTGATTAGTAATCTGAGCCCATTCCTCTATGATTGCACCTGAACTGTTGTTGATTGGATGTGGCAGGAAGAAATGGCTTTCTGCAGCATATCCCAAGCATGCTCAATTGGATTTAAATCCGGGGACCTCCCTGGCCGATCCATGCAGACTAGAGTTGTCTCTCCAAGATATCAGTTTGTGGTCAAACCCTAGCCCATCTGTCCATGAAGTCCGCACAAAAACTTGACTCATCAGTGTTCAAAGAGGACCAGAGTCCAATCATTAACAGTCCGTGTGACATGAGTCTGTGCCTATTGCAAACGCTCTTGAATATGGCGTTGTGTCAAAGGAATGCGAATTGCTGGCCTCCGTGAACTCAAACCCAGCATCATGCAACCTGTGTCTAACAGTTTGTGTGCTTACATGCACAGTTGCATTCTGGAAGTCGTTACGTAAGGTGGTTGCATTCAAGAACCGTTGGCGCCTGACCTGAAGGACAATAAATCAGTCCTGGGCTTGAGTCGTTGAACGTTCCTAACCTCAGGCGTGGCCCTGCAAGACATTTCAAGGAATCATTTCACAGACTGGAGACAAAGCTCTTGGATACCCCAAGGACATGGGCAAAGTGTCTTTGTGAACGGCCAGCCTCCAACATTCCATTACCCCTGTTCATCTCATCTTCACTAAGATGGCGTCGAACATGTCGATTAGCCATAGTTTGTTAATTTCGAACACATTTTTACAATAAAACCGAAAAGTCTTGCTGCCTGTACACGTTTAAGTGAAAGGTGTACGTGACAAATCAATAACTTAAGTACACGATTATGAGGTCCCTGTACAGGTGTATCGTTAGCGGAAATATGATTTTAATATGATGATAATAGGACTGAAATATGCAATGTCAAAAAGGTGATCCTTAGCAAATTTTGAGTTGTATATAGTTATGTCAGTAAGATATCTAGCATCATTTAATGTGCAAATTAGAAATCAAGAGGCATTTATAAATTTAATATACTCGTATAAGTTGTATTTCAATATTTTTGTCCCTTCTTGCACATTTTTTCTTTTCCCTCTTCAACCTTTAATATTACAAAATACCAATGAACATTTAGAAGAAGAACAAATGCTGTTTGTAATATATTGACTCGCTATTGGTCAGCTAGTATTAGCCACTAGCTGATAACCCCGCCTAAATTCACCTGGCATCACCTCTCTGTAGTATCATTAGTAAATAGATTTAGAAACCAGACGGCTGCATTGTTTAATCTCTCTACCCATGCTTGTTGATATAGCAGACATTACACTGTTAATATTAAAGAGAAGGTTTGCATCATTTCCAATTTCAGAGTTTCTCTCATAAATTTAAGGCTGTTTGAATTATGGAAAATTTTATTATATTTTTGCAGGGATTTATGACACAAACAGGGTAATGAAAGATGGATGAAGACAACCATCCGAGTAGGTCCAGACATATCCCTGCAGTAGGGGCCTGCCTCCTTATTGTCTTTTCTATTCTATCACGATCTGGTACCTCTATATTAACACCACTATGGTTAGATGCTGAAAACAATCATACAGACAATGTTACAACAAGCTGTGACACCAGAAATTCTGATCACCAAATTGACGCCTACACAATCATGTTCATTACTAATTTCATCTTTGTCATGCTTTTTGGCGTTGTTCTACTGGTCACAAAGTTTGTGTGTCCGTATTTGATCACTGAACGAGAGACTAAGTATAACAAGAAAGAGTTTGCATTGATTGGTGTGTCTGACACAGTGTCCGGTATTTGTTTTGTATATGCCAGTAGTGGTTGTCGCACTGCTCCATACCTCCAGTCATTAGCAGCTAACTTCTCTGTACCAGTCACATTTATAATAAGGTAAATTATATATTTCTCATTTTTATTTTTCGTTTTTACTATTTTTATATTTTGTTGATCAGAGGTAAATGATATATAACAAACATTTTGATGAAATAACCAAAGATTGCTGCAACTTGAAACAATTCTTTATATACTACTGCTTAAACTTGAAAATCAACTCCTATAACTTGAAACAAGACTGCTACAATTTGAAACATGACTGCTACAACTTGAAACACTTGCTACAATTTGAAAACTACTTACTTTCATGACTTGATATGTTATTACTTTGAGTAGAAATTTTATAGGACAGATATATATCATAGTGTTGTTTTGTAAGTAAGGTTTTTTGTTGGTTGATACTAGCTTTATAATATTAATGTTATTTCACCTTATAGTATATTAATATGATTTGTTAATGTTACATTTATTTTACAGATTCCTTGTGTTGAGAAAGCGTCCCACTTGTCGTAAAACATTCTGCGCTGTATTGGTGTTATTTGCGGAGTTTACAGCTTTACTACCGGACATATTCCCTGGCCTAGAGAGTCAACAAGCTCGGAAAGATCAAGGTGGCACTCTAGGTGCTCCTGGAATACTTTGGCCTTTATGCTTCTTCTTTGGTTTTGTAAGTTTAATGATATCATTGTGAAATAGATTAAACTCTTTTGAGGTATGAAAGACTTGAATAACAAAAACTAAAATAACTGTTCATTAGCAAGCATTTAAGACATACAGTGTTTAAGATTTCTTGGTTTTAAATACACGCATTTTCTGTTATATGTATATCTACTGTTACAAATGATTTTATAATTTTGTTATGCTATAAAAAATTAGCTATTTTTTTGTTATATTTTATATTGTGTATATTAAATAAGTAAATAAAATTTAATACAAATATTTTACTTACTTATTTAATATACACAATATAAAATATAACAACTATAAAAAATTAGCTATTTTCTTGTTATATTTTATATTGTGTATATTATTTTAAAATTAGAAAATACAAAATAGAATTTAAAATGAAATTTAATACAAATATTTTACTTACTTATTTAATATACACAATATAAAATATAACAAGAAAATAGCTAATTTTTTATAGCATGACAATTTGTTATATGCTGAAGCTGTGATGAAAGTTTTACTATGTCTTTCTTAACTTAGCATAACACATTATATACATGAAAGCTTAACTGGTGTATTAATATTTTTGCCATGGAAAAAGTACAATTAAGTACAGAAATAATTAGTCATTTATGACATAGTAAGGCAGGGTTCGTACAGTCTTAAAAAGTGCTGAAATTTGAGTCCCTTTCTTAAAAAGTGCTTAAAAATGTAAAAAAGTGCTTAAAAGTCCTTGAATTTGATTACTCTCTTGAAAAGTGCTTAAAAAGTGCTTAAATTTGCTGAAAATGTGCTTAAAAATGATTGAATGACATAGTGTCGATAAAAATCAACAGTTAACAAAATAAAAAAATATACAATTTAGTATCAGAATCAATTAAATGTTTGCTCAAAGTAACAGTAAGTGGACAAAAATTGCAGTTGTTTCGAACTAATCTTTATCTGCTATGCCCTTTGTAGTTCTTCTATAACATCCTTAAAATTGTGGCCAGAAAATTCGTATTCAACAAAAATTGGCGAAAAAACTATCCTTATTAGAATGAAGATTGTTGATTTATGTGCAACAAATGTGCTTGAAAAATGGGAAAACGTGCTTAAAAAGTGCTTAAAAAGTCCTTGAATTTTGGCATTGGATGTCTGTACGAACCCTGTAAGGTAAATGATCCACAGTTGCCCTATTTCAAAGGCAACCCAGGTTCTTTTACATGGGACCTAATTTTAGAAGTTTCATCAAAAGGATAATTAGTATTGATAGAGGAGGACCATGGATCAAACCAGCAACCTCTGGCTTACTAGTCCAGTATGTTAACAATGAACCACCGATCTGCTTCTCAGGAGTGTGATATGATGACAGTAGCATTACATAATAATAACTGAAAGGAATTTCAAATTCTTTGAGTTTTAGCAGCGATCAAGAGTTATGCTTCTATTAAAATGTCGGACCAGTCTGTACTTGAATGCAATCTGACTAGACTCCACTTACTTTCAGTATAAAATTATTGCTTTTGCATTAGAAGGTAAAACTATTATTACATGATATTACTTATTAAATTTTTATTTTCAGATTCCGATGGCTTTAGTTTCGATTATCATTGAGAAAACAGTAAAATCATCATTACCTGCACAGAGACGGCCCAATGATGATGATATGGACATCAATATCGCCTACTTCCTGTTCTGGTCATACTTGTTCAGTCTTCTCTCACTCATGCTGTTGTTTTGGACTGACATTATCCCTGGATTTGGAATGTCAGATAACATTGTAGATTTTTCAACCGGGTATATATAATATTGTCATAAAAATGTAAAGTTTGTCAATTAAGAGAATTTAGAATGTAGGCTATAATGTTTTTGTTAATTTGGTTCACCGTTGTCAGACCTGTTGCCTAAACATTGTATATCAACAACTATTTTAAAGGAGAACCTCTCCTTAACTAGTGCTAAAATTTTAACAATTTATGATTGTTGTAAGGATAATTTTTTTCATGTTTTATGAAATTTAGAAAATTAAAATTTTGAAATTTTGAAATTTTAAAGATCAAAATGCTTTGACCTAGAACTTTCAAACTTTGTATATAGATGTACTTTGATGAGTTTTACCTCCTACATCTATTGACAGGTCAAATTATCATTGGTTAATGTTACTTGGAATTCAAGTTATATCTGTAATTATGTAGGAACTGTCAAGCACTAAGGAAAATAAAAGGTGCTGGTGGTGGGAACGTTCTTGACTCTTGTTGTGCCCCCACTTTAGTGGCGGGCGATTAGATTTACCCTTGTCCGTCCGGCCTGTCCGCCCGTTCTCTTTTGTGTTGCACGTAACTCTAAAGTATTTGACCTAGAGTCATGAAACTTTACAGGAATGTTGGTCAGCATGTGTAGTTGTGCACCTGGGTATTTTAGTCTGGATTTATTTAGTATTTTTAGAGTAATTGCCCTTGACTTAGTAAAATTTTGCAATTTTCAACTTGTGTCGCATGTAACTCAAAAAGGATTTGACATAGAGTCATGAAACTTTACAGGAACATTGACCAGCATGTTTAGTTGTGCACCTGGGTATTTTTGTCTGGATTTATTCAGTATTTTTAGAGTTATTGATCTTGACTTAGAAAATTTATGCAATTTTCAACTTGTGTCGCATGTAACTCAAAAAAGATTTGACATTAGTCATTAAACCTTATGGGAAGGTTGCTCAGCATATTTAGTTTTGCACCTGGGGTTTCACTTGTGGATTTATCCAGTATTTGTAGAGTTATTTCCCTTGACTTAGTAAAAACCGTTTCATTATGTTGTTATTTGTTCCTTGAGTGCTTGAGTTAGAAAATCAACCAACTTTACAGGAATATAATGCTCAACATAACTAAATTACAGGAATAATGATTCACATCACTGTGAAGCTATGAACCTGGGATTTTGCATGTGGATTTTTTTCAGTTTTGTTAGAGTTATTGCCCTTGACTTACAGTAGTATGAATTTGCAATTTTCAACTTGTTCATGCGTAGCTCAAAAAGTATTTCACTTGTAGGCCTGAAAGTTTACAAGAATGTTGGTCAGCATGTGTACTTATGCACCTCGGGGTTTGCTTGTGGATTTATTCAGTATTTGTAAAGTTCTTGCCCTTTACTTAGAAAAGAATTTTAGTTTTCAAAAAATATTTGACCTAGAGTCATAAGATTGACAGAACAGTGCCGCGGTGGGGGCACCCGTGTCCTATGGACACATTTCTAGTTATTCATATAGTTAAAACTACATGTACATGTAAGTTACTCTTTACAAAAGCAGAATGTAAAAGAAAAGTCACCACCACTAGGTTATGAAAATTTATTTTCTACAGCCTTCAGTTGTACACCAAACAAACTTTGATATGGATAATTTACTCTTTGATATATTTTCAGATTCTGGTTCAATGTTAAATGTTTTTTTGGTTACGAGGGTTGTAGAGGTACAATTAACGTGATATCTGGAACCTGTGTGGTGTTACTGTTATTGAATCGTATAACCAACTCCTATTTCTTGAGATATCTTGAAGGTGCTAACTATCTATCCATTATAACTGTAAGTCATGGTATATGATACTTTAGTTATATACGGGAAGTTTTTTCATTGCTCGAAAATTAGAGGATTTTTTAAGTTTTCTTTATAAAACATTTTACACAGTAATTAGTAAAAAGTTATGAACCACATTTTTTATTTCATGCTTAATATGTTGGAAAAAAACACATCAATTTTTAACAGTTTTTCTGAAAGAGAAATAATCTTCTTTGTTTCTTAGAACTGTTGTCTTTAAGTGAACTTGTGCATATCATTGAGTGTTTTTATTAAATCATTTTGGGGATATTAAAGTCTTTTTTGCAGCTTTTTCATATATAAGTTTTGTGACACTTTCCTTTGCTTATTAATTATTGTAGTAACACTGTACAAGTTAAAGTACATGTTTTTAACTTTTCAGGCGGTACAGACACCAGTTGTTTTCATTTTCTTCACACTATTTGATGAAAATCCACTAAAATGGCATCCACATGCGTACTTGTCCACGTGGCTCAGTGTGGCTGCACTTTGTATCATGATACCAGCCATATATATCTATGATACAGGGTGAGTTCCAACTTCATATATCATTATACTACTCAATTTTTGTAATAAACTTGTCCTGTTTTTATTTTGGAAAAATACATAATGGTAAATAGTGGTAATAGTGTAATTTTCAATTTTCAAATTTCTAAATTGAGTGGTGAACAGTGAAGAGTCTGGCTATTTAATGGTAGAGAAGGTCAGGTATTAGTATTGTTGAGACTCCACATTCAAGAAGTCAGTACTCCTGCCCTTAGAACCAATTTATTGTTGTGGATTCAATATGTCGGTGTTTAAAGGTCTGGCTGTCGAAAGCAAGTGGTTCTACCCATCATTTCCTTAAATTATTTATGAAAGAGTTGTGGAAATAGACATATCTTCTAAAGTATGCAATGCTGCAATTATTCTCTTTGATGTCTTAAACTAATTTGATTATACATGTATAGCCATTTTAGGTATACATGTATATACAGTATCTGAATATATTGAACTGGACATATACAGCATGATTATATAAAACAATATTACCGTAAAATTCCTATTAAACGCCCCCGGGAGTTAAACATTTTCCGAAAGGGGGCTATTATTAAAATACATTTTTCCTAAATCGAAAAAATCACTGTAAATACATTTAGTGTTAGCAAGTGTTGGTAATAACATTAAAAAGTATAAAGGTTTTATAGTTCATATTATACATATTTGTGTTTACTATAAAATAAAATGGATTCTGAATGATTTGAATAATACTATGTATTTAATTATGAGTTCAGCACTGATGAGTAGATTATTTTCATTATCAAAAAGACCTGGGGGGGGGGGGGGGGGGCTTTATTAGGGGAGGGGCGTTTATTAGGAATTTTACGGTATGCTTTCTTTATATGGCAGAAATATGTCAAGTCAAATTTAAACAATTTTTTGAATATTTAGACATTTAAATGGTGGAATAAGATTTTTAACACCAGAATCAATTTAATTCTAGGTTTGATTTATTGTGATTTTAACATGTACTGAAATAGATTGAATGATGTTTGAATCTCACTCGGCATGAATATAGTATTTTATATTACATGTACACAATAATGCAGTTATGATATGTTTTCACCTCCACTTTTCGAAAATAAAGTGAGCTATTGTCATGACCCTTTCATTGGTGTTGGTTACCTTTTTGTTAAGATCAATTTTCTTAGGAACTAGAAAAGCTTTCAACTCAGTATCCATGTTTATTATCATGAAAGGACCACATTAAGTCATGCCCCTTAATTGACTTAGATTTTTTCCCCCTACTCAACCTGTTTGATAAGGAACATTTGCTCTGGAACTATCAAAGTTAATCAATTAAGCTAAACAAGCAGGCTTACTATCAAAACATATGACTTCATCTTGAAAGGATTAATAATCCAAAAATTCATTCTAGCAAAGTCACTTTTTTTGCCAAGTTCCATTTTTCAATACACTATCAAAGGAATTCACTTCAAACTCAGAAACATGTAGTTTAAAGAAGTTCATGTAACCTTATAATTATTTTGACCTGAAATATTTGTTCTCTATATGTGCAGCTAAATCTGCCAAGCACTTTTTTCGTATCATATTTTGTATTGATATATAAACCAGCACTTAGAAAAATGGAGGATGCTGCATTAGAACATTCATGCTATACTATTTTAGTTACTGTTGAGCTTTTTGTGATCAAAAGTAGAAATGGTGTTTTAAGATATATCCTTTTTTACAAATTAATTTAAATTCTTATACAGAGCACCAGAGGTAGTACCACATGAACAAGAGCATGTGAATCGTGTTTCTGATAGTGCTGTGCAGACAGATGACAGTCCTCTTATTGATACAGATGTCAATCAAAATAATGACCATGATGGAACCTGCAGGCTTCGGTATGATTCAGAGCCTCCGCCATTTTTAATTGACTTTGAAAGTGATAATCAACAACTGAACCAAAATATACAGAGAGAAAATCCTCGTAAGAGGATTGGAACAAGCACTGGATTGGTACAGCTTCCACATGAAGTTGATGAAGTGACCAGGCTTCTGTGTGACACAGATGAACAAACTGTCTCTTTCAATTATGGGTCTAACCAAGTACACAGTCATGAAGCCACTAATAATGCTTGGAATGTGTAGAATGGGTAACTGGCAGATTTTTATTCTTGTCTTAATGCAAAATCAGTGTACAAGATAAATTTTTTTTTTTAAGAAAAGTTGTTTTTTTAAATTAACAAAGAATGAAATATATTCAGTAAATAACATTGTGAAATTTGATATTGTTTTAAACCTTCTTTAGTTTGATCAGAATAAATATCTTGAAGAAGAAATTTCCATCGAACAGCAAGATATCTGTTTGTGTATATTGTGTAACTTACATCTGTGTTTAAGAATGGATTTAACAAAGACATTGTCTAGTCCCTTCAGATGAATGTAGATAACCCTTTAGACTTTACAGAGATGCCACGAGTTAAAGTTGTTACATAAGTTCACATAAAATAGTTGTGTACATATGTTTCAATTTCAAATATTTTATTTCATCATTAAGTATTCAATAACATAAACCAGTATTGTATTTACTGATGCATATATTTAGATAGGCAATACCAAAGATAAATGAGCAGTACATGACTAAAAATAACATGACTAAAAATAACATGCATTATTTACCAAAATCTGTACCTTTTCAAGTTTTATTTAGTTGAAGTAGACAGAGCTTTGTCTAATTTCTTTCTTTTTAACTGCCTTTTCTTCTTCTTTTTTTCTGTTTTCTGCTGCGTCATGTCATTGTGCAAAAAAATTCCTGTAGCCTATTACTTAAACATTATAAAAGGTACTATCATGAAACTTGGAAAACTTATTCATCATGACAAGGTTCAATTTTTAGTCAAGGGGCATACTTCTGAAATCTTTATTTTTGGAGTTATGTCCCTTTTTAACTTGTCAAAATTTTTTTGGGTTTAACTTGAATATTTTAAAAAATTGGTTATTGATAGTTGTTGGCCTTTACCCTTTTGCTGCCAGAGGGTTATTGTTTTATTGATCACCTATTTGCCAGAGGGTTTTCTAAAAAATTACTATATTATTAATTAATATAATAATTATTATTTGTTATTAGTATTATAATAATTATATATATTTCGAAATCTGTGAGTATAATAATAATTATTGTCGGTGGTATAATTTTCTTTATATTTATTATTATTTTTATTATTATTATTATTAATTTATTATTATTACTATTATTATTATAGAAACGGCTCAAGCCGTCCATATGGCAAATACGCCGAAAATAACAGGGACGGCATAAGCCGTCCCTATGGCAGTGAAAGGGTTAACAGACAAGACAGTGTTAACATCACATGCAGTAATCTTGTTCTTTTATTGTTTTTGTATTCAGTTTTACTTAAAAAAGAGTATTGTTAAGTTTACTTTATTACGTTTTACTTAAATTAGAGTATTGTAATGTTTACTTTACTAGTCAATGATTTGTTTAAGTTTTTAGTATGACATTTTTATAAGGTATGTACATCATGTTTTTGTGAAATTATACTTAATTACGGCTTTAAAGGACTTCAAAGGGATTAGCTTTTGCCACCAAAAGCTTTTATCACCAGAAGCTTTTGCAGCACCATGTCAGCCTGACTTCAGTCTCACAAAATATCGATTTTCCGGTGCTGCTTGTAGGAAAATACAAAGCCTCAGAAAACTTCTACAACATAGAATTCCCTTTTTATACACTTTAAAGTCATGATAAGTATTCTATTTATTGCTTAGAAACAGAAATTTTGAGAGATGATAGTATTAATATATTTGAGCCGTGCCACAACAAAACCAACATAATGGGTTTGCCACCAGCATGGATCCAGACCAGCCTGCGCATCCCAGCAGTCTGATCAGGATCCATGCTGTTCATTTACAAACTCTATCACATGTAGAGAAACTCATAGCGAACAGCATGGATCCTGATCAGACTGCGCGGATGCGCAGGCTGCTCTGGATCCATGGTGGTCGCAAACGCATTATGTTGGTTTTGTCACGGCATGGCTCATTTCAGCTTTAGCTGTTTTAGTTTGTGACACTTGAATCAAATGATTCAGTAGTTGTAGTTTTATGTTTTTATATACATTATGTTAATTATAATGCTTTGACAATGACTGTTTTATTATCTGAATTATTTTGTCAATTAAGATTGTATTTTATTATATATCTGCTTATGTTTTGCTTAATGTACTTTGTGTATTACATTAATTATTCCTTAGCCTGCTTTCTTAAATGGACTCATCCATTTTTGGAACTGTTCATTTTAAAGTTGAGGGTCATCAGGATGAAAATTTAAAAGTAAGGAGGCTGATAGTACAGAGCCTAGTCAGATTTCACAAATGTGCATGCTAGCCTGGCTCTGTACTGGTAGCAAAGGTTAGTCACTTTTTGTTCCAGTAGGGTAGGGTAACGGTTAACAAATACAGTCCAAAAGAATCACAGCTTCATATTGCATACAAATGTTATCTAGATAAATGACATTTGATAAATAAATAAAAAATGTGACTTTACAATAAATATATAGTTAAAATTTGAGCAAGAATATATTATTTTAAGAGTATATTGACCAGGAACATGTTGGAACCAGGTGTGATTAGCCTTTGCCACCAGTATAGAGCCATGTCTGGCATGCAATCTGACCAGGCTTATTACTATTGGTACATGTATGTCAATATTTGTATTTTGAAATAGATATTTCTTAGTTCTCAAATGAACTGTTCTGAATTCAAAAAGGAAAAACCCATTAACAGGTTAAAGTGTATAAAGCTATATAGACCTTTTTACAACGCGGTCTGTTGCTATGAAAAAATGACCGGAAGTAGTATTTTTTTGCGCATGCGCAATTTGCGTAGGGCAAAAAGAGCTATGCTCTACATAGAAATGAATAAGAAATTCATAGACAATTTCGAGTTTGTTAAAGGTAAAAAATAGAAAATCATATAAAATAGCTTATAACAGGAACACAAAGGATGCCTTCATAGCTTTGTGGCCAAGATTGCCCAAAAAAGGCATGGAAAAGACGATTGTGTAAGAATTTACCCTTACAATCACTGACCTGACATTGAGATTATTGTTGTAAAAATATGTGGAAATATATATATTAGCAAATAAAGAAGTCAATTTAATTGTTGTTGAAACGTCCATATTACTATATAATATTTTATTATATAAATATCATTCTGAAAAAATAAGTCGGAACACATGATATAATTTTTAGCTTTCAGTTTAGCTAATTTTATCCTTTATCCGACTTGACTGAGATGCCAAACAGAAATTTTTTAAGTCACATAATATATTTAAATATTTTTTCAAACTCTTGTGAAGTTAAAATGGGTGATGGAATAACACACATTTTGTCCGGTTCCTTGTAACACATGGAAATGCACGTCACGTACACTATTTGTCACTTCACAAAATTAATAAACATTGATAAGATTGGTATAAATAAAAATTGCTTAAATTACGATTAATCATTTTCATAATTTTAAGTAATTAACTATGTCATGGTACTTAAACGACCCGGTTGAATGATATTGTTAAGTAGCAGGCAAATAACAACCGGTCACTTGTCAATCTGTTTGACACTTACCGCCTTGCCAATCCACTTTCAAAGAAATACCAATTGTGTAATATTATGTAATACATGGGTAATAAAATGTGATCTTTAACACCCTGTTGTTTTAATTTAAATTACTGATGAAAAAGTCACCTAATGATACCTTAAACAGAGGACTTTTGGTAATTGAATTACAAGTCCCGCTAATTTTGTATATTTTTTATAAATATCAATTCACGTTTAAGTACTTACCGCTTTAATTCCTCCCAAAATTTTTTTTTTCTGGGTGACAATACTTGAAATCAAGCCTTTTAAAGACTTTAAGTGCGCTAAATGTATGTTATCATTATTGCGCTTTTGCCCTATGCAGAATGTGCATTCGCGAAATGCAACATACGTTGCTATGGATAAATCGTACTGTAAAAAGGTCTATATATCTGCTGCCAGTTACAGAGTCTTCCTAAGCAATCAGTGCAGATCAAGATCAGCTGAGATTTTAGGACATTCTGATCATGGACTGCACTGTTCGCTATTCAGTCAGAATATATTTTGAAATCTTCCCTATTATAAATGATGAATAGTCTTGCCGGACAATTTAATGTTGTAAAGATTAAACTATATATATAGTATACATGTATATATGTATTGCTTTTTTTATGTGATAAAATTTACTAAATGAAGTTCGTTCCATTTATAATATTTTTTTTTCTTTTTAATATTTTCAATTAATATTGTTTTTTCATTTACAGTGTATTAATGGTGTATGTATTCATTTGCAGTATTTTGATTTATTCTGTTTTCCAGTTTCAGAAATTTTAATTTAATAAATTAAAACTTAGTTGTTCTTTTTTTTCCACATAATCTTAATATATCCATGTGAAGAAATCATATTTTTGATGAATATACCAGACCTATTTTGTTGTCACATTTTATGATTTGTGTTAATTCAATATTTCTCTTTACAGTATTTGCTAGTGTTTTTTGTTTTGTTTTTATTTGTTTATATATTTACATCTATATAGATCTATGTCTTAAAAAATGCATAAATTTAATTGACCACAGTGAATAAATTAAAAGTTTGATAGTTTATAAATTGTATATGAAACACATAGCACATTGAAACGTTTTATTTGACATTCTGTGATATAGTCAATCAATTATTGACTCTAATTTATTTGTTCATTCCCAAATTATGTCCTTTCTGGAAAACATAATATAACAGGATTAGCAACTTTCAACCAGAAAAGAGGTTTAAGGTTAGTGTCCATTCGACAGTCGATCGATTGAAATTGGTTGTGTTTTTAAATCATGTATAAATGCCCTTTTCATTTAATTTTTGTAACATCATTTTAAGACCATTAAGATACAAAAGAACTTTTGTGCAAGTTGGCAGATATTTTGATATTTTTCCTCTTTACACTGTTTACTATTGACAAAAAAATACCCTTTTAGTTACAACAATCAACATGACAAAATGGCGGTGTGTTCACCTGATTGGACATAAAGATGATATGGTATTAATTTCTAGTTGCTAATCCTATTATATTATGATCCAAGTTTTTTGCAAAGAATGTTTTAAGTAAAATTATGAACATGTATTATTTATGTTGAAAAATGCATGCATTGCTTACTTAATAAAAAAGCTGATGATTAATTTAGTTGTTGTTTCTTTTATATGTAAGGACACAGAAATTATTCTACTTACCGGTACTACAAAATAAAGATACTTTATAAATGAGGCTGACATGAACAGGCTCTATTAGACCAAGCCGGCAACTGAATTATGTCCCTTTGTGAACTTGGAAAAATACAAATGTAAGATTTGTGTGTAAATGACTAATGGTAGTCATTTTAAACTTCACACATGTCTTCAACTTCATGGTCCACAATTGGAGGTCAATTTCTAAAACTTGTTACAATGTTAAGTATCCTTACATCATCATCTTTGTTAATTCCTACATTAGACAGGCTCTTGTTTTACTATGGAGTACTAAGAATATAGCCAAGCATGTTATCCTACTGACAGTTCTGCTAACTTTTTACTAAATATATGCTGTATATTTTTGCAAGGTTTTATGAAATTATGGTCAGGGACAAATGTTGCACAATGATGTTAAAAAAGAGCTACTGATCTAAAATAGCTATGGAATATGTTGTCAACTTAGTGCAGTAACAGGTTAACTCCTTATATAATTTAATACAAGTTAACCAGTTATTGCACTTTGGTGATGTTGTGTTCATATTACAAACCAGCAGCATTATGCCTCGGAGGTAGACAGAACAATATGAAAAAGTGTATATCCACCAAGCTTATGTAAGGTATGTTTCCAACTCATGTTTCCACTTTGGCTGCAGCATGGTAATGACTGAACAGTAAATCAAGGATTTAACATGTGTTTCTGTGATAAATTTGGGGACCTAGATATATGTACATTTTAAATCACACAAGTTGTCTGCTTCCTAATTGTCATAATTGTGGGTTGTGGATATTGAAAGAGAATCTCACATTACTGGTCTGATGCTCAACTCCTGCACCACTCTTCCTCCACTAAATGAATTGATATCATTAATGAAATTCACTGTTACCTTTTGTAAATTCTACAATCACTTTTAAGTATCCAAATATGTGATACAGGTTTCAAAACAACATACGACAAATACCCTAGGTCTACTCAGTGAAAAGGGTCTACTTTGAGGTTGGCTTTGCCAGCCTAAAGGTGACAGCTTTCATGCACCAACCAGACAGTACTTAAGGTAACACTATATCTTGGAATGCCACACTTGATTCTGTTCTGCCAGTTGACATTCCTCACTAATGGGTATTCTGTCTACACTATCAATCAGAATGGCTTGCCTGTTTGCTCTGCCAGCTGAGCATTCCAGCAAAACATTGATTTTAGACTACATTTCTAATTCTTGAGACTATAAACATAGATTTACGCTGATTTTCAAATGTCTTGCCAGTTAGTTCTGCCAGCTGTGAGCTGAGAGGACATTTTTGTAACAGCTATTTACAGAAAAACACGTCTTCAGTATTGCTCTATTTATCTTTAGCAGTTCGGCACAGCAGAATTAACTATACCACATTTATGATGGATATGCCGCTGATGGATTGGCTTTAACAGCTATGCTTTAATTATATAAAGCGCTTTCAGTTTGCTTCTGGCTAATCTGAGCATTGTTTTAAAAGCAGAACATGTACATATCTATATTAATAGATTTCCCATGGACTGTACATCAAACCGGCTAAATCATCATTACTCTAATATTTGGGCTATGAAAGGTACAGTATAGTCAAAAAAGCAGTCAGGTCAAGTTCTCATTTTCGGGCTGCACATCACACTAATTATTTAGTAAGAGTTTTGCCGGATGTTTTTTTAGGCAATCTTTTTATGAATTAATACTGGTGTGTTACTGCAGAATAACTTGGTATTTGCTTTTTTTTCTATTTTTTTTGTGCATGCCTCAGAACATCCTTAAGAGAGGTTATTGTCATAATTCTCCAAGAGCTTAGATTCTCAGGTGCAAATATCTACTCTCGAATATTATTTTCAGGCATCTTAGGTGTGAATTATTCTGTATATCGAAACGGCAAATACATCTTTCGTCTTCTGAGATTTTGCCTGATCATGAGTAGATATTGAAGAATGATAATATTGATTGTAGGGACAATTATACACATGGACGATTAATCGCACACTCTTAAGACTCAGATGTACTATTACGCGAAAACCAAAACAAACTTCGGCCCCCCTGTGTTTTTAGTAGGCGCTGCGGAGAGTATTATAACAAGTATAGTCTTCTAGTTATAAAAAAAATAACATGTCCTTCTAAAGCAGTCACTGTGGCGTCTGTGACTGCATAAGCACAACTGATATCTAAGGTTTTCGGTATTGTGTGAAAGAAAAAATTAAGGTTAGGTGTCTCTTGAGACAATCAACATTAATCAGCTGTAAATAGTCAACGCCTTATACTGTCATTTGTTGAAAGAAAGAGAAGATGCTTTGGTGATAGATTGCACCATGACCCCGTAGTTATTCTGACATAGTGATATACTTTTGTGGCTCTTTTATATACTGGGGTAATAAAACAATATTTATTTCATATTCTTTTTCTTTTCACTATTATTTACTAAATTTTTGTAAAAAAGTTTGTTTTTTTATCATTTTTATACTATAGCAGAGACTTATGATGTTGTGAATATAGTCTATAGCACCTATGGTTTATACTTTAATTAAAACGAGGAAGGAAGTACTGTTACAAGTACTTTCATTTTTTTTTTACTACATATCTGAGTTAAAGTCTATAAAATGTTATTATTTTCAATTTATTATTTTCAATTTATTTTTTTCATTGTCTTTTCTGTTCTTTTTATTTTCACTGGCGCACATTACTAGCCCTTTTCGCTCTTTTTTATTCTTTGAGTTTTGAATCACTTCTGAAGCCTCGTTATGAGAAAAGTGGGGCACGCCATTTCTATCTGAATTGTGGCCAGACAACTTGGCTTCTTATAGTACGTTACAATTCTTGACAAGGAAAGTGAACATTCCTCCAAGTAAGTAACATTGAGCGTAGAGTAAACTTGCAATTTAAGAGAGTTTTATTATAGCCCCTCGTTAGTAAGTAAAGTTTGCTCAAAATTTGATCATGCATGTGGGTGGGGAAGGTAAAAAATGATAAAATCGAAACTGAAAGCTTAAAAACGTATGCTACTGGTGTCATGCTCTCTAACTTCAATTCTATCTTTTAAAAATAACGTCAATTTTAATATTTGATCAGATATAATAATGATATTTTTGCCATTTGTAGGGTAGGATAAGAAAACCAGCAGGGAAAATCATGTCATTTCCACCAAGACCACCAGTGGGTATGCCACCAATGACTGGCATGATGTCTACAGGATACACATTTACACCCATGGGTAAAGAATTTTTCCATTACTTTGTGTATTGAATTGGAATATCCGCTTTTCAAAGTGTCATAAACAGGTCTAGGATTTCATGATATTTATTGACAGTCTGTAAAATTTTGGACGATCCATAATTTTACAGATTTTTTTTATCAGTAAATTTACAGACATGAAGTATGAAAATAGTAGAAGTTGCGTTAGAATTCAAAACCGCAGGTAAAAATGACTTAAGTTTACATATTATGTGAATAAATGTAACAGTATTGTAAGATTCAGAACAATTTGATGACTTTCAATTTTCACTTTTAACAAATCTCAAAATCATCATACAAAGATGAAACTCACCCCATTACCTTTGTAAATATAGACAATCAATATAACAACTTGTCTTAAGCTGTGGATTTTAGTGTTAACTAAAAACAGCAGATTTCACATTGAATATCTGTAAATTTATGGATTAAAAGTCTTTAAATTTCTAGGCTATCTATAAATTTATGGACAGTCCATAAATATGAAATCTTAGTCCTGATAAATGTCCACACAGGGTTCTCACTAGGATTTTCAAAATAGGACTTAGAGTGCTGGGACCTCCGAGTCCAAAATCATGCATATGTTAAAGCCATCTTGTCAGCATTTATGCAGTTGATGATGCAGAGTTAGGGTGGCGCAGCAAACACAAACTAATTTGGCCATCACTTAGCTCTGCAGGACACCAGAACATATGTACTGTCACAAAAGGACCCTCCTTTTTATCTTAGGCTATTATGACATAATGAAATGATAGTCAGTTGACAGGTTATGGTGTGTACTCACTTGCTAGAATATGTATTTATTTTTGTTTACTATCAATAATCATGTTTATGTGTTCTCATTTAGAATGAAGTGTATGCAGAATCCCAGCTTTGAAATCCACGCCTCCGGCTGCAATAAATGTGTAAAGGGTGCTGGATTATGCTTCAATGAGAACATTGGTCTTTTCAAACATTTAAAGTTTATTTCCTTGAAATTTAAGTTAAAAGTATGAGTGCATGGCCTTATTTTGTTGACCCCCTAATTTCTGATTTTTATGAACATTTAGAAGCCAAAATGACCCCCGTGACAAGATTTACAAAATAAAAGTGTATGAACTATGATGTCGTATATGTAGTTATCTATTTATTTATTTGCAGGTATGATGCCAATGGGAATGCAAATGATGCCACCAACAACAGTAAGTAAAAAGGATTTTTTTCTGTAAGGATTTCACCCAACTTGATTAAACATGTATGATTTTCTTTGATTTAATGTTATTTTCCAGTTTTTGTTATGTTTATATTTCATTGAAAATTTAGTCAAAGTCAACATTTCAATATAAATTGTGAATTTTCATTTAAGATTAAACAAATATAACAAAACAGAATTGAATTATATGGCCCTATTTTTGGGACTAAAACAATGTGATAAAAACACTGCCATAGCCTGTTTTTTCATTTACAGGAGTTGTTTGTTTAAATGAGTTTATAATTGAAATATGAGTATATACTATAGTAAAGAAAGAAATAATATCTCAATATATAAAACATGTTGTTTAGCAAGTGTTTTAACCAATACCACTTTTTGTAGATGATCAGACCTGTAGTAACAAATGCAACAGCAACTGTGGTGACAAGACCGAAGAAACAGCTTGTACCTCAAGAAATAGATAAAGATGTAAGTCTAGCTTTGAAGCGCAGTCATGGGAATATGACAGACTGCTGAATATGTATTATCACTTAGCCTACTGGCAGCAATCAACTGAGCCCATGTGACCACTGCATTATTAAGGCTTCTAAAATTGTAAACATTTGCATGATTGCAATAATCGAAATGATACTATATAAACAGTCATACTGCCTTTTCTTTACCATGCATTCCATTATCAACTATATATTTTAACTACCAATGTACTAATTAGAATGGTAAAAGTTTAACTATTGTTTAACTATGTTTTAAAATGGTGAAATTGTAAGTGTGAGTGCAAAAAAGTCATATTTTCACTTATAAGGTATTCCATGTTACTGTCTGGAAATGCACACAAATAATCATTATATCATTATGTTTCAGGATAAGAAGGAAGAGAAACCGCCAGTAACAACAGTATTTGTAGGTAATATAAGTGAACGTGCACCAGATTCCATGGTCAGAACAATGTTACAGGTTTGTCTCTAATCTTTACTAAATAAAAACTAAAATGCCAGTGTAAACCAGTTTGTTTTTAAATGTTTGTTTCAACATAAATAGTATCTTCCAATTCATTAATCTTTTACTTAAAATGTTGAACATACAGATAAACTTAGACAGTTGAAATCTTGAAGAACTTTAAGAATTTGATTTTTATCTGTTTTTTGATAATAATAAAATATTTCTTAATTATTGTTATAGCGTTGTGGAAATGTTATCAGTTGGAAAAGAGTGCAGGGTGCCTCAGGAAAATTGCAGGGTGAGTAACATCTACGCATTTCAAGGAAATGTATTGAGTGCATTGCTTTCTGAATATTTTTAATATTTCTGTAAAATGTTAGTTCAGTGTATTAAATTGTATTTATTAAATTTCAATGATTTGACTAGTGGTATGTGAACATATTTAAAATATTGCATAGTCTTTATCCAATTTAAAGTTGCTGAGTGAAGTTTACAGTATTATTGGAACTTTAAAGTCGAACAAAAAGTGAGAGAAAAAATGGCAATTGTGTAAAGTTTAAATTTTTTCTACAATACAAGGTTCAGATTTCATCTTAAATACTTTCAAAATGGATGTGAAGTATGAAAATAGCAAGTGATTTTATTTTGCATTTGCTTGAAAGCAAATGTATGAGATGAAATCCAAACTTGGTTCATTAAATTTTGTGAGTTAAAGTGACATTATGCTCATATTTTCATATTCAAGTAGAGCTGAATTGACTTTATATTTCAAAAGATTGACTGTCAAAATGGTGTTTAACCAACAGTTGATATTGGAAAATGTTCAGGATAAAATTATAAATCTGCCTAAAATATAAAAAGACTGCACCACTCTTTTTATAAACTTAGCGCTTTAGGTAAATTCTAATGCATATTTACAGAAATTTCATTTGGTTATGTGAGTTATTTATTGTTAATGTGAACTTAATTATAAAATTAAAGGGAAAAATGACAAAATGAAAACTTATTTTGATCTTCACCCGTTCACTCACTATATACCCTTGGATGGGCATAATGTCACTTTAATGAGAAAGTCACTCACAAAATAATTTTGGAAAAAAGTCGAAAAATTCCAACCCTGCTATAATAATGAATTGTTCTGAATTTGTGCATAGTGAATTTTGTGAAATGTAGATGCTTATAAAGTATAATAATTCATTTCAGCATTTGGCTTTTGCGAGTATGAAGATCCAGAAGCCACTCTTAGATGTATGAGATTATTAAATGAATGGGAAATAGCAGACAAGAAACTAGTAGTAAGAACTTTCATATTTACAAATGTGACATCTATGTTGACTGATCAAGCTACTAAATAATAAACTGAACATCAATGATTGACGGCCAAGGTAATTTGAATGGAGGAAAATTAAAGTATTGTACTTGTGAGAAAAGGTTTAAAAAGCTTGGAAATAAATTCCACAGAAAAATCATGTCGTAATCATATTTATTTAGTATCCCAATACTGATCATAAACTGATTTTTTACTGTTATTAGTGAAGAGGTGATCCTGTGCAGGTTCTTCTTTATACATAATGAGAATCCTTTTCTATAGCAAAGTTGAAAGTTTTTTATGCTTATGGAGAGATATTTCTTCTTAAAATATAATGTAATATTACAGAGATGAAAATGAATAAATGTCAAATACATTATTGGAATACTGAGTTGAAACTGACTTGAACTATTGTCAGGTGCACTAAAATTACTCTTTAATGAATCTGCAGGTTAAAGTTGATGCAAAAACAAAAACTCTACTAGATGACTGGAAAAGTAAAAAGAAAAGTGAGGAGTCTAAAGAGGAAAAGGAAAAGAATGGTGATAAAGAAGAGAAAGCAGAAGAAGGGGAGATGAAAGATGACAAAGATTCACTTGATGAGTTTACCCTGAGAGAAGACAGAGTTGCTAAAGCTGGCCTTGATGCAATCATGCGAGAATATGCTTTTGAACTAGCCAAAGAGCCTACAACTGCCAAGACAGTTCATGGTAAAATTGTGTTTTTAAACAAATGTAGATTGCGCATAATTATGGGAGTGTTTTATGTCTAAAAGTATTAGTACTCGGACTGCTAGTTAGGTGGTGTATTGATTTAAAAAAAGCAACATATTTTTTCACTTAAGAAGCCAAAGTATCCTTTACAAATATAGACTTCTGTATATTTACAATAGTAGAATGCCTTTATGGCAGTGCTATCAGTGGGATAGGCTGCTAGTAGATTGTGAAAGTAACATTAAAAGATAAAAGTAGAAATTGGAAAACTTTCTTCCTTTGTATTTTTCAGGAAATATTTGGAATTGCTTTTATGAATATTAGAATAGATTGTAAGAAAACACTAATTATGAAATACCTTTATTGTTTGTTTTTCAGAACCAGTTAGTGAAATCCCTAAAGTTCCAATGCCTCCAATTAAACAGAAGGATGCTTCGCAACTTCGAGATACGGTATACATACTATTTGTGTTGTTGTTGTTTTAGATATGCAAACTGAAAGTTAAGCATTTTATAATTCTGTTTGATTATTCTACATCAATAATAGTTGTATTCCTGCAAATTTTGGTCAGATTTACTTTAAAGCCACATTAAGCGTCAGAAATGATTTTTTTTTTCCCATTACGTAGAAAGGGCAAATGTGTGTTATTTTGAATTTATGGATTTAGAACATGTATGATGCTTTACACTTGAAGAAAATAATTCTGAAATAATTTGTCGGGTAGCGCAATGTAAACAAAGTGGTTGTAAAACTTGTATACAAAATACATAGTTATGGCCAATGAGTAACTTTTTGGTACTGCAACAGGGCACCAAAAAATAAATTAAAACAAAAAATAATAGCATTTTTTCAGGCTTACTGGGCCTTTTATCATTAGCTGCTTTCAGCTGTAGAGCCTTTCTGTACTCATGATCTGTTTGTCATTCATTTGCTGATGCTCTCGATTTTAATTGTGATAAACATGTATTTAACAAATTAAGCATGGTGAAAATAAATTGTTGTATATTGCAGGGTTTAGATGATTTGAATATGGAGGCAGACACCAAGGATCTGATCAATCGTGAAATCCAATCATTTAGAAATCTTCATAAGGTAATTGCAGTTAACATACAGACCTCTTTCCTGTATTTTTGAATACTGCTTGAATTCTTGTATTTGAGTATTTTGATGCTTATCAATATATATTCAAAGCAATTGAAAGTGAATCTGACCTATTCTTGTTGTTTTGAAATAAATTAAATAAATTTAAAAAAAACATTAATGAGCTGCAGCATTGAAAATGTGTTATTTTTTTGTGAGCTTAATATCAAGGATGATTTACTCTTAGATTAGGATATTTACGAAATTGAATTTTGTAACTTAGATTTTTTCCTCTTACAGGAGTGATTATTATTTGAAGAAGTGTCCGCATACATTTTCTGTTTTTAAAATTTGTTGTCAGGAAATAAGAACAGTAAAGTGAAACAAAATTCTTAGCACTTCATTATTGGTAACTGAATTTAACTAAAAAATATAGTTAAAATAACTATTTAAATAATCTATTTAAAATCAGTCTGAAGCCGAAAATATTTTGTTATTTTTCATCAGAAGCATTTTTACTTGGCAGTCACTGCTTAGTCATAATTGATGATGATTTAAAATATAAATTTTACCGTCTGAAGGTCTAATATATCTTGTATTAAAAAATTTCATTATGAACTTTATTAACATATTTGTCAATACTTTTATTATGTATAGATATTTTTTTACCTTGGAAAGTTGGTCTTTATAATTGAAAAAACATGCTTGTTATTAAAATAAAATCAAAATTATAAGAATTTTGTAAAACATAAAATTGGAGTTATTAGTTTACTAGTTTAGAAATGTGACCTTGAAATTAACAGGCTATTGTATTAATTCGATAAAAACTAGATTCTGTCGAAGCCAAAATCAGGCAAGAGTATGATCTTCGTGAAAAGCTGTTAAATTAAAATGCATATCGATTCTGGTAAGTGTTCACTAAGATTATGTTAAACAGTTTAGACACAGGTGCTGGATGACAAAACCAAATGGAACAGGTACTGTGAGAAAAATAAAAATTCAAGTTGTTAAAACTCCATACTAAGCATAGACATTTGCCAATTTTTACATTAAATAGGCCATAACTCTTTGATTTATATGTAAAAGTTATAATCCAAACTAGAATTGAACAAATGTTCACCATTTTCAGACTAATTGCAGCATACACAAGCTGCATAAGTTTGAAAGACTTGATCTTTGTAAGATCTCTTGCCTCCCTTAATACTCTGTCATTTACCAGTCTTTAGAAAAATTACGAATTTATATCAAATTAATTCTTACTTTACAAGATATGGCTCAAAAGCCCCAAGAAAGGTTGACATTGCTCAATGGCCATGAAGAATGAATCATTTAATGAAATCTTTAACAGTAAAAATAATAGTTTCACCATGATTCAGATATCACAATGAAGCTTAAGTAACACATAGGTTATAAATTGTTTCAACATGGATTAATATGTATTAAAATTGTTTCTATTAATCCCAGAAATGATTAAAACTAAATTAGAAATAGGGAAAACTGTTGACTGACACTTCAGGTTTGCAGATTTAAGTATAAAGGTAAGTGCACCTACTGTACTAAGATAGACAATGCCTTTATTCAAATGGAGAGCAGTCTAGGTTAGTGCCCCTACATACAAATTTCCATATATATACATAGAGTGCATTAGTTTATATTGTGTGTTGTGCTTTAGGACAATGTCATACATTAATTTCTGACTATGGTAGTACTTCTATACAAGAACAGTATGATGCTATATTTTCACTGTTCAAAGCATGATTGGTATAATAAGCAGGAAGAACATGTATTGTATATATGTAAGTTAAACTTTGTGGTTTGGATGTTAAGGCTCTTAATGATACATGTGACATTGTCAGTATTAAAAAAAAAACTGTAGAAAAACAAATTTGGAATTAGTTTTTTCTTGAAGATAATTGTTTTAATGTTTGAAGTGTATTATCTCTGGAATTATTTGCCAGAATATTTAGACTCATCTGTTCTTTATATTCATTTATAAGTTAACCCTGCTGAATTGGCTCAGTAGACAACACGGTTATATGATGTCCAGTCTAGCAAATGTCCTTATTTATTATTTAGTGAAAGATAATTAACTGACCAGCACCGATTCTTTTTGGAAAAAAATGGCAGTAATGTTATTATACATTTAAAATGATACAGAATGACCATGATCAGCAGCATGTTTAATTTTACAGAATTTACATCCTCATTCATTTTGTTACCAAAATCCTCCAAAAGTAAATAAAGTCTTTTTAAATAGAGCTGTTCATTTTTCAAGTAAGATACAAAATCAGTATGTTTAAAGCAGAAGGTATTTTTTTTTAAACTGAATATAGGCCTCTTCAAAATAGACACAAATGTTGAGAATTCCATACTGAAACCTGAAAACTCCCCAAATCTATTCTACGTTTTTAAGTATATATATCTTTTTAAGAATAGTACTTTAATGTGCTATATAATCTGAATAAAAAAGAATGTTTCAAAAAAGTTTTGCTAACATTTACCAATTTTCTATTGGTAAACATGCTAAATATTTCCAATTAGAAAGGCATGGGTTGTTGCAGAAAGAAAGAAAAAAGATTGTCATTACCAAATTTTGAAAGCTTGCTATTGTTCTTTTTTCCTTGAAGGAAATTGATAAGGAAAAAAACTATTTTAAATTTTATTTGGAGTTAATCATTAAAATTGTTGACAAAATTTGACTGTTAGGTATTTAGATCCTATGAAATGACTATAAGTAGAAGTGTATGATTTTTAAGTATGACTTATTTTGCGTTTTATATTCCTCACACACTGAAGCTTCAAGCATGTTTCTGGCCTCTGATAAAAGGGTTTGGGTATATTTGGCTTATTTTCAGCAGCTTAAGGAGTGTATGAGAGGGATATAGTATTGGCAGTATCCCCCCAAGTATTACAGTGCAATATATGAGGGTAATCTCGTTTTATAGTGTACCCTACCTGTGGTAAGTCAGACTATGCATGTATATGTACTGGATGGTGATCTATCATTTTCATTCCATGTGATTTTATAAAGGTTCTCTACCATTTCTGTCAACTTGTTCGTTATTTTGCAATGCACACAGTGTGATCAAAACCAAACTAAATTGTTTCTTTTTGATACCCTTGATCAGTCTTATGGTGTCATAAATATTGGATTTTTTGTTTTGAATACTCATTAGATAGGAGCTTGCCGATTTGTATTTAAGTTATTGAAATGTTAAAGTTGTAAAAGTCTGTTTTTGATATGTTTTGGTATACAGTAAAAACCAGCTTTGCGACCACCCTGAAGACCCCAACACGATAAGATTTTTTTTTCAGGCCCTATTTTCCTTCCTTATTTCAAGGGTCACAAACCCCTATATCTAGACCACCCCTTAATTCCATAACATGACCAGTTAATTTGTAAATCATGTACATTTGTTAACAAGTAAATATGACCGCAGGCACTTTCTCTCCTAGATGTGCATCTATATTGCTGAAATTCTTTTGACATATGATGTAAACAACAGTTGGCGTAGTTTTATACTTTACGGTATAGGTGTATGTTAGTTTGTATAAAACTATATAAAATATAATTTCACACCTTTAATTTAATGATTTTTGGATTAGAATGTTTAAATAGTGAACAGAAAACTGTAGGAAATTATTTTAAGAGGTGTTGCCCCTATCATTATCTCTTTGTTCCGTATTTTTAAACAAACACAAACATGATGTGATAAAGTTTCTGAAGTTGTAATCACCGATGAAAACTGAAAGATAATTAAAGATTTAATTGGTCGGTGTGTTTTGTTGTTTTTATTTTTGTTTTTCAAAATTGTTTGTTATTCCCTTTTCTTGTAAAAATGATTTGATTTTAATATCGCAATAAAAAATAATAAAAAGTTAATGCATTGTGTCTTCTCAAAAGAGAGAAATTTAAAAATGTTGTCCAGAAAAATACATGTACAAAGTCGATGTGTATAAAATCCTGTAAATCTCATGCCTTATATATCTGTCTGACCAAACTCATTAATGAGACCAACCCACCAGAACAGATATGCAAAGTCTCTTCAGTGGTCTCATTAGCGTGTTTTTACTGTACTTTACCACAATATATTCTTTAACTACAAATTTTAAGTAGTATTAATATTGAAAAGAAACAAAATGCAATAATTGAAACAAAAAACATCACAAAAATTGTTTCAGTAAGGTAACTTATAATCATGTTCAGTGCATTCTTGAAATGGTATAGAGCCTTGTATTTTCTTGGTCTTTTATAAATACTTTCTATTTGTCTATGATTGGAAAATTGTGCAGTTATGTTTTTAATACAGTCAAACTTTGATACTCTAGTGCTCTTACTGTCAGTATAAAAATATATGTAAGGAGTGATCAATCCTTAATTGCCTTTTTTTTTAGAAAAAAAAAAATCTCATTTCCGGTGTCAAGTTCATTTTTGATCTGTGATAGTATTTCATCACTGCCCATATAATTTATTTAAATTCCAAGGTTTGACTGTGTTAATATCCTATATGAAAATCCAAGGCTTTCTTCCATCAAACTATTTTTCAAGTTTTGTTTTCACGAGTATATCGTTTTTCAATAAATGAAAAGAGTTTTTTTCAAACAGATTAGAAAAATGTAACAGTTTGGAAGGAAGCCTTTGCAAAAGGGACATTGGTTTAAATCCTTAAATTGCTTCCTATTCATCAAGATTAACATTTTTGTAAATGTTTCAGGACATTGAGGATGCTGAAGCAGAAAAAGAAAGAGAGAGAGAACGAGAAAGAGAATTTACTAGAGAGAAAGAGCGGCGTATGGCTGAAGAACGACGGAGGAAAGAAAAGGAACGAGAAGCCCAGCGGGTCAAAGAACTGGAACTGTATGAAGAGAGAAGGAAAGCCAGCAAGAGAAGGGAGAGTAGAAGCAGGTCAAGGTCGAGGTCAAGTTCTCGTGGGAGGTCATCCAGAAGGTCAAGGTCTAGAGAAAGAGAGAGAGAAAGGGAAAGGTAAAGTTTTTCAATTGCAATTAACCTTAAGCAAAATATGTCATTTTCTATGTAAATTTAAGCTGGCAAGTTCCTTTTAATTCAATTTTCCAAAGAAAAGAAGTTATTGTCATTACCCTCTTGACGAATTACTGCTATCAGCATCAATTAAGGTCTATTTTCTAAGAAACCAGCTGAAGTTCTGACTTCAAACTTGTACTTACTCATTCTGAAAATATGATGCCATATCAAAAGGGCAGATATTCCAAGATTATCTTTTGCAGAGTTATGCCCCTTTTTTGACTTGCATAATTTTTTTTGCCTTCAACAAAATTTTCTTGGTTGAGCTATTTGTTAATATCTGTCTCGGATATTCATTCTGTTTAAGTACTTGTTTACTTACAAGTGTGGGATTTTTTTATATATATAAAACTGTTATTATGTGATACAGGGACAGAAGGGCTAGAGATAGAGAGCTAGAAGAAGAGGAGGAGGCTTATGAGAGAAGAAAAATGGAAAAGAAAATCAGAGAAAAAGAAATAGCCTATCAAGAGGTTGGTATTTTGTATCTATATGTTTTTATTTCTTTTGAACTTGATAATGTAATTATAGAGAAAAAGAAATAGCCTATCAAGAGGTTGGTATTTTGTATCTATATGTTTTTATTTCTTTTGAACTTGATAATGTAATTATACTCCTTCAAATTAGGACTGGCTTGACTTTATTGATAAGGCTAATCACTGTCAGTTTTAGTTAAGTAAAAGCTACTTTATTTACTCCTTGATTTTGGCTTGTAACTTCCAAAATGTAATGTGTTTCCTTCTTTAAGTAACTTTCATTGTAAGAGAATTTGTAGGCTCTGACTTCCAAATTTTGGAACTTAATGGAAGCCATGCTAGTGTGATAAAATTCATAGTCTAGAGCATAGTCACATAGCATCACTTAGTAGAGCTCTACTAGTCACTTTTGATTCCTCAAGATTATTTGCATTAAGGCGTATTTTGCCATGTCTTTTGCAGTAGACTTGTTTGTGTAAGTGCTGACTATCATTCCATTATTTAAACTGAGATGTATTTCAGCAGTTTATCTAAACAAACATGTGTATAAACTCTAATTTGTTTTTTACCGACGTTTTTTTGAGTATCAGTTCAAGATATCCTTAAATCACCAACTGATTCAAGTAAATAAATATATATCTTTTTTGTTACACAGAGATTGAAAAACTGGGAGGCCAGAGAAAGGAAGAAGGCTAGAGAATATGAAAAAGAGAGGGAGAGAGAAGATGAAAGGAAAGCAGAAGAAGTAAGTTTTTTTCCCCAGATAAATGTTTTAAGCATTTACAAAATTTTTATAGTGTTTTCTATTATGCTAGCTTAATGATTATCATAGGATCTACATAATAATTGTCTGAAATAATGAACATTGGTTTTTTTCAATTTTTTCATTTCCATGAAGTTGGACAATTGTATCATTCACTTCAGAGTTCAAATTCACTCATCATCTGAGTCAGTATTTATTATATTTGCTCAATCCAGAAATGAATTTATCTAGAAGAACTATGTTTGAAATAGATAATCCTGTAGTTTTAACGTAACTGAACATTATACTTACATATAAATGATATTTGCCAAAATATGTTACACATAGGGAAACCAAGAGCTGGAATGACAAAAATAATATTATTATATGCCTTGTCTTATTAATGTTTTATGTTTTGGATTTTTAGGGGCGTGAAGCTAGGCGGTTACGAGAGTTTCTTGAGGATTATGATGATGAAAGAGATGATCCAAAATTTTACAAGTATGTAAACTTAAAATGCTAAAATATGAGTTTTAATAAGCATTATCCTAATTACTAAATATTCTTAGGTTGATGTTTATAGTTTACACGCCCGGCAAACTGTCGCTCCACTTCAAAATTGTGGTGTACGGTAAAACGAGCGAACGGCATTTCCGAGATAGAGTGGAAGGCCGATTTAAACGCCTAATTGTAAGTATTGTTTATGTTTTTGTCTTCTTATTTATATAAGTTGTATTTTTTCGAAAAACGGAAAATGTGGTTCCGTGTAGGATTGATTTAGGCTTCCAATTATCTAAGCTGTTACAAAAAGAAAATTATATTAAGCCCAGGAGAACTTTTTTCCCTGACGAAGCGAACGATGATTTGTAGAATATTGAACTTCCCAACCATAGAAATGCCATACCTTTCGGATTTCAATATTCTACAAATCATTGTTCGCTTCGTCAGGGAGAAAAGTTCTCCTGGGCTTAATATAATTTTCTTTTTGTAACAGCTTAGATCATTAGAAGCCTAAATCAATCCTACACGGAACTACATTTTCTGTTTTTCGAAAAAATACAACTTAAATAAATAAGAAGACAAAAACATAAACAATACTTACAATTAGGCCTTTAAATCGGCCTTCCGCTCTATCTTGGAAATGCTGTTCGCTAGTTTTACCGTACACCACAATTTTGAAGTGGAGCGACAGTTTGCCGGGCGTGGTTTACAGAAACATCATAATTTTCCAATGAAAAGCAATGTTACGAACATACAGTATTATTCTGATATAAGGGCACCTGAGGTCTCTCTTCACCAGTAAAATGGAATTTCCGAATAACCTTTACAGTGTCTGTGACTTGAAACAAACAATTACATAATTTTTATGAAGTGATATGAAAGTGATTTGTGCTTTATGTACATGTCTGTTTGTTTTGTTTTTTTCTCAGGGGCAGTGCACTAGAGCGTAGATTAAGGGAAAGGCAAAAGGAAAAAGAGGTTGATTCTAGGGATAGAGCAAAGGAGAAAGAAGAGTTAGAAGATATTAGAAGAAAGTTGCTAGAGGAAGGTCATCCAGATCTTGAAGCTGAAATGGCAAAGGTAAATTTTGTACATAATTACAAGGTCATTAGGGGTGGAGTGCGGTGGGTGCCTTGAAAAAACACACTGTATTATCATGTTGGTGCAAGATTTAAAGTGATAATGCTACCAGGTTTGTTCATTTTGTTATCCAGGAAGAAATAGGTGACATGTGTTTTAGCAGGTACTGAAGTTTTGCTCCTTGATATGTTTACCAATGATAGATTTCAAATTAATATTATGATGTTTTGTTGTTGTTTGTTTTTTTGAAGAAAAAGAAACCCCCACAAAAAGCCCCAAACAATATCAGTGTCTGAATAATAGTGTTATTGGGATCATACAAATGGAATTCATTGCTAATATTTTCCTTGGAAGTTAATTTTGTGTTTGAATGACATTTCATGATTTGTGCTTCATCATTTCATGTAACTTTATTCATCAAAAACTGTTGTATGTGAAGCCTAGCAGGGCATTAAAACATTAACAATACATTTGTTATTTGCTAATAGTTGCCTGAGGTCTTACATCAGGTCAGATATAACCTGGCATTATACTTAAGTGAGATCTTCTTCAATTGTTTGTCAATGTCTTTTCATTTTAAACCCATTAAAAAGAGCTTTACTTAAATTTCAGATTGAAAGAGAGCGAGAGGAGCATTTACGTCCTATGTTACAAATCAATGACAACATCGCCCCACATTCCCCATCAGAAAGCTCTAGTGAAGATGAGCACCCTGCTAGTCCGCCTAGACAGGAATCTGAAGAGGAGAGTCATGAAAAGTTTCCAGCTTTACCGAACATGAAACCAACCCTTCAGCCAGTAGACGAGTCATCACAGTCAGCCAGCGAAGTTTATGCTGATGATGAGGCATCAAGGATGAGTATAGGTCACAGTGAAGATAGCCAGCAACCAATGTATGGACCAAATGCCCGTGATGATTCCAGACTTGGCTTTGGTGCTATGAAGTTTAGTGCAAATGTATCCGGTAAGAGTTTTATACCACGTTAAAATTACAGTTTATGTTATTTGTCATATTTGTATATTCTAAATTATGTTGTAAAGTTTAATCTCCTGTTTCCAACAGAACAAGATAAATAACTTGTAGTTGCAAATATTTTTGTATGTTTTTTTTTTGTAATTTAAGCAAACATTTTACATTATCATTTGTTTGGTAATAGATGCTAATAAAAGATCTTAATGAGTTTAAAGGCTATGAAAGTATAAAATGTTATGTTTACAGTTTATTTATAGATGGTTCTATATTTAAGTCTTAACTAGGTTTATTTTTGTTACAAGGTCCAAACTCCCCAGTAGAGCAAACGTCTGGTAAGAGAAAGAAGCTGACAGTAGGTGATGTATTTAATCAGGATGATGATGATTCTCTAGATGGGTCTAAGAAACGTAAACTTGTACCACTTGATTACGGAGATAGTGGTGATGATAGTGCTAGTGGCCTAGAGGGGAAAAAAGCCACAAGTGCAGAAGAGAAACGTGCCAAGATAAAAACATTAATAGAAAATATTCCAACTGCCAAAGATGAATTATTTGCATTCCAGCTGGACTGGAGGATAGTTGATCAGGTTTGTAAAACTAATTATTCTGATGGAAGAATTATCAAATGATGTGTTAGTCTGAGAAATTTGAACATAAGGAACTTTCTGACTTGTTGTATGGGTTGTTACCTGTCTTTGCTTAACTGATACCTTAAATTTTAGATGTTTTGAGTGGACCATGCCTTTTATTTTGTTAGAATCCTCAAGTAAAAGTATACAAGATTTTATCACTTTTCGTCAAATTGATAACTGGAATATTTGATTTTACATTCAATTATTATGAAATATTTTGAATTTTACATGCTTTGATTTGTAATAAGGTTCTGGTGTTAAAATAAAATTGTTTCTTTTCCACTATACAAGTTTGTTTAATTTATGTGTACAAGTTGTTTAATTTACATGTTGACAAGTTTTTTGATTGTTCTGTTAAAGTGTTGATGACAGTTAATAATGTTAAGAGTATTTTTTTCAGAGTTTAATGGATAAGCGTATTAAGCCATGGGTTAACAAAAAGATTATAGAATATATAGGAGAGGAGGAACCAACGTTAACAGACTTTATATGTCAGAAGGTGATGGCACAAAGTCCACCACAAAATATACTCAATGATGTAGCTATGGTAAGTTGATTGTCGTAAAATTTTCATGATATTGGACATATTTCCCAAGTGGATCAATTTTTAGTTGAGTAGTAACAGTTTTCTGTATACCATGGACAAGAATAAATTAGAATCTCCCATTGATGAAATCTATCAAGCTGGTTTCAGAAATGTTTATATAATATGTGACAAAAATATAGATATTCATTTGAGTTTGGTGTTCAATCTGGTGTTCAATATGTTAATTCATGACTATTTCTATCTTGTGAGAAGTAGGCAGTTCTCAAAACTGTTTAGCACTGGTACAAAATGCAGGAACACTTGTTCTGTAAATTGCCTTTTAGAATATGAGTATTTTGGTGTTCTGTTTTAAGTGAATTAGTCCATAGAATAAGGTAAATAATTATGTTGATAGTATTGTGAATAATATGTGACAACTACGGTATGAAATAATTTCATATGGATGTTGATAGTATATGTGAGATAGATAAGGTAGATGATCTTATATGTCATATCTTTTTATAACCGATAAAAGATTGTTCAAGAACAAATATCATCATATAAATGTTCATACTGTATCACTTAAAACTTATCTTATCAACATTTTCTTTTCAAGAAATACTTTATAAGAATACCCAAATGAAACTTTTTTATCATTTTTTGAATATTTAAATTTGAAATTTGTCCCCATTGTAGACCAATCCATTTTTAATGGTGCCCCAATTAAAATCAAAAAATTGGGGATACTGTTTTCCCTGTATTTCGGGTACTGGATGAAAAAAGGGGAAGATTTTGTAGTGAAAAATTTTGGTTTCTAGTGAAACGAAACAAGGCCAAAAAAAAGCGGGAAACTATTTGAAATAATAAAAACCAAACTGTAGTTTAAACCCATGTACAGGTCTGTGTATATATATATTTTGGATTCGTTTTAAATTTTGTAATAATGTGTCAGCTGGAAGCCGGTTCTTCCATGATGAAGGTAATCAGATAGACGATCGTTGTCAGTTTTTGATATCATTAACTGCTGATGTCAAAATCTGTGATAATAAGATCATTGTCGGATCTTTATCATAAAAGTATAAGATTTCTTGCAGGACACCTGGTCCTTAGCCAATGAAAGTTACTGATAGATTTACTTCTAATAAAATCAAAATCTTGGATTTTGACAGAAGTTCTGAAAGTTGGAAGTGTTGAGAGTTTGCAATATGTGCTGATCGTTGGAAAGTTCATTAAACATTTCATCTGTAGATAAATTCATATGCTGGTGCTTGAAGTACAATTAAGATGAAATTTTCATAGTGACAAGAATTTAACAAAGTGATAATTGATGAAATAATTGTCTTTGAAGAGTTTTACTATACTATGCTGGGAAGCTATTTCAGCTTCTTAGTCTCTCATAAATAAGGAGTTCTGTGAACTCGGTAGTAACATGTGCATAAAACACAATTTTAAATGAATTAGTGGCTGCTGATTGTGGTCTTTTTGTAAACTGTTATGTTTATTTAAATATATATGTATTGAAGATATGCATAAAAATAACTTTATTGTGCATTTGTATGAAGCATAAAACATGCTATAATATACATATAGTACCCAAATAATAGGTGAATGTAATTGATTACAATTTCTAATTTTTTCTTCTTTTTTTTTTCATTTTTTGTTGGTTGTTTAACATTGCATGTTATAGGGGTAAATTATTTAGTACCAAACAAATTATGGCAATTTTTAATAATGATATTCATTTGTTGTTCATTTTGAAAACTATGAATAAAATGTATATAAAATCATTTAATTTTGTCTATAGCTCCTTTCCACATGAAAGTAGATTATCAAGTGTTCAATTGGCATGTGATGAAAATGTATGTGAAATTTATACTATGTAGTGGTAAAGAAAATTAAGCTTCCTATATAATGTAATGGGCCATGGCATAAATATGTTTGATATATCAATTCTGCCATTTGATTGAAATTTATACACTGGTATGGAGATTGAATTTATCATTATACTGAAAATGTACAAGTGACTGAATTTGATCAGGTATCGAATTTGATCATAATAGAAATGTGGTCTTAATCAGTCCATACTTGTTGTTTTTGCACTTAACCGTCATCAACTAGCAATATAAAAAATTGGAAAAGTGAAGAAAACCCGGAGATTAGAAAAGACATGACTGTTTTCCACTTTAAGATCGGGGAAAAAAAAACTACATGTACTTTTAAAATTGCCTCACTTTTTTTACCGGATAATCGCATGCCTTTATTACCCTGAAGAAGAGTTTCCTTTTCAGTGTTCTACAATAAAATTTGCTACTAATATGAGAAATGTCATCACTACATTTTCATTTCATACAAAATGCTTTAAAATACGCATACAGGCACAGTTGCATGGAATAAAACTAGTTTGTAATATACGCGGACAGATTGAGAATATTTGCATAAAAAGTCGAGCACCTGCGTCTGTCCCTGTCAATGTGGAAATGGATGGTAGACTTTAAGAGTAGCAAGGAGAACATGTCCTAGAAGTCCTGTGACTACTCTCAACATACAAAATAGTCTCCGGAGTCCACAACAGGGGACTGCTGACAGACGTATTACAGAAATTGATGCATGAAATGGTTTTCTATTTTTCAAAAAAAAGAAGAGAGTAATTTAGAAAAAGCAAACTCGACCCTTTGGGGTTCTTGACATTCACACAAGATTAGACAGGATTTATCCTATCCGAATTGTTAACAAATTCTGAATTTCTGCATAGGTTTGTGACTAAGACACCTTGATACATCATTTTCACCCATATTAACAACAGTTGGAAGCACCTTTGCTCAAGTCAAACGCAGGTTTTAGACACAAATGGTATTCTCATGGTAAATTATCTCGTACAGGGGCTGTCGGAAAATAGTGAGCATCATGCATCCTGTAGAAAGTTCCAATCAAACGCCGTGGGAAACAAAAAAGCGCACATGTGTGGGCAAAACGATGCAATTTCCAAACTCACAACCGTTCAAATCAAGCGAAACACTGATGAGTATTGAGTTAATTCAGCTGCTCTGCAAGGCATATGACAGGCGTATTAATAATTTGAGTCCCTCACGTCAAAAGGTAATAATACAAAGTAATGGACGTGAGCAAACTGATTTTGTAAAGGTTACAAAACATGTGCAAGCAATGGTCATGCAAGTTTCACATGTACAAAAAATCAGTCCTAGTATTACCTCATTTCAAATAATGTCTTTCCATTTTATATTTAATATATAGCTCAAAACGATCAAAATACCATTGTGGTGTCAGTACAGTACGTGTACTAGTATTTAAATTTCAAACAATCTCACTGTATAGTGTCTACTAATGAGACATAATGTTCCCTTATAGTAGTAAATGGTGTTTCTTATAAGTATGGTAATGGGAGCTTACACAAAAAGCAGCTTTCGTTGTCGAGTACAGACCCCCGGACAAGTTCTTGGTTTAAATATTTTTTTTAACCCTCGATTGCAAACACAAGTTCTTGAAAACTTCCCATTAATCCACTTTCGGGGGCTGCTTTCGGGAAACCAACCATTTACTAAAAACCAAACCGTACTTGTGCCCATAAAAAAGGCCCCAGGGTTTGTGCAGTAACCTTTTGACCCTTGGATTGGAGGCAGACCCCTTTTAACCTTTTTGGCCACTTTCTTTGTCCCCAGTCATCCCCTTTAAATGGGGAACCAACCCAGCGAAAGCTGCTTTCGTCGTCCCTTAAGGGGCGGATGGACCTTCGGTAAGCATACATACATGCATACAACTAAATGATTTTAATCCCCAAATATAAGTTTAAATTACACAGTATTATACAAAAGAATTAAATATCGAATATTTTATATAAGTAATCTGTATTTAGGGTGATGATTTTATATAATACGCACCAATGAATCCTTCAGCAGATAGGCATCTCGATTGGAATTTTGTCCGCCGATTTTTTAGCTCGAAGGCAAATTCCAAAAAATATTTCAATAATGGTTTGTATCGTTCTGCGGTAAGATTTGTGAAAATAAAACCAGTTTTGAGTCCGTTTCTTCATACGCATTATATACTGAAACAAAAAAGAAACTTTCTCCAAGTTTGAATGTAGATATGTTAGTACAGTTTTTCAATCCTTTTGAAACTCGATTTTTACGTTGAATAAACATATCGGGCTTTTATACGGGGATTAGCTGACCGATTTTGCAAACAAAACGAATTTTACAAGCTACTTCATGTATATATGTGTGTACATCTAAGTGGTACCCTTGAACAACTGGCACATACTTTGCGAAAGTTTCTTTTTTGGTTCAGTATCTGTTTTAGACACACTAGAACGCACGCATCCACATAAAAATATAATAGTCCGAATAATGCTTTATGTCTTAAATAGTATAAGCATCTTGAAATTTTATAAAAAGAAACAAATACTTTTCATGACTTGGGATTACGTTTGAACGTCTATAATTAGTTGATATAGATAAAATTAGTGAAATAGGTCGATATCTTTAAATTGATAAAATTGTCAGAATACAATATACATTCTTTTGTCATTAAACGTGAAACTCGTGACAGTATAAACCAAACATGAACTTAATTTTCTCAACGAGGACTTGAAGTTGTTCAGCTTAAAAGAAAAGAGCCGTGTCATGACAAAGCCAACATAATGGGTTTGCGACCAGCATGGATCCAGACCAGCCTGCGCATCCGCGCAGTCTGATCAGGATCCATGCTTCTCTACTTGTAATAGAGTTTGTAAGCGAACAGCATGGATCCTGATCAGACTGCGCGGATGCGCAGGCTGGTCTGGATCCATGCTGGTCGCAAACCCATTATGTTGGTTTTGTCATGACATGGCTCAATTTCTTTTAAGCATACACTTATTGTGAATTAATCATGTTGTAAATAAAGTAAACATTTCAGTTTACAGTTCAGTTTGTAAAGTTGCGATTATGGTTTATCTTAATCTATAAAATCAGTTAAATTTCAACTGATGAAATGAAGATTTTATTGTCGGAACGAAGTTTTTTTATTTATTATTTTTTTTTGCGGATCAAAGTTTGCGTAACGAAATAAGCATTATTTTATTGCAATAATCAAAATAGTATTACTACTGCATTTTTTTCACAATAAACAGACATTTAAGTAAAATATTTTGAACGTAGAAAAGGGAGTTGTTGTAATTGTAATGTTATTAGCGATAAGTTGTTGGCAAAATGGATTTTTTGTCTTTGCGCAAGTTTTGTTGTCTCGTATGCTTTCCAGTGGCTTAATCAAACTGAATTATTTGACCAAATATTAGACAAATATTTGACGGTGTCGAAGAGATTGTTGAATTTTTTATGTTATTTTAGGAAGACTAGCTAGTGGTATAACCCAATCAGGAGGTCGTGCTTTCAAATCCCATCCCACAAGTGGTTAGGTTCACTTTCGACTTCCATAATCCTCACTGTTGCAATTACTGGTTATGGAAGCAGTCAACTAGCTTTACTTAAAGCGCATGTCTTGGTTCCAAATGACGGGCACAGACATTTGGCGTTGCCGCTCCAAACGCCTTCAAATCTAAATAAATTCAACATAATTTGTCAATCCCAGCGCATAAAACTTTATCGTATTTACAAATAAAACCTAATATAGTTCTACGTTTTTTTAAAAATCACATTACAACGTCTTATACACGTCTGTGATAATGAGGTTTTGAAATAAATGGAAAATATGTGTGTACAGTCTATGCTTATCGGGGGTCGATCCACCCTTAAGGCAAAAAACGCAGCTTTCGCATCAGACGCTGTCGGGTATGGATCCTGGACATGTCACAAGTCATGCCCTTAAAAATGAAGCTCTGGTTTTTGTTTGTTTTGGCCATCACGTGTACTTCAAATCTTATGCCGATCCCCTGTGCCTCTCAACGACGTGCACATAACGAGAGAAGAGAGAGTAAAAATGAAAATGGGAAAACAAATCACGGATTTTAATTATGTACAGTCCGTGAACAAACAAACATTTGTATAGTTATTACGTGTTGGCTAAATGAAAATCAAACTGGTAAGCAATTTCACCAATCGTTTAAGCAGATTTACTATAAATAAAGCTGTTTTGTTGGCAATATATTGTCCGGATTTTTAAAAACGGCATGAAACGGATTTTATTCCGTATATATTTTCATGCGCTCATTAACCCAGATGAGCGCCATTTTTGAAAATGTAATGTTCATAGGCACTCCGTTCCAAAACCTTCTATGATTTTAATTTATTTTTAAAAAAAAATTCATATCATGTATATAAAATACTACAAGGTTTCGCAGCCACCATGTTTTAACGCAACGGAAGTGCGTTGACTGGTGTTCAATTTTCATAAAAAAAACACTAGTTCCCGATTCGATGAATAGAGACTATTGGCTAATACGGGTACCACAATTATTGACTATATCGCCGTGGTACCCGCATCAACAATATGCTTTATTATGTGACTCGGGAGCCAGTATTTTTTTGTTAATTGTACACCAGTCAACGCACTTCCGTTGCGTTAAAACATGGCGGCTGCGAAACCTTGTAGTATTTTATATACATGATATACTTTACTTTACTTTATATGAATTTCTTTTTAAAAATAAATTAAAATCATAGAAGGTTTTGGAACCGAGTGCCTATGGTAATGTTGATAAACAAGTAATTTCTCTTGTTTGAACCAAGTAGGCTTGAATTTTAAGGGTTTGATTTCATAATAAAATTATGTAGTTGCATACTTGTCTGAACCATCACATAGTCTAAGTTTATATGCGATTTGAAAAAAATCTCATAAATGAAAAAACATATTTCGCCTTTTTCCTTTTTTTACAAAAAAAAATTGTTTTTTTTGCGTGTGACGAACTTATTTGTTAAATAACAAATACTTTAATTAGCATATTACCCGCGGAAAAAATGAATGAGCAACAAAGACAAAATTATAGCATTTTTTCACAATACTTTTGATATGGTCTATGTAAATAACCGAGGTATATCAAGTGAAAAAATACGAGTTGAGTACGGCGGCACGAAATACCCAAATATACCCAAATATTGCCCAAATATACCCAAATATAGCAATATTTATTTTTGTTTGTATAAAATATAGATAATAATGAGAAATAAATAAATATTTATAAAATAATATGACTTAGCCTGCTATAACTTTAATTCATTCCGTTGAAATGGGCAGTTAAGATGTTGTAAGAAAATAAAGTTGTACGTGACATTTGCTTATCTACAATATAGGTTCTTTATACTTTGTACTTGCAAATTTAATTCAAGATATGATATTTGTTGTCTACACTTACATTTTAAGGTGTAATTTTGTTGAAATTTCATATCATACAGAAGAAGAATGTCCATGTTATTAAAAAAATAGCTTTAATAAAGTACATATACTGTATTTTGGTTCAAAACACAATAATAAGAAAATGTATATTTGGGTACAAATGATTATATCTTAGTGAAAGTGTATATTGTATTCATGATTAAAACAGCACTTTTTTAGTATAAAACATTTATTTTTAGTATAAATGGGCAATATTTGGGTATATTTGGGCAATATTTGGGTGTATTTGGGTATATTTGGGTATTTCGTGCTGCCCGTTGAGTATGATTCCTGCATACAGTAGGCATAAACACCATATCTCTTAAGTTTTTTTTGAGAATTTTGTTCAATAGTACTTTTACTTTTGAATTTGCCATTATTTCTTGAAATGAAGTGCATATTGCTGTGTAAATATTGCAAATTTAAAAAAAAAATGAGAAAATGCATGCTTTTTTTTCCTTAAAATTTAAACTGACAATCCAGAACATGTTTTGAAAAAATAAAATACATCATCAGAATTAAGGAGTACATAGCACTTTTGTTTACTGTTTGGCATATAATTTTATGAAAATACGTAATACTTTTATGCTGGCTAATTACTTTTTGTTTTCTTTTAGGTGATTGATTTTTTAATCAGATGAAATGAATAGAAAGTCAAGATCAATCACAAGGCGGTCTTCTGTAAGTCTTTAGAAAATTATTTTTTGTTTGAATTTTCTTTCTGTGTTGATTTCTTGATCTGTAGCACTAGTTGTCGTATTTATAATATGCATTTCATTCCTATTGCAAAAGATCATTCTAAAATTTAATCAGTGTTTAACTTTATTTATGACTCAGTGACTAAATTGGTTCTGATCTTTGGCACCAATTCCTTCCCCACAAAAATCCTCTCCAGAAGTAATTTTTTTTTATGAGAACTATTCTGTGTAAAGGGATATGTACAGTATCATTTCTTTGTAGCTTGAAATGATAATTGTGTTGTTTCATAATTTAATGTAAAAAGGACTTTTTTCTCCATTTCTTTATTTTCCCCTCCTTCAGACTTTTACTCCTACTCAATTGGGTGTTTAATTGTGTCAATGTAACACTCACTGGTGAATGTTTTGCAAAACTACTGAAGATGTTCATTTGAAACTAAATACATGTTTTTTTTTTATCATATCCAGAGGCTCATATTTTTCTGACATGTATTTTGACTGAATTATTGCCCTTTTTTGAACTTTGAAAATTATAAAAGTATTTACATGAAACTTTTCCCATGTGTGCGAGATTATTATTGCAGGTCATTTTCAAAAGCCCAAAATGCACACATGGATTATCATTTAATCATTATGACAGAATAATGGCCCCTTTTAAACTTAGAAAGTTCTGTGTAATCGTTGTTCACTTTTTTAGTGCAACATCACAGACACTCTTCGTAACTGTTGAAGGTATTTACTTAAAACTTGATACATGTTTTGGGGATTATAATTGGAGGTCACTATCAAAGGCCCATAACTCTGACTTGGATTTTGACTGAGTTATGGTCCTTTGTGAATTTTGAAAATTTTTCGGTTTAAGTTTGACTTGCAACTAAGGCCCCACGGTAACATGTTTAAACGGATTCGTTTCGATTTTCATTCGTAAACATTTACAATATTTTTACCGTTTAATCGAAATGACCATATTGTCTTACAAATATCTTGATCATTGCCTGTAATCATGGATTTTATCAATTCTAATTGGTTTATTCCAAGGTCAAAAACGGAAAATGTGTGTTTACAACCTTCCACACAGCATTGCTGTGCAATAATCGCTCGTGACATAATACATTTTTTTGTAAATTTTATTTTCCTTTGATCTTTCAAAATAGAGAAAAGGAGATTCAATGCAGAAAATGTGTGCCGACACAATCGTGATGAGCCCTGAACATTATTTATTTGTTTATTTTGTAATAGAAAGTTAGTCATCGTCTGGCGTTTCGAATACATGATGTAGTATTGTACATAGATCGAAGTACCACCGTTTAAACGGTATCGTTTCGGTTCTTAACAATCGTGTAAACGTTTACGAAAAATTGTAAACGTGGGAGCCTTGCAACATTAATCTTTCCAAAAATCTACTGATTGTAATCACTCACTCATCGAATTTAGCACTAGCCCAGTGGCCCATGGCCAGTGAAAATTAGTTCGGGCCAGTGAAAGTTTTAAGAAAATTTAGTTAAATAATTATATAGTAAAATAAATTCAAAACTAGAATTCAGGCTAGTATCAAAATCTTAAATTCATTGACTGATCACTTGAAATTCAATTGATGCTTTTTGAATAACAATTCAAATAACTTTCCAAGACCCATAACCCTGACATAGTCTCTTGGATGAAAGCCAGAAAAACTTCTCCGGACGCTTCAAAAATGATTGAGAAAATTGATTTTTCTTTGCTACTGTACACTCTCTGACATTTGTTATTCACATATAGATTATAAAATAGCCTATGAAAAAATTGAACCATATTACCATGAGACAGTATGTTACATCTTATATATTTTCTTATATTTAGCTCAAGCAGATTGGCGTTTATATTTTTATGTTTTGCGCTTTGCTTGCATATAGGGATCATTATGTGCATGTGGTTTGTAAGTTATGCTTTGGTTAAGCGTGCAATATGTTAATGCAGTGATCATTTGCCTGTGTGTGTGTCATTTTAGTGGGGTAAATCATAATCATTCTGAATGCTAAATTCAACAGGAAGTTTTATTTGAGACAAGTATATTTTGAATGGACATTTTTTGCAAAGAAACTTGTTGCTGAGAGAAGTAAGACCTGAATTTATTCAAAAAAGAAAAAAATAAATAAAGAAATGGAAAAAAAGGCAATGAAAAAAGAAAAATATAAAAGAAAACAAGAAAGAAAAACAAAAAAGAAAAACAAGTAAGAAGGGAAAAAAAGAAAAGACAAAAACAAATGACAAGATGATAAAACATTTGTTGTAAGTAAAGGTGAATGAATTTTAATGCAGCATAATATGCTAGTTGCTTTAGTGTTTGCAATTATCAAAAAAATGTTTTCTTATTACCTATTTTCAGATCTTGAAGATAGATGTAAATAGGGTAAGTATATTTAGTGATAATTCTAATGACTAGGATAAATTACCAGTAAAGTGAACAGAAGTGCTTACATAAACTCTTGTCTCTCATTGCTGTTGCTTTGAATCCTTACAGGGACTTTGGATTCATGTATGAGAAGAATCTATTTAATGTAGCTTACGAAAAGGTCAGAGGTTTCTACTTACTTGCTTATTTATACATGAAGAAGTGCTGAAATGGACACTTTGGGTCTTCCCCCAGCAGTAGTACTCAAACTTTTAATATGACCTTTTCATTCAGTCCACCTTAGATTTTCCAATAAATAGTTGAATATGTATTTGTACTAAAATTTTAATAATCAGGATTTTTCAAGCTGGTCATTATATTTCATCTCATGTATAAAATTGCTTACTGCAAAGCTTGGTTGTCAAATTTTTAATCAGTAGGGGAGCCATGCTTACTTTTTATACATACACAAAATCAAAATTAGTTTTTTGTCAATTTAAACTAAAGTCAATTGTCATGTAAATCATGTGTTCATGGAAATAAAGAGCGTTTGATATACACTTTTAGTGTGCATAATTTTAAGCATATTTGGAATGCTGTCTGTTAGCATGCTAGATTTTGATTTCTTCACTTATTTTAAACAATCTTTTTTGGCTTTCACATGATGGTTATTTTCGAAGGCATGATGTGCTTGACAGCTTGCTAAAATGCTTATTTAGTACTGAAATCAGCTAAAATTATGTATTAAGTTGCAATACAATGGTATTAAGGACGTTTTCTGGAGTTTTTCATATAGACATATAGGTAAAATGAAAACTGTTCAATTTCTTTATAGTACACTTGGCATGTTGTTAGAATATAATAACAGAAACATTTTAAGTGAAAAAAAAATTGGGGTCACCATTCTCGTTTTTGAGTTATCTGCCCTAAAATCAGAATTTTCTTCTTATTTGGGGTCATTTCAAGGGCAGGTAACTTATACATACTTAAATGAATTCTTGTTTTTACTTCTGGATTATGTTTTTCTTTTTATTGTTGAGTACAATACATAACATAATAACATGCAATTCCTTATGTCGTTTCTGTATTTTTTTTCAATGAGTTGGACTTTTTTGTTAAATTCAAGGGCAGATAATTTACAATGAAGGGAAACAATATAATTTTTTTTCTTTTTTTTCAAGAAGCTTACCCTCGTTTTAGTTGATATGCAAAATTTCATGAACGAATTTAGAGTGGATAGTTTTTTTTCCACTTCTTCTTTTAACCTGTACATTTTTAAAAAAAACATGGCCAATTTTTTTAAGAATTTCAAGTACCTTTATTTTCATTGAAAAAAATAATACAGAAACCATATAAGAAATTGCATGTTATTATGTATTGTACTCAGATAACTCGAAAATGAGAACTGTGACCCAAATTTTTTTTCAGTTTAAAATGTTTCTGTTATCATATTCTAACAACATGCAAAGTTTAAAGAAATTCTATTTAACAGTTTTAATTTTGCCTATATGTCTATATGAAAACTTCTGAAAACGTCCTTAAAATATCATAGAATTTACATGTTTTATTCAGACATATATTTGTAATGGTGATAAATGATATTCTTAACAGTGCTCTTTTACCTCTGTTGACATGGTCATGATTTTTAACCAGGTTTTCAATTTTGAAAATCCTGGTTATTAGATTGGGGTATGGCGGGCGGATGGGCGGATGGGCGGGCGGGCGTCAAACGAAATTGTGTCCGCTCTGTAACTCTTCAACCCTTTGAAGAATTTTGATGAAACTTCAGACAAATGTTTACCACATCAAGATGACGTGCAGAACGCATGTTCCGCATGGCTGGCTCCAAGGTCAAGGTCACAGTGACATTAACATTGAAAATCCTGTCCGCTCTGTAACTCTTCAACCCTTTGAAGAATTTTTGATGAAACTTCAGACAAATGTTTACCACATCAAGATGACGTGCAGAACGCATGTTCCGCATGGCTGGCTCCAAGGTCAAGGTCACAGTGACATTAACATTGAAAATCCTGTTTACATGATTTTAACTTGATTTGGCAGTCAAAGGTCATATCATCTTTGGAGGTAATTTAAAAAAGATATGATATATTATTTCATGTCTACTTTGTAACTTGTTTTTCATTATACAGAATTATCAATATAATTATAGTGAACAAATTCTTCTGTGCTGAACTCGTCCTACATTTCTCAACGGATTTTGTTCAAACTTTCACAGAAGCTTTGTCATCAAGCACCCTGGCACATATTGTCGGGGTTTTGTGATTGGATAGTTTTTGACCTAATTATGGCCCTTTGTTTTTTTCCTTATACATAATATTATAGTGAACACTTCTTCAGTGGCAATTCCTCCTACATTATTCATGTTTTACATTGCACATAGTTACATTGTTTGTTGCTTGTATTTGTATTTCAAATACAACATATTTATCTACAATGGTGATAATTGAAAACCTGGTTTCATGGCATTGCCATGTTTCTTGTTCATTTTATATTAACACATTCAAACCTTTTTATGACCACCAATATTTGTGGTTGGGTAGTAAGAATATATAACAACAAAATACAGATTCATACAAAAAGTATTTTTTTGTAATAGATTGTTATATACAGTGAGTATTCATACAAGAATTGAAAGTTGTTTTCTTTAAAGGTAGGTGGCGGATGTGTTCAATGGTAGTCCTTTAAATACAGGGTTAATTTTAAGCGTAAAATGTAAAAAATATTCTCACTTCAAATTATTATAATCAGAAAAGAGACAAATATTCTTACTTTACATTTTAGTTTTTAAATTAAACTAGTCAGATGTTGCCAAAATTAGTTCCAATTGACTAAAGTGTAGTTGACATTTTCCATGATGATATGATGGTATGAAAATTTGTTCTCCTTTGTCATTTATTTGAATAATAATAAAAATCTATATTTTACTAAGTTTCAAACAGTACTATGATATGACATAACAGAAATTTCACTGATATTTTTCACTTAAAGTCTACAGTATAACCTGTGCAAAGTGGCCACCTATGGAACAATTACCTCTTTACAACAACAGTATCATTTTTTCTCCAAAGTAAGACTTCACAATAAATCTTTGTTAAGCAATACCAGTCTCCACAGCAACCAAAATCCTTTTTTCTCAAAGGGTGTTCTTCTACAGAGGTTTTACCGTATTTCATGTATGAGCATTATATATATAGCATGTTATACTTTACTACATGTGTACCAGGTTGTGGTAAACTAACAACTTTATAATGTATTCAGGATGATGACACTGGTATTGTTGGTGGGAGGAACAGAAGGTCATCAAGAAGGGTCAGCTTTGCTGAAATGTGTCAGATAAAGTAAGAATTTTATGTTAACAAGCGTCTCTATAATATTAAATTTTAAAAAAGTATTGAGAATTAATTCTAGAGCAAGATTGATACTTAGATATAATCAGGCAAGTAATCAGGAAGATTGATATTGTTATTTTTTACAAACAACTATTTTATCAGTTTCAAAGTTTACAGAAATCTTAAGTGAAAGAAGAAAACTTAGTATCATATTAGTTTCAAGTATTGAAATAAAATATAATCTTATTAAGTAAATGATGTTGTTTATATTTATCAGGGAGTTCCAGAGAGATTCTCCAAAAGTGTTTAAAGATGTTCATACAGATGATGATGATGGTAAGATACATTTGAGCCGCGTCACGACAAAACCAACATAATGGCTTTGCGACCAGCATGGACCCAGACCAGCCTGCGCATCCGCGCAGTCTGATCAGGATCCATGCTGTTCGCTTTACAACCCTATTACAAGTAGAGAAACTGATAGCGAACAGCATGGATCCTGATCAGACTACGCACTATGTTGGTTTTGTCGTGACGCGGCTCATTTGATCATTTATAGTAACATGACAACTTTGATGTACATGCTGAATAACCAGTGGTTGTATATCTTTTTTCACTTTATTTTGTGTGTGGTATATTTCCATATTGGTGCTCTTGCCCTTGCATATACTAGCTTTTAAGTGCAGGGCTCTTGTATTTATATTTTGATTTTGCAAATTTAATTTTAAGCCATAGAGCCAAAAACTAGTATTCACTTATTCATTAAAGGAACATTTTAAAATACGAATTGAAAGCTTTATGTAAAGTGCAGAGGTCAATTGCCCTGTATGTAGGACTGCTCTAAAATTGCTTATTGAAAAAATGAAATGTTGCTTATTTGCAGTGAAAGTGAGGGGATCAATAAATAAGGCAGATTCTTACTTGATAGCTCCTGTTTTGTATTTGGATGTATCCATTGTTAATTTAAGTGATGTCAAAGTCAATGGTTCAAATTAACCTGTCATCAGTATTGTTTTGTCATTCTGTTACCAGTTTATGCTAAATACTGGCAATAAAGGTATTGCTTTATTTTGACACCTTTGATCACAATGTGTACTAAAAATCCTGAGAGGATTGCACCCACTAGAAGTTCAAGGTCACAGTCTACAAATTGTGACCACTTAAAAGTATTCGAATGACAGACAGTGACTAGTAATCTTTGCCTGTCATCACATTTATGTTACTTTAGCTCAAGTCATCTTATAAATTAAATTTTTGAATACTTACTTAGTTACAAATGATGGATACTTCCAAAGGCTAAGCAGGACAAGTCAATTATACAAATTTAGGGGTGTAAGGTTTATTTTTGTTAACTCCAACATGTAATCAGTGATACAAGTAGTTCATTCATATCAACTTTTTTTGATAAAACAACTAAATTGCATTTGATGTTATATGTTTTTGAATTGATTAACATTAATTTATGTTTATTTCTGATCTGAGAGTATTCTCTTTTACAGATGGCAGTCACACAGGCAGGTAAGTAGTCATAGAATTAGTTTGTTATCTAATATATACTTTACTTCATTATATATCAATAATGGGAAAAATAGTATGCCTCAATTGAGCCAGTGATTTGTTCACATGAAGTCTCAGTTGGCAGTTTGTTACTGTAAGTTTCCTAGACTTATTATATGGATCTCTGTATATTAGTGGTTAAACTCCCTAACTTGGAATTCATCATTATCTTGTTGTATGTCAAAATTAAAGGAGAACTTTGATATTATGACTTATACAACTGTATGAGATAACTCTGTGGATATAAACATAATCACTACCAAACTGAAAATACAAAATGTACATCCAAATATTGAAATCTAGATATCTTTTCCAGTATGTGTGTTTATTCCTTTGTTATTTTTATTACTTTATAACACTTCATGTAGGTCTATTTATGAAATTGACATTACTGGTGTTCAAATGTTTCAAATGTTTTTCTTTTATAACTATTCAGTACATGTATATATGTACAGTATGTACAGTAGAGATATATTAACAGTAATATAAGCTATACAATGTAATTGAATTTTTCTTTGTTTGCTTGTTTTTGGTTTAGATTGAAAAATTCTGATTTTTATATTAATTACTAAATATTTATTATGTCTTTCAGCTCATCAAATAACCATGGAATAACAGGTAAACCTGAAAAAAGTTTATTACTTCTTTCTATATTTAGCATAAATAACTTATTAATTTACATGTTTTTCTTCTAAACTGTTTATGCTACTTTGCTAGAATAGGTAAAAATAAATTGTGTACTGGGCCTGAGGTTATAAAACTTTTTTCTGAATTTCTTCTCAAATCTCAGGATTTTCATTGGTCAGTGAACATTTTGTGGCAGTTTCCGACCAATCAAATACCTGAGATCCGTGTTTGAGCTTATAGAAATTCTTTATAACCTCGGACCCAGATGTGGTCTTCTCATAATCTGATAGGTGGTTGTATAATTTAAATAAATTTTTTGGTCATATCTTGGTAATTGATACACCTAACAAGCTTTCCTGGATAACTAACCAGTAACTACCTATTTCTCCACAAATGACTTACTTTCATCATACATGATTATAATACTATTAAATCAGATGCTCTCCCTTGAGCTAAGCAGACAGAAATTATGGATTATGACTTACTTAAAGTCAGGGTAAAAAAGCACCATAATTATGTAGTATGTTACAAAAGCAGAGATGACTATTAACAACAAATGTTTCAAAATTACTATTTCTATGTATGTAAATTGTCCATCTTGAATTACTGACTGACCTTGCAGGAAAACATAATTTCTTTATTATATTTTAAGGTCTGGACAAACTACTTACAGGAGCCATACAAACTCCATATCAGGTCAGCATTTTCTTTATTATTTTCTCTTTACAAAAATTATTTTGTTATCAGTCTTTGTTATGGTAATCAGTTGTTAAAATCCAGGTTTATTTATGTTAATGTTTGTCCAACATCGAGAAAGTAATGATACATATAAGTTTTCTCCAATTTGCATGACAGAATAGTGACAACAGTTACAATTTGAATTAGTTAACAGAGCACTAATTATTTGTATTTTTTGTATGTCATTTTGCAGAGAAGAGGTGCACTTCTACATGATTTTGCTTTGAATTTAAAGGGATATGTATAAAAATGTCTTACATATTTAATATTGAACAATTTCACATTAGGTTGACTTATGATTTTTACTTAACTGATACTCCAGTTTTATGTATAAAACTTGGAACAAATGTATGTCCTCTCTATGATCAACAGGATGTTGCTGAGTACCCTATCCCAGAAATGTCAGCTGAGTCATTCAATATATTTGACTTCAACAAGACAGTGCTGGACCATGTTGACATGGACACAACTGAGGCTAGTGGTGGTATTGACTCATTCTTTCCTCAGATGGATTTTCAGAACGAACCTTCCATGGAATTAAAGTTTGACACAAAATCTTTCCTTCAGAGCTTACAAGGAAATTCTTCTGATAGGTAACATTTCATTTCTTTGGTTTCTTTTGTTGTTCAGTGTCTGTACTATTTTTCAAGATTTTACCTTTGACAATAAAGTTAAAATTACTGTAATAGATATGTACTGACTTAACCAATATTGTTATATTATAAAAGGTGCCTGAGGACACGTATATGACAATAACTTTTATATCTAATCTATACCTTTATTACTGTGTATATTCAGTAACGCAGGAATGTGCAAATAATGCAGGAATTGTGCAAAAGTAATGCAGAATTGTGGAATTAAGTGGCTTAAGCGAGCACCGCGATAAGTAAATTGAGCAATAATTTTTATTGTACACCAAATTGGAAGAAATGAGTTAGCACATACGGTTGCTGAGATATTATACTTTAAACCTCACCAAAAATATTTCCATGACAATGTTTATTTTTCCAGATCATTCATGAAAATGATGACCTGACTAGTGTATTGATGGCGATTTTTAGTTTTATTGATATCTTTAAATACAATAATGTATATATTTCTTTATGATTTTTAAAATTTGGTGTACCTGAGACATTTTCCAATCTACTTGTGTCATATTACACATAATTTAGCAGACAAAACATAATTGAGACCATTTTTACGAGGTAACGCCAAATTCGTGAATGAAGCACAGAAGCAAAGGCGGTTATCTCATTAAAAGTAGCTAAATCCTATTTTACCAGCTTCCTTCTATTGTTATACAATACATATAGTTTGACAAATGTCTTAGGTATACAGAATATGAAAAAGGTAAAGTTTTAGATATGTAAAATGTACATATTTATTTGACGAAACACAAAAGTCACCTTCAAAACGGTAATCAGGTTGTCTTTCTCGCAAATGATTTAAGAAAGTAAACAAATTCCAGAAAAAATTGTAATGCTGGTTAAAGTATACTGTCGTAGCAGCCGTTCATTTCTTTAAATTAAAAAATTTTGGTTCTTTCACTTACTGTGTTATTCGTTTTGGCAATAGCGTTGCACAGATTCGGCTTTACTTTTACGTTCCTGCATTACTGGATATGCACAGTGTTTAAAGTTCCCCTTATGTTATCATATTCACTATGTTAAGAACAAAGTCACTATGTGAATATACAAACTGATTTCATGCATTGATTTGTGCCTTAAGTTTTTTTCACCTGAGGGGTACTTTTTTTTTTTAGATTTATATACCAAACTAAAATGAAAAGCATTATATTTAGTATAATATTTTTAACATCTTTTTTTCTGTTTTTACAAGTTCTCTCATAGTTTATCTATGTTTATTTTTAAGTCATTTGACATCAGTGGAGTTCCTTTAATGATTTTTTTTTTTTTTAACAAAGCTTGAAGACAATGCAGATATATTCTCCAAAACGTGACAGATATATGCAAGAGCAAACATCCCCAGATAATCAGATTCTACCCATACACTTTAACAACATGGGGCCTGACAAGGAGAACATGGTTCCCATGGAGACATTACAATCGTTTAGACACTGTGACAATTCACCTGAAGTGAAATATTTCAAAAGTGAAGAACCTCAAGCTTCTGTCGATTCTAGAATGTTTCTGCAAAGTCTTTTTGGGGAAAAGTCAAAGAAACTAGAAGAAACCAAGCATGATGCGGAGGAAATGGAAGAGACAGCTTGTATTGATGGTATACTGAAAGAGGTAAATGAAGGTCATATGAATAAAAGTTCAGGTCCCTTTCCAGTTGTTGATAATGTAAACATAACAAAGTATTTCAATGCTGAGGATATAACTGTTGGTATAGAGGAAACAAAATGTGTTGGCGGTATTTTAAGTGAAGCTGTTTCAAGCAGTCAGAATATTGAGGCTGATAAAGAAAACTTACCGCACCTGCTTAATCAAACAGTTCACATGGAGGAAACCAGACCTATTGGTGGGATTCTTAAAGTGGGATTGGATACAACACAACAAACAGGGCTAAGAATGAAGCAGGGTTTTGATGTTAGCATAAACTCTGATGATAATGTTACAAGATGTTTCAAAATGGAAGAGGATGCAGATGATGGTATAGAAGAAACAAAATGTGTTGGTGGCATCTTGAGTAAAGGTGATAAAACTATGGAAGCTGAGAAAATGAGAACAGGTGATCAGTTAAATGCAGCAAAACAAAAGACCTCTGATTTTATAAATCCTTCAGATGTTACAATTAATTTTAATATAAATGACATTCAAGATAACATGGAGGAGACAAAGGCTATTGGTGGAATTTTAGATAGAACAGGTACTAAAACCAGGAATGAGCAAGTTACTGAATCTGATAGTAAAGAAAACATGAATACTGTAAACCAAACAGTGACGATGGAAGAAACTGTTGCTCTTGGACAGATTTTAGATACATCAAGGAAAGATGACTTAGATCTATCCTCGAAGAAGCCCAGTAGAGTATCAGGTCAGATGATGGGTTCAATCCCTGCCAATACAGAAAGTATACTAGAAAAAAATTGTCAAAGTATGCATTCTGAAGATAAATTATCAAAAATGCATGAAGAGGATATGGAGATTACAAAAAATATTACAGTTTCTATGGAAGAGACAAAAGCTATTGGGGGTATTCTTGATAAAACTAAAGTAGAAACTAAGCCTGATACCATAACAGATAGTACTGACTTAGATAGGACTGCTAATGTTTCTTTTGCAATGGAAGAAACAAAAGCTGTAGGTGGTCTTCTTGATAAGACAGCTGTTAATGATGCATTTGATAAGTTTCCAACTAATGATGTTGTTGATAAAACAATTGATTACACTGTAGCCATGGAAGAAACAAAAGCAGTAGGTGGAATTCTTGAAAAATCCAATAGAAATGTGCAAAAAATTATTGATAGCAAAGAAAATGATAGTTCTAATAATACTCTAAACAAAACTGCACCTATTGAAGAAACTAAGACAGTAGGTGGTATTTTAAACAAGACATCAGATCACACTATGTATTTTGATGATGTGAAAACTGACTGGATATCAAATGACCTGAAGTCTAGTAACAATGGTGGAAAGGTGGCAGATGGAACAAGCATTGAAAGGGTAAACAATTCAGCTGCTGTTGAGGAAACTAAATGTGTAGGTGGAATTTTAACAAATGATATGGAGATGATGAAAGGTAAATTTGAAAACATGTATAATCATGCTAATGATGAAGCTGCAGGTAATAAAACGATAATAGAACCAGTACATATGGAGGAAACTAGATGTGTTACTAATGTTGTGGAACAAGTTATTGATCAGGTCAGAGATAAGAAAAAATCTGAAAGTTTAGTGAATAATGAAAATGGCATTGATGTAAAAAGTGAGGAAAATAGTGCTTTTAAAGAATTACAGAGTAATGAAATTGAAATTGATGATGAAATAACATTTAAGATTTCAAATAAAAGGAGCTATGATGAGTGTCGTGGAGAATCTTTGGACAAAAATGAAGAAAAGACTAAAGATTTTACACAAACCCAAACAAATTTAACAAAGCTAAAGGAAATGCTAATATTGAGTAAGAGAAAGACAGCGGCACATCTCAGACAAGGGGATATAAGAACCCCTTCCAAATTTTCTCCATTATTTCCAGGGTCAGCCCCTCAAAGCACTTCAAAAGCCTCTTGTAGTAATCAGTTAGATTTAAATGTGACAAGGAGTCCTGTACACAAGAGACAGAGATTATCACAAGGTGGACTAGGAGTTGAGGAGACTGATGATGATTTTGGCGGTAATGAAAAGACGGAGGCTACTGCTGCACTACTAGGAGGCTTTCAAGATGATGTCTTCACCACTGGTCTTCCTGACAATAGCAAAATGGATAATACTGATATGCAAGGTAAATTATAATACATTTTTATTTTTAGCTGTTTTTTCTCATAGAAACACCACTCCTTGGTTCAGTTTTGTGATTTTTATCATTTTTTTATACATAAGCAAATGTTGAGAAATATTTTTAAATGGTTTTAATTATTGAATTGAAATAAAACAAAATGTTACAGTCATAAATACAGTTACTAGGTGGGTAGAGCAGGGCTCTACAAATCCCATAGTCCGACATCCGGGACAACTCTTAAAACCACTTCGGACAAGTGACAATAATCAGAAAATTTGACCTGGACAAGTCTGATATTTAAAGATGTAGAGAATCCATCCCATCTCCCGAGACCTTGTACTTAAACTTGAGCGTAATAATGGGGATCCAGTGTACTTCAGTCATAATAGTTTTTGAATAATTCAAACTATTCTCTCTTTAGCATAAAATTTGGTTTCTTGCATATAGGTATAGATGATGAGTTGATGCCAGACACCTTGCATCATGACGTTCTAAACTCCAGTAATGACACTCACAGTGATAAGAATTCAACAACTCGCAGTGACCCTGTCTCTACGACGACAAACGAGAACAATGAGACACAGAGTAGTGGTAATGATACACGCAGCAGTACAAGTGCCAACTTCTCCATGATGTCTAACAAATCCTTTGCCCTATCTTTTGTTGTACCAGTAAGTACATAGTTCCTTAATGTATGTACCAGTATTTTACACATAGAGATCAAGTTTTCATTAGAAAGTTCATGATGGGGAAATTGTAAACTTAATCATATTCTCCCATGCATGTATATAGATGATAGGCAGCACATGGATTTTAATTGTATCAGTGTACGAAATTCGGATTTGAATCCCAATAGGCTGGTCGGGCTACCACATTGGAATATTCACAAGCCCGAAAGATATTTCACTTGTATGATTCATTCGTTCCAAACAGTTGTTTATGTTGCCTTTGTAAAACACGGTAGCCCGGTCAGGCTTGTTACTGCGAAATATTGTAAGCCGAAGCAGATATTTGGTAGTCACGGACTATCAGACTACTGCTAATTATGCCCCCTTTTGAAAAAAAGGGGGTATATTGCTTTGCACTTGTCGGTCCGTCGGTCCGTCGGTCCGTAGACCAAATGGTTTCCGAGTGATAACTAAAGAACCCTTAGGCCTAGGAACTTCAAACTTGGTATGGTGATTGGTCATGACAAGTAGATGACCCCTATTGATTTTGGGGTCAAGGGGTCAAAGGTCAAGGTCACATTGACCTTGTAAGCAAAAACGGTTTCCGATCAATAACTTAAGAACCTTAAGGCCTAGGAACTTCAAACTTGGTATGGTGATTTGTCATGATCAGTAGATGACCCCTATTGATTTTGGGGTCAAGGGGTCAAAGGTCAAGGTCACATTGACCTTGTAAGCAAAAACGGTTTCCGATCAATAACTAAAGAACCTTAAGGCCTAGGAGCTTCAAACTTGGTATGGTGATTTGTCATGATCAGTAGATGACCCCTATTGATTTTGGGGTCAAGGGGTCAAAGGTCAAGGTCACATGGACCTCTTGGGTAAAAACGGTTTCCGATCAATAACAAAAGAACCCTTAGGCCTAGGAACTTCAAACTTGGTATGGTGATTGGTTATGACCAGCAGATGACCCCTATTGATTTTGGGGTTAAGTGGTCAAAGGTCAAGGTCACATTGACCTTGTAGGTAAAAACAGTTTCCGATCAATAACGAAAGAACCCTTAGGCCTAGGGACTTCAAACTTGATATGGTGATTGGTCATGATCAGTAGATGACCCCTATTGATTTTGGAGTTAAGGGGTTAAAGGTCAAGGTCACATTGACCTTGTAGGTTAAAACGGTTTCCGATCAATAACGAAAGAACCCTTAGGCCTAGGGACTACAAACTTGATATGGTGATTGGTCATGATCAGTAGATGACCCCTATTGATTTTGGGGTCAAGGGGTCAAAGGTCAAGGTCACATTGACCTCTTAGGTAAAAACAGTTTCGGATCAATAACTAAAGAACCCTTAGGCCTAGGAACTTCAAACTTGGTATGGTGATTGGTCATGATCAGTAGATGACCCCTATTGATTTTGGGGTCAAGGGTCAAAGGTCAAGGTCACATTGACCTCTTAGGTAAAAGCAGTTTCCGATCAATAACTAAAGAACCCTTAGGCCTAGGAACTTCAAACTTGGTATGGTGATTGGTCATGACCAGCAGATGACCCTACTGATTTTGGGGTTAAGGGGTCAAAGGGAAAGGTCACATTGACCTTGTAGGTAAAAATGCTTTCCGATCAATAACTTAAGAACCCTTAGGCCTAGGAACTTCAAACTTGGTATGGTGATTGGTCATGACCAGCAGATGACCTATTGTTTTTAGGGTCAAGGGGTCAAAGGTCATGTAACATTGACCTTGTAGGTAAAAACGGTTTCTGATCAATTAACTAAAAACGCTTAGGCCTAGATACTTCAAACTTTGTATGATGATTGGTGGTGACCAGCAGATGACCCCTATTGAGTTTTGGGTCAAGGGGTCAAAGGTCAAGGTCACATCGATCTTGTAAGTAAAAACGGTTTCTGATCAATAACTTAAGAACGCTTAGGCCTAGGAACTTCAAACTTGGTATGGTGATTTTTCATGACCAGCAGATTACCCCTTTCGATTTTGGGATCAAGGGGTCAAAGGTCAAGGTCCCATTGACCTTGTAAGTAAAAACGGTTTCTGATCAATAACTAAAGAACACTTGGGCCTAGGAACTTCAAACTTGGCATAGTGATTGGTCATGATCAGCAGATGACCCCTATTGATTTTGGGGTCAAAGGTCAAGGTCACATTGACCTTGTATGTTAAAACGGTTTTGGATCAATAATAAAAGAACCCTTAGGCCTAGGAACTTCAAACTTGGCATGGTGATTAGTCATGACCAGCAAATGACCCCTATTGATTTTGGGGTCAAGGGGTCAAAGGTCAAGGTCACATTGACCTTGTAAGTAAAAACGGTTTCTGATCAATTAAGTTAAAACGCTTAGGCCTAGGAACTTCAAACTTTGTATGATGATTTGTCTTGACCAGCAGATGACCCCTATTGAGTTTTGGGTCAAGGGGTCAAAGGTCAAGGTCATGACCAGTAGATACTTGATAACCCTTATTAATTGTTTGATCACTGGGTCAGAAGTCATGCATAATTACCCTATCACATGAATAATTGGCTGCTGATAGGGGGCATACATGTTTTACAAACATATCTTGTTTCAAACACAGTTGTATTTAATTTTTGTTTTACTGTAAATAATTAATATATTGATGATTTGTAATATGTGCGAATAGCTGTGACGTTGCCCTTTTAATTTTTAGCTGCACTATTTGAAGTATGTGGAGACTCGAAGAGCTGCACTACTTACTCCAGCATCTGCTTCCAAATTTCACATTAAATTTTTTGTTGCTGACTGGCTTTGCTCTAGTACTACACTTTTGGCATTGTCTCATGTTTATTTAAGATTTATATATTTGTTGTATGTTGTGTTTTATCAAATATGCTGATAAGTTCAATATTTGTTGTTATTTGTCTTAATGTATGTATGTATGCATGTATGCAATGCAATGTATGTAATAATATTCTCTCCATTTGAAGTGTATTTTTATGTCAACTTGTTAATTTATTCTTATGTTTTCAGGAAGGTCCAATGACATTGGATTCATTTTTCAGACTGACATTCACACTGTCTTCAAAGATCCAGGGGGCCAGGTGCAGCACAATATTTGCTCCTGTAAGTAAAACATAAATCAGTAATGAAGCAATCTGTTATAAAGGATTGTCATATTTTCAACATTTGCTAGTTGGTCTTGCAAGTGCAACATTTTTCAGCTGTAGTAACTGATGCAACATTTCATTTGTAGCTTTTAAAGATAAGGTAACAATACATAATCTTATCAGACTGCTCTGAAGTGGAAGGTTACCTGCTTCATTACTGGTTCTTTAGGTTTACAATTATTGCCAACATAACTGTGGATGACTGTTTGATTGTAAGTGGAATGATGGCATAAAATATGTTCTTGTTTGAGAATAAGTGGGAGTTTTATTTGTAATTGTGTAGATAATACTGGTAAATGCAATTGTCATTATTCTTTCTTATTTCTAACCGGTAAACCAGTTTTTGAGTTAAATGCTGTAAACAATCTAGGCATAACTCCACAATCATAGTTATGGAGATCAACACCATGAATTGTAATGTAGATATTTTCTCCAAGTGTCTTTTTAAGATTAAAGTGCAGTGATTTGCTCAGTGATTTAACAGTAAATGAAAATATCTGGAGGTTTTATACCTTAAGGTTTTATAAATTGTAATTTGGTGGAAAACAGATGGACTAGTTAGTTTTGATTTAAATAATTTGAAAATATGTTTCTCATAATCTGTAGATTTAATTTGCAGTAGTATGTTTGTGTGAATCTCAATTTGGACTGTTCAATATTTTATTATTAAAGATATAATAATAAAGCACTCCTCTTTGCAGAGATTAGATCTGGATGACTTGACAGAGGTTCTAAATGCTGAACTTACACTCAACCCTCTGGTCAAAGCAAAGAAAAAAATGAAAACCTGTTTCACTCAACTAATAGAGAAGTATGTACTTTACTAATAACTTTCTTTATATTTTTGAAATTTGTCAGCAGTCTGTGCTTAAATAGCTTACTTTTCAGTTTCATGCTCATTTCAATGAAAATTTTCATAAAAATGTTGGAAATACAAATGCAAAATATGCAAAAAATAGCCCTTACTTGTTAAGTAAAGAGGTAAAAATTATGGTTATAGTGATAGTAAATTTAGTCATATTTTTCACTTAACAAGTTTCATATAGATTGGGAATAGTTACACATTTTAAAAAGTCATAAATTTTTTTGAACATTTGATTTTCTGAGATTTTAGGTGATTTAATTTAATTTTTATGTATCGGAAAGTAGCTTTAAAAGAAGTAGTCTTTCATCTCTTTGATGGTTTCCCTCTTGTTTTGAAACAAGGTAGATGAATTCTTTGTGTAGTTTTCAAGTAAGATAAAAGAAGATTTCAGATGTGGCTGCGGTTCTAGTCTCTGTCTGAAGGAAAGGTTTAAATTTGGCATTACGGTAACTTGAAATATAAATGGCTTTATGGACATCTTTGTACTGTGAAGATTGTTTTATGTTACATTTAGGTCTGAGGCAAATATGGAATGGTTGGAGAAATCACTGGAGGAAACACAGCCAGAAATCTTCCAGATTTGTTCCAAAGCTTCTAGTGATGAGGTATGATGTTTATCTTGTAATGTGTCAACATTTCTTTAGCTTTTACTTGATTTCTTGTTTTCTTATTTGATATCTTAAAGTCAAGGTGATATTGAGTGACATGAATAAATAACCTTTGCTAGTAGTTTTAATATTTATGAATCTACAGAAATTATTTGTGAAACTCTTCGAGGTAGCATTTTCATTTATTTTTGTGTTATTAATTCTTAATTCGGGTTGGAATTATGTAAGGATTATATACTTTGAATTTGTTCTAAATTTAAGTCTTTCACCAAAGTACATTATCAGTATTTTTTTAGCTCACCTTGCACATAGTGCAGGTGAGCTTTTAGGATGGCTAATCATATGCGTCCGTTGTCCGGCGTCCGTCCACATTTTATTCAAACTGAAACAACATCTTCTAGAATACCAGTTGGCGAATATTAATGAAATTTGGCAGGAATACTCTTTGTATGAAGCTCTATCAAGATTGTTCAAAGAATGCCATTCTATGCTAAACTCTGGTTGCTATGGCAACTAAAAGAAAAAACTAAAACATTCTTATACTTCAAAATAGAAAGGGCTAGAGCTTAGATATATACAAGGCATAAGCTTGTTGGTTTCTACAAAGGTTATTCAAATTATGGTCTAGAGTTGAAAATTGGTCTCTGTTTTGGGGGTTTAAGGTTTTTTTTATTGCAAGGTTATATAGACTTTCTTTGTAGGGATAAATTGAGATAGTGTATCTTGTACTTTTTGTCTCAACAGACATTGTTATGAAGATTTTTCTGCTAAAGCATTAGAAAGATGAAAAGATGTTGAATGTGAATGTTAATTCAAAACAGAGTCAATCAGAATAGCACAAATTTGAGAGCTACAGTGAAGTTGATTTCCCCATTCAATAATGGATTCTTCCATTAATTTCGTAATATCACCAGAAAGGAGACTGTGTCATTTCCGAAATACAATGTAAAATATTTCGGTTCTTGACAATGATTTGCACATTTCATTATGTAAGATATTGCACAAAGAAACGAAAGTGAACAAAAACTGTTGTATTTTTTCACAGAAATTAGCTGATTAAGATAAAAGTTTACGGATATTACTTTTATATACATCCTTCCGGTTTGCGGGAAAAATCATATATTTCAACACTGGTACAACGGTTTTACTGATGAACTAATTATGTCGTAATATTTCATCCTGAGAACAAACATACAATTCAAATCATTAAAAAATGCATATCAATCAGTCCATTCAACAACTTTGCCTCAGAAAACATCTGTATCAATCTGACCTTGAGTTAAGATTATAGATAGAACTAAACTGGAAGTATGACGAAACGTCCGCCATGTACAAGAAAATTGAGAAATTTTGTAACGTAAACTTGTATTTCATAACAAAGAAGTGAAGATGAATACAATTATCGGTTTGCTTCGTTGAAACAGGTATTTTGTTAACTATTTGTGAAGTATTAAGGCATGACATTCAGTATTTATGTAAATGTCACCTCCCGTGTTATGATTTCTTAAATTATACATGAACACATGTGTTATTGACCTCAATAAATGTAAGTGAAAATGAAACAATAATTTTGGTAATTTAAATTATCATACTTAATTATCTTTATCATATTGTTAACTAAGCAAGAAAATAACAAATTTTAAAAATTACCTAACCTCACAATATTATCAATTTAAACTTGAAAATCTACTCAAAATGACTTCCCAAACAGTAATTTTTGAAACATGAAAATGGTTTATGTAGAAAAATAACACAAGAAAAAACTGATTTGACTCATGAAAATTTTGGTCAAACAGTCTGCCACGTGAAATTCTGACCTTCCTGTGATCCCTGCTGTTTGTTGTTGTTTTTTAGCTCACCTTGCACAAAGTGCAGGTGAGCTTTTAGGATGGCCAACCAAATGGCGTCCGTCGTCTGTCGTCCGTCCACATTTTAAATATTCTAAGGACATCTTCTATGATACCGCAAGGCCAATGTAAATGAAACTTGGCAGGAATACTCTTTGTATGAAGCTCTATCAAGATTGTTCAAAGAATTCCATTTCATGCAGAACTCTGGTTGCTATGGCAACCGAAAGAAAAATCTTTAAATATCTTCTTTTAAAGAACCGTAAGAGCTAGAGCTTAGATATTTGGCATGAAACATCTTCTAATGAGTGTCTACCAAGTTTGTTCAAATAAAAGCCCTAGGGTCAAAATTGGCCCCGCCCCAGGGGGTCATTGATTTTCCCTATATGCATATGGTAAAAACTTAAAAAATCTTCTTTTAAAGAACCCAAAGAGCTAGAGCTAAGATATTTGGCATGAAACATCTTCTAGTGAGTGTCTACCAAGTTTGTTCAAATAAAAGCCCTGGGGTCAAAATTGGCCCCGGCCCGGGGGGTCATTGTATTTCCCTATATGCATATAGTAAAAACTAAAAAATCTTCTTTTAAAGAACTGTAAAAGCTAGAGCTTAGATATTTGGCATGAAACATCTTCTAGTGAATGTCTACCAAGTTTGTTCAAATAAAAGCCCTGGGGTCAAAATTGGTCCCGCCCCAGGGGGTCATTGATTTTCCCTATATGCATATAGTAAAAACTTAAAAAATCTTCTTTTAAAGAACCCAAAGAGCTAGAGCTAAGATATTTAGCATGAAACATGTTCTAATGAGTGTCTACCAAGTTTGTTCAAATAAAAGCCCTGAGGTCAAAATTGGCCCTGCCCCAGGGGGTCATAGATTTTCCCTATATGCATATAGTAAAAACTTAAAAAATCTTCTTTTAAAGAACCCAAAGAGCTAGAGCTAAGATATTTGACATGAAATATCTTCTAGTGAGTGTCTACCAAGTTTGTTCAAATAAAAGCCCTGGGGTCAAAATTGGCCCCGCCCCGGGGGGTCATTGATTTTCCCTATATGCATATAGTAAAAACTTAAAAAATCTTCTTTTAAAGAACCGTAAGAGCTAGAGCTTAGATATTTGGCATGAAACATCTTCTAGTGAATGTCTACCAAGTTTGTTCAAATAAAAGCCCTGGGGTCAAAATTGGCCCCGTCCCAGGGGGTCATTGATTTTCCCTATATGCATATAGTAAAAACTTAAAAAATCTTCTTTTAAAGAACTCAAAGAGCTAGAGCTAAGATATTTAGCATGAAACATGTTCTAATGGGTGTCTACCAAGTATGTTCAAATAAAAGCCCTGGGTCAAAACTGGCCCTGCCCGGGGGTCATTGATTTTCCTTATATGTGTATAGCAAAAACTTAAAAAATCTTCTTTGAAAAAACCCAATAGCTTGAGTTTAGATATTATACATGAAACATCTTTAAGTAAATATCTACAAAGTTTGTTCAAATAAAAGCCCGGGGGTCAAAACTGGCCCTGCCCCAGGGGTGTCATTGTTTTTAACTATATGTGTATAGTAAAAACTTAAAAATCTTCTTTTAAAAAACCCAATGAGCTAGAACTTAGATGTTTAGCATGAAACATCTTCTTATGGGTGTCTACCAAGTCTGTTCAAATAAAGCCCTTGGGTAAAAATTGGCCCGGGGGGGGGGGGGGGGGGGGGGGGGGGGGGGCTATATACAGGTGAGCGACCTCAGGGCCATCATGGCCCTCTTGTTTTTAATAACTTTTTACAAGATTTAATTTTACAATTTAACCTGTGTATAAAGCCACTCGTGTGAACAGAAAGAAGTTTTTGTAGAAAGGGGTGTTCTAATATGATAAACCACAGATGCTTTGGGGTTAGATTCTGCCCTCAACATGATACCCCTGAGTAAACACTATCAAAAAATATTTCAATATTTAAACAGTAATGGGATATGATATCTGTTACAACTATTATACTGGTTTTTCGAAAAAAAAATTACATATATGAAAAAAAAAAATACTGTTTACCAATATGTATTGAGACTTGATTCCGGGCAGGCAGGTGAATTGGTTGGGTCATTTTTCGTAACAGTTTTTTTCAGCAACTACTTATCAGAGCCTCATGATATTAAGTATACAGCATTAACACATTGTCCCATACCATGGGATTTGATTTCAGGTCTGTCGCTCATCCACTTCATGTTTACTGACTTAGTTAAATTCATAATAATGGTCAATGGTAGGAATTTTTCGTAACAATTTTCTCAGCAACTACTTATCACAGCCTCTTGATATTTGGTATACAGCATTAACATGTAGTCACATACCATGGGATATGATTTCAGGTATGTGGCTCATCCACTTCCCGTTTGCTGACTTAGTTAAATTTTCGGCATTAATTGTAAATGGAAGGAAATTTCCGTAACAGTTTTCTCAGCAACTACATATCACAGCCTCTTGATATTTGGTATTGTGACTGCATTAACACGTGGTCCCAAGTTCAGGTCTATCGCTTATCCACTTCCTGTTTACAGACTTAGTTAAATGTTTGACATTAATGGTAGGAAATTTTTGTAACATCACAGCCTCATAAGTCATGTTATTTGGTATACAAATTTTTGTCTTTGACCCATTTTTGGCCGGGTTGCACTGGTGCAAACCCGGGTTATAGTATGGTGAATGTCGGGCGGCGGGTGGGCAGGCAGGCGGGCGGTGAAAAACTTTTCGTTACAGTTTTCTCAGCAACTACTTATCACAGCCTCTTGATATTTGGCATGCAGCATTGACACATACATGGTCCCATACCATGGGATTTGATTTCAGGTCTGTCGCTCATCTACTTCCGGTTTATCGACTTAGTTAAATTTTCAACATTAATGGTCAATGGTAGGAAATTTTCGTAACAGTTTTCTCAGTAAGTACTCATCACAGCCTCTTGATATTTGGCATACAGCATTGACACATGGTCCCATACTGTGGGATTAGATTTCAAGTCTGTCGCTCATCCTTTTCTTGTTTATCGACTTAGTTAAATTTCCGACATTAATGGCCAATGGTAGGAGGAAATTTTTGTAGCAGTTTTCTCAGCAACTACTTATCACAGCTTCTTGATATTTGGCATACAGCATTGACACTTGATCCCATACTGTGGGATTTGATTTCAGGTCTGTAGCTCATCCACTTCCTGTTTACCGACTTAGTTAAATTTGTGACATGAATGGTAAATGATAGGAAACTATTCGTAACTATTTTCTCAGCAACTACTTATCATAGCCTTTTGATATTTTGCATACAACATTAACTAGTGGTCCTATACTGTGGGATCCATTTTCAGATCTGTCGATCATTCATTTCCTATTTACCTACTTCGTTAAATTTTCAACATTAATGGTCAATGGTAGGAAATTTTCGTAACAGTGTTCTCAGCAACTACTTATCACAGCTTCTTGATATTTAGCATACTGCATTGCCTCATGGTCCCATACTGTGGGATTCGATTTCAGGTCTGTTGCTCATCCACTTCCTGTTTACCGACTTAGTTAAATTTGTGACATTAATGGTCAATGGTAAACATTTTGTATATTATGTATACATTGTATTATGATATTTGGTATACAAATGCAACCCGGCCTTTTCTGTCTTTGACCCATTTTTTTTCATACTTAATTTTTCACCTGAGTGGAGCATAACTCAAAAGTGTTTTAGATGTCAACATGAAATGTCATAAGTGGATAGATCTTATTGAGGAGGATAATGATAAACTCTTCCCTATACAATTTTTGAGTTATTGCCCTTTGATTTTTTTCATACTTTTTTGTCCGGAGCTTATCTCAAAAAGTATTTGAGGTATCAAATTGAAACTTCAAAGGTGGATGGATCTCATCGAGGAGGAGTGCAGTGCACAAGAATGATAACTCTACCCTGCATAATTTTTGAGTTATTGCCCTTTGTTATTTTTCAAAATTATTTTTTGTCCAGAGCATAACTCAAAAGGCCTTTGAGATATCAAAATGAAATATCATTGGTGCATGGATCACACTCAGGAGGTGTGCAGTGCACAAGAATGATAACTCATCCTTTCATAATTTTTGAGTTATTGCCCTTTGTTTTTTTTCATACTTAATTTTTCACCTGAGTGGAGCATAACTCAAAACGTGTTTGAAATGTCAACTTGAAATGTCATAGATGGATAGATCTTATTGAGGAGGAATGCTGTGCGCAATAATGATAAGGCTTCCCTGTATAATTTTTGAGTTATTGCCCTTTGTTCTTTTTCATACTATTTTGTCCGGAGCTTATCTCATAAAGTATTTGAGGTATCAACTTGAAACTTCATAGGTGGATAGATTTTACTGAGGAGGGGTTAAGCACACAAGAATGATAACCTACCCTGCATTGTTTTTCAGTTTTTGCTCTTTATTATTTTCAGCCATCAGTATTCACATAGGTTTCAAATCTGTAATCACTTCAGTTTTCATTACCAAAAGACCTCTTGAAAATTGAATTATTCTGCTCTACTACATATACATTCTTCCAATGAGCAAACACATTCGGCGGGGGATGGCCATGTTGACATGGCTCTTGTTCCTTATAAATTTAATTGCACAATATTATTATGCCCCCACTTCAAAGAAGAGGGGTTATATTGTTTTGCATTTGTCTGTCTGTCGGTCCGTAGACCAAATGGTTTCCGAGTGATAACTAGAGAACGCTTAGGCCTAGGAACTTCAAACTTGGTATGGTGATTGGTCATGACCAGTAGATGACCCTTATTGATTTTGGGGTCAAGGGGTAAAAGGTCAAGGTCACATTGACCTTGTAGGTAAAAATGGTTTCCAAGTGATAACTAAAGAACGCTTAGGCCTAGGAACTTCAAATTTGGTATGATGATTGTTCATGACCAGCAGATGTCCCCTATTGATTTTGGGGTCAAGGGGTCAAAGGTCAAGGTCACATTGACCTTGTAGGTAAAAACTGTTCCGATCAATAATTAAAGAACGCTTAGGCCTAGAAACTTTAAACTTGGTATGGTGATTGTTCATGACCAGCCGACGACCCCTACTGATTTTGGGGTCAAAGATCAAGGTCACATTGACGTTGTAGTTAAAAACGGTTTCCGAGTAATAACTAAAGAATGCTTATGCCTAGGAACTTCAAATTTGGAATGATAATTGTTCATGAATAGCAGATGACCCCTATTGATTTTGGGGTCAAGGGGTCAAAGGTCAAGGTCATATTGACCTTGTAGGTAAAAACGGTTTCCGATCAATAATTAAAGAACGCTTAGGCCTAGAAATTTCAACTTGGTTTGATGATTGTTCATGACAAGCAGATATCCCCTATTGGATTTGGGGTCAAAGGTCAAGGTCACATTGACCTTGTAGGTAAAATGGTTTCCAATCAATAACTAATGAACACTTAGGGTTAGGAACTTCAAACTTGATTTGATGATTGTTCATGACCAGCAGATGACCTCTATTTATTTTGAGGTCAAGGGGTCACAGGTCAAGGTCACATTTACCTTGTAGGTAAAATGGTTTTTGATCAATAACTAAAGAACGCTTAGGCCAAGGAACTTCAAACTTGGTTTGATGATTGTTCATGATCAGCAGATGACCCCTATTGATTTTAGGGTCAAGGGGTCAAAGGTCAAGGTCACATTGACCTTTTAGGTAAAAATGGTTTCTGATCAATAACTAAAGAACGCTTGGGCCTAGGAACTTCAAAGTTAGTTTGATGATTGTTCATGACCTGCTGATGACCCCTATTGATTTTAGGGTCAAGGGGTCCAAGGTCAAGGTCACATTGACCCTGTAGGTAGAAACAGAAATCAATAACTAAAGAATGCTTGGGTCTAAGAACTTCAAACTTGGTATGATGATTGTTTATGACCAGCTGATGACCTCTATTGATTTTGGGGGTCAAGTGGTCAAATGTCAAATTGACCTTGTAGATAAAAACGGTTTCCGAGCAATAACTTGAGATCCCATGAGCTGTTGGCCCTCAAACTCAGAAGGTGCATTGGACTTGACCAGTAGATGACCCCTATTGATTTTGGGGACAAGGGATCAAAGATCATGGTTGTTGCATTGACCTTGTTGGTAAAAACGGTTTCCTATCAATAACTTGACAAGCTGTTGGCTTTTGGCTTAAATTTTGAAGATGCATTGGTATTGGCCCGTAGATGACCCCTATTGATTTTGGGGTCAGGGGAACAAAGTTCAAGGTTGCATTGACCTTGTATTTCACAACGGTTTTCTATCAATAACTGGACAACCCATGGACCCTTGACTTCAAGCTTTACAGATGCATTGCTTTTGGTCAGAAGATGACCTCAATGGATATTTTGGTGTTAAGGGGTCAGAGGTCAAGATCACATTGACCTTATGGGTAACAACGCTTTCTGATCAATATCCCATCTCATGGGCCCTTTACCTTCAAACTTCACAGGTGCATTGGTCTTGGCCAGTAGATAACCCCTATTGATTTAAGGGTCAAAGGTCAATGTCATATTGATCTTGTATGTAAAAATTGTTTTACTAATAACTCAACAACTCAAGTTGCCTTGGTTGATATTTTTTTATTAAACTAAAAATCCTTTTGGTATACACATTTCAAGGTCTTATGTAATGTAACATTAATGAGGCCTACATGATTCATAAAATTTATGCATATTTTATTTGATAAGATTTACATGTTTATGTTTTATATGTTTTACAAACATATCTTGTTTTATGAAAAATTAATGTTTTGGCACAGTAAACATTACTGCTCCCTTTTCTTTAAAAATACAAATTTTATCTTGGTAAAATAAAACAAAGACTGTTTAAAGTGAAAAAGAGTCATTTTTCATCAATGTTCCTATAGTGTAATGCTAACATTTAGCATGTCTTTACGCTATGATTGTATAAGGCAAATAACATCAAGTCAAAATATCTGCACGGCAATGCAATACCATTTTTACGGAGTCGCAAAATCGGCATGGGTGTGTGTTGAAAAAATTTACTTCTTTGTTTATAGGTGTATGTAACGGTTATCATACAGCAGTTTGTTTTTATCTGTTATTTGAATGTCGTCTTTAAAAGATTTGACTGATAAGAGAATAAGCGGCATTATGTGCTGGACGAAGATCTGTTGAAGCAGTGTAACAAGCTATGGCATCATCTAACATGCCTTCCTGCTCCATGCATTGTGCAAGTAAATTTAAGTCAGTTTCCTTGTGTCCTAGATTAGAGTCAGAGTCTATTGCTTGTCTTAGTTTGTCAAACGCTGCCTGCTGTCTCTCCATGTTACCTTGAATTTTCTGGGCTTTGTACAATAAGAAATAATAGTAAGGAATTGAGTCTACCACAGCCCAGTCCATCCAGTAGTCCTTATGAAGAGCATCCATGTTTGGGCGGAAATATTCATGTTTTAACTCCTCTGGGACACAGTTCACTTCACATGGTAAGAACCTTACACAAAAAGCTGTGTGCTTTAATACATGTTTTATATCACCTTCAACACAGACTTCTTCAAATTCATGTTTAGGCTTTCCTCTATCTCGACTCTGGTAGCAACAACAAACCGATTGCAAACGTTCAATGCTATATTGTTCTAGTATTGTATCAAGTATACTAATAGTCTGAGGCATGTCTCCTTTGCAATAGAACACTGATGCCCATTTTAATGTTGATGAGATGTCATTAGCTGATCCTTGTTCTAACATAACAAGTGAATTACGTTGAATTGTTTCATTCTTAGAAATACTGTTGGAAGCCAGTACTGATCCTAGAGACATATATAAGAAGTTGGAAATAAGTTCACATGCTTTTTGTTCATATTCGGTACCTTCACTGTGAAAGGTAGTAAGCTTATCAATAGATACAGACAACTTTTGGACAACATTTTCTGTCTGCAAGTGTGTCAGTTCAGTCAGATAGCCACCAATACGATTACTGAGGCTGTTCATGAAAGTATACAATAAATGTCCAGAAATATTTTGTTTGTATTCTAAAGCTGATGGTACTTGTATATGTACAATGTGTCCTGGGTACACAGTTTGAAACTGTCCAGTGATTCTCATACCAAGCTGGTCAATTTCGATATCTTCAAGAGCTTTAACGTCACTGCATAAAATATTTTGGATTATTGCTAGAATTTGTGGTTTGATGTCTGGTGAAATGCGTCTCGCCATCAAATTGTTCTCTGGTATAAGAAAGTGTGGACAGTGTTCTGACAGAACACAGTCATGTAGAAATTTCAAGCAAGTATTCAAACAGTTTAGTAAATTATCATCTTGCCAGAGATTTTCTTCTCCTTTTTCAATGCAATGAAGGACGACTGTTTTACAGATGAAACTTGATAAGGCATCTTCAGAATCAAGGCCTTGGTAAGATTTTAGAATCATTTTCATCAAAACATAACACCTGATTTGAACTATGTTTAAGCTGAACATAAGCCTGCGTTCTGTTAATGATGTTGATATTCTCCATTGAAGTTCCTCACTTTCAGTACCACGGCAACCAACAGGTACAACAAAACATCCATCATTCATAGCTTGCCTCTTTAATTCTTCCGCAGGCCAGTTTCCTGCACTTGCTGTTTCTGTCAATAATCTGGCCTCCCTTGGCCATGATTTACAGTAATACGCATACACAAGGTCATCATCAGCATATCCAGGTAAACCTTGTATGGACTGTGATGGACCACGTCTTACACTACCATCAGGTAATCTACTTACAAACCAATCATTCTTCATCAGCACTCTTCTTCTACTGTCAACATAGTAATCTTCAGAAGGGGGATAATCAACTAGATTTGGAACATTGTCATATGTTTTTTGTAGGAGACAGTATCCTGGTGGTGTGTTAGCATCACGTACCATCAACAAATTTGTATATCCATGACGCCATTCTGAAAGGTCTTGTATAATGTTATACGTGTTGTTACATGCCAGAGTGTCAGAGTCTGCATGAAGACCTGCTGTAGTTGTTCCTTCAGTGCGGCTCCCAAAATTATATGTGGTTAATTTCATATCTTGTAAGTTCGTCGTCACTGTCCGGAGAGATTCTTCTGCCATTACTGTTTGCCTTCTTTTTCTGACCATGTCATCATTTACACCAATGTCATCAAGGACCTTAGAGAGTTGAAGTGACACACTTCTTGTATGGTCTGTTGAACTAAACATCCTGCAAAACACATAGCCTGTTTACTAAGTCATTTTCTTGTACTGGTGTTGATAGCAATTGATAGGATTGCATAATTTGTTAAAAGCTACTTGCCTCCAGAATGTAAAATGAAAAAATGAAATAAAATTTTAAGGTAAATAAGGTTTTAATTAGGATTAATGTGTAAATTTATTATTACTGACAGGGTCTTTCAAATGAATGGTCTGGAGTTGGACCAATTTTACGAAAAAAGATATCTCGGCTGAGTCATGTGATAAGGTTATCTACCCACCGTGCATCACCATTGAAAAAAAATCAAATTAAAAGATAATGTTTTGTTAAATTGATAAAAAAAGTTACTGTGAAGTAATCCTGGCTTCATTACATTGTAAGTTTTTACTTTAAAAAGTAACAATTTTGAAATTAGGAATTTTTCGTTCCTGGTGTCAAGGTAAAAATCTACTGCTTATATTTGAAAATAGGTCTGAGTTTCTTAAGCTTTATTTAAATTTATGCATTGTTCAATGACAAAATAGAGAAAAAAGTTATTTTATCGTATCATGTAAAGATTTTATAATATTAAATGATGTTATATACTAAAAATATTTGATGTTTATTTTGGTGTATTTTCTAAATGGCACAGTTTGTCGGCAAGCAAACTGTTTTTCAACAGATCATAGCTTTAAAAACATTATTTTCTGAAATAATTATCTTTTTTTCACAAGTTTAAAGATTTTTAAAGAACATCATGTTGTAAGAATTTTCATTTTGCTCTTGTATTAAATTTTCGCCCTTTTGTTTAACAGTTACAAAAGCTCAGTGTTTATGTGTAGGTCCGTTTGCTGGAAATTATTATGTTTCATGCTTTAATTTAAACCGATATACTGGTCATGATATTGTATGGTGTAATTGATTAATTATAACTTTGTAGTGCCACCAGAGAGCAGTTTCCATCATGTGGTACAATAATGCCAGAGCCTCGGCAGAGCCTCGTTACCGCTGTAAACAGTTACCCTCGAGCTAGATATTCCGGTCTGTACCGGCAGCCGGTGTAAGATTCTTATAATCTTCTCAACGCAAATTGTTTTAAAACATAATTAGGCACAATTGCAAAAGTCATTCTCTTAAGAAAGTTCTCCTCAATTTGAACAACATGCAAAGAGTTAAATCTACAGATAGAGGACAACTTGAATATGTAGGATTTAACTTGAAAATAGGACTTTCACTATACATTGCTTTAATGTTGATATTCCATGGGAAAGTCAGCTTATAATCCCTAATATGTCTTATTTAATCAAGTCACAGGTTCTACATATGCAAGGAAATCGGAACTTATTTTCCCCCAGAAAAGCTGGAAAGTTTTTATATGATCCTAACAATATCAGTGTCAATTACATGACTTACAACTCTACCATAAATATAAAATTTATTCAGAGCAAAATTATATTGGACTTATTTATTAGATTTTATAATAATAATGCAAAAAAAAAAAAGAAAGAAAAACAATAACAAAAAAACAGCATAATTTATGTTGTTTTGCACATCTGTTTGTTAGCAATTTCCTGTTTGCTTTGTATCTTTTGAAAGGATAGGAGGAAATTGAAACTACATTGGAGGAATGTTAACCATAATGAGATGATGTGCAGAGCGAAGGTTTTACCTTCCTCAGGTCAAGGTCAAGTCTCACTTAGTCATTATGTATCAGTTCTCCTCTGTATCATTTAAAGGAAATAAACATTATTTAACAGAAATGCATCTTATAATGACATGGAATACAGAACACTGGTTTTTTTTTTTAAGATCAAAATTAGTCCAAAAAATTAAATCCTGACCCTACCGGGGGTCATTTGATTTATATACACTTATATACTAAGGGATATGCTACAAAAGCTACAAAGCCCAGAGCATAGATATTTGGATATTTGGCATGAAGCATCAATTTATACTCTTCTACAAAATTGATATTAATCATGACTTTGAGGTCAATATTGTCTCGCAGCCCTGGGGGTCACTTGCCCTATGGAAACTTAAGGTACATCTAATTTTTTTATGTTATGGAGACTAAAGGTACTTCTAATTTTTTTGTGTTATTCATAAATGCCCAATGCTAAGATATTTGGCATGTAGAATTGCCTAGCAGGTTAATACCCTAAGGATAATTAAGGAAAAAAAAAATTCAGACAACTTCTTAAATGGGTCTCTTTCCTCATAGAAAGATTATTTTTGATTATTCAGACAAATTTTTATTCAGGTGTTTATCCCCCCCCCCCATTTGCGGTTCCATTATTTTCATAATGAAACTGATATTGATCTTTCATGCTGTCATAATATAGAAAGTGTGTTTTTCAGTTAAGCCTTTTGTTATTTTATGATGAAATACTTGTAAAATAAGATTTCTATAAAAAAAAATACCTCCCTTTATTTAAAGCAGAAATCATTGAAATTTTTTATTGCAAACAAACTGTGAAACATACTAAAATGTTAAACTGATAAAGTTTATAAAAGATAAGAATAGAATTATTATACTCACATGTTCACAAAAGCATTAATATCGAAAAAATACACTGAAGACTTAGAACAGCCAGCTGCTTTTTATTATTTCTTTGTGAAATCTACTGTATGGTAATTTACAGTCAGATTTATTTAATGTTCCAAGAAAGATTTTTTCTCTCCTTTTTAATCCCTTTAAATATCTTCCCTATAAGATGTTAATGATTTTGAAAAAAAAGGAAAATATCAAATTTTTTAGAAAAGATGATTAATAAATCATGAAACTTTTGATAAAATCTTAAAAAAAAAACACCTGAATTTGTTACCTGTAATCTAAGTAACTTTAAGGAACTTAAAAGAACCCAAAGAACTTGGAAGTTTATTTTACATAAAGTTGAATTGTTGTTTCATTATTATGCCCCTACTTCAAAGAAGAGAGGGTATATTGCTTTGAATTTATGTCCATTGGTCCGTAGACCAAATGGTTTCCAAGTGATAACTAAAGAACCCTTAGGCCTAGGAACTTCAAACTTGGTATGGCGATTGGTCATGACCAGCAGATGACCCCTATTGATTTTGGGGTAAAGGGGTCAAGGTCATGTTGACCTTGTAGGTAAAAAGGGTTTCCGATCAATAACTAAAGAATGTTTAGGCCTAGGAACTTCAAACTTGGTATGGTGATTGGTCATGACCAGCAGATGACCCTATTGATTTTGGGGTCAAGGGGTCAAAGGTCAAGGTCACATTAACCTTGTAGGTAAAAACAGTTTCCGATCAATAACTAAAGAACGCTTAGGCCTAGGAACTTCAAACTAAGTTGGTGATTGGTCATGACCAGCAGATGACCCCTATTGATTTTGGGGTCAAGGGGTCAAAGGTCAATGTCACATTGACCTTGTAGGTAAAAATAGTTTCCGATCAATAACTAAAGAACGCTAAGGCCTAGGAACTTCGAACTTGGTATGGTGATTGGTCATGACCAGCAGATGACCCCTATTGATTTTGGGGTCAAGGGGTCAATGTCATATTGACCTTGTACTTAATGACGGTTTCTGACCTAGAACTCAACAACTCAAGTTCCTTGTTTGATATTTTTATATTAAACTAAAAATGCTTTTGGTATACACATTTGAAGGTCTTATGTAATATAACAACTTTGCTGTCATTAATGAGGCCTACATGATTCATAAAATTTATGCATATATTATTTGGTAAGATTTGTAATAACTTAAATTGCTGCACACAACCTATGGGGTCACAATAATTATTGCCTTGTGACTAGTCATGACCAGTAGATACTAGATAACCCTTGTTAATTGTTTGTTCATTGGGTCAGAAGTCATGCATAGTAACCTGATCACATGACTAATTGGCTGCCAATAGTGGGCATACATGTTGTACAAACATATCTTGTTTATTTCAGCTTCATAAGATAATTGGTCAGTTACGATCACTAGTGTCTGCATGTCACAATGAGGCTGATGTTGCTTGGAAACAGAAATTAATAGAAATATTTAGTGAAGCCTTGGAAGAAATACAGGTATAGTCTTCATTATATGTTTTCATTATGTCTTACAAAATTTTTGTGAGGTATACTGGTTTTGTCTTAGCTGTCCGTCTGTCCGCACTACTGAAAAAGGGATAGGGGGCCATCTAACTGTAAACAGAACAAAAGAGAACAATACAGTTCATTCCGTAACAAAAGAGTATGGGGCCATTGGCCCTCTATTAAATAAAAGAAAATAACAATAGAAATGGCCCTTTATCCCAATTTGGCCGGACGTCCATCTGTTTGGTTGCCAGTCCGTCTGCATTAAGCTTGTCCGGCCTTTAGCCTTCACAGGTCAAACTACTGGTGGGATTTCAACTAAACTTGCAGGAGTGATCAGTACCATCCTTAATTTATGCACATCACCGCACAAAATGGCCACCAAAGATAAAAATAGTTAAAGATTGTCTGGCCTTCACAGGTCAAACTACTGATGTGATTTCAACCAAACTTCACAGGAGTGATCAGTACTATTGGTAGTTGTGCACATCACTGTCACATTCCGCTTCCTGCACTAAATGGCTACCAGAGCTATAAACAGAAAAATCCTGTCCGTCTATCACAGATGAAACTGCTGATGGGATTTCCACCAAAATTCACAGGAGTGATCAGAACCATACATTGTTTTGGGAGACATTTTTTTATGACAAAAACCCTTCTAGTTGTAAATACCTGCCTAGGTTTAGGCATAGATTATCATTTAACTGTAGATGGATTTTAGGGACAGTATTGTTTGAATACACGTACCTCATTCTTAAGCATATAAAAAATTGGCATAATTTGCTGTGATCCTTACTAAAATGCCAATGTAACCAAGACTTTGTGAATACTTAATAACATACTTGTCTCTTTCCCAAAACACATGTGTTTAATAAATAGAAAAGTTTTGAGGTTGGTAGTATACAATGTATTTTGTTCATGTAGAATATTAACTTGACTACAGAACTTGTCTGTTAAATAATGGTAGATTACTTCAGATGTTAGCCTGATCACACAAAGTAAACTGAAAGCTTTCTAATTCATCCCATTGTCAACGCCTGTGTCCAGATTTTTTGGCTGGAGTCTTTGTGCAGTAAATATCTGTTTACAGTTGAGCTTTACTCCAGACTTTAAAAAGTTGTACATGCATCATTACTCAAATCACATTTGGCAAGGTACATAAGTTTGGAATCTATATTTTAAGAACTTTTTATCCATTTCACAATTATTTATTACTTAACTTATCACTTTGTCCACTTTGATATTTGTTTTCTTTTTTAGCTCGACTTTTCTATGAAAAGGGGAGCTATCCTACTCGCCCCGGCGTCGGCGTCGGCGTCGGCGTCACACCTTGGTTAAGTTTTTCGTACCACCCCACTTTATTTCAGAAGTATTACAAGTATGGCTTTGAAACTTACCATACTTGTTCACCATCATAACCTCCATCTACAGACAAGAGTACATAACTCTGTCAAGGTTTTTGACAGAATTATGGCCCTTTTTTGACTTAGAAAGTGTATTGAGCTTGGTTAAGTTTTTTGTACCACCTCACTTTATTTCAAAACCATTGGAGGTATTGCTTTGAAACTGACCATACTTGTTTACCATCACGACCTTCATCAACAGACAAGAGGACATAACTCTGTCAAGGTTTTTGACAGAATTATGCCCCTTTTTGACTTAGAAAATACATTGAATATGGGTAAAATCCACTTATTGCCTTAACCCTTTGAGATATTGCTTTGAAACTTTTAATGCTATTTCACATCATTACCCCCATCTGTACGCAAGAGAAGGTAACTCTGTCAAGGATTTGTTTTAAAAAATTAAGGCCTTTTATCGACTTAGAATCTTGGTTAAGTTTTTAGTACCAGTCCACTTTTTGACTGAACTGTTTGAGATATTAATTTGAAAGTTGGAATACTTGTTTACAATCATGATTCCCAAACATGTCCAGGAGAAGGTAATTCTGTCAAAGATTTTATTTGAATTATGGCCCTTAACTGTCAATGTTTTGTATTATAGGCAAGCACTAAAAAACTTAAAAAATCTAAAAAAATTCATTCCTATCCACTTGTTCACTTTACCATAAATTATGTCATATAAACATTGCTGTAATATTCAAGGGTATCAAACAACTAGTTCACTTTAAAAATACAGAGATTCTTGTATTGCCTTTTACTGCAAAAACTTTTTTTATTGGCAAGCAATAAAAAAGTCGAGCGCGCTGTCTTACGGACAGCTCTTGTTCTCCAATATCAGAACAATTGTGCAGTTTTTTTTCTCCTATTTTGTTAAATACATGTATAAAGTAACAATAGAAATGTTGAAATGTCAGTTGTTGCTTGTAGGTTGAAGGAGTAAGAAGGGCAGAGGAAATGTTAGAGAAGAACAAAGCAGATAACCAGACAATAGATGATCTCTTGATTTCTCTGGAACATGGTTTGTCTTATTACAGTGTTATGTTAATCCAAAAAAAAAAAAATAACTGATTGATGCTTATAGTACTTGGTAGAAAGTGTGTTGTTATTACTAAATACACACTGTTCTATGTTTGATCAGATCTTTTCAATTGAACTCCAGTTTTCTTGTTTTAATGTAAGACATAACATTATCATTATTATCATGCTTAAGATTCCCAGAATTTCATTAATTCATTTTATAATTTACAATTGTTTACAAAATTATGTGGACATGACCATCTTAGATATTTATACATATATGTACTATAAGTTGTGGTAGATAAAATTTTCATTTGATATCATAAATACTTTGTATTGATGATGAGTTATGTTTCCTAAACATTTTAAAGGAAAAGGCAGAAAAGAAAACATGGAAAAAAAAACACCAAATTTTTAGGACATTTGTCTGCTTTATAAATATTGATTTATATGTAGTAACAAAATGAATATTTCAGATTTAGAAAGTCTTGACGAGAATGATAAATTGCTAGATGAACTTCAGCTTAAAGAAGAGACGTTACGCAAGTATGTTAAACCTTAGCTTATCTGATTGAAAACATAATCTTTATTTTGAAAAGAAAAAAAAAATTATGGAAATTCATCTTTTTTTATAGTTTTTTTTTTATTCCAGTTCACCCTATGAAAATATTTTCTGATTTAATTCAAGTTTTTTTTGATGCAATTTTAGTACCTATATTTGGACTTCTGTGGCCGAGTGGTCAAGGGCATTGATTTCAAACCACTTGCCCCTTGCCATTGTAGATTCAAATCCAGAACATGCCCGTTCGTGCCAGAAATAATGCACGGAATGGCACCGGAGGTTTTTGCCAACCAGTTATGGAGAGTATGTCATCATAATTATGATCTATACTTTGTTGGTGTAACGTAAAACCAAACTGAAAAAAATGTAACGTCAAGACTGTCTGAGTGAGCTTCTGATTTCAATGTCTCTGTGTCTTATACCTCCTAGTTTCAGTCAGCTCAACATATTTCCATATATAGATGGTCTGAATTATACAGTTACCCGTCATATGTGACAAGCAACCTAATTGTCTGGTCCCAATGCCTTGCCTTGTCTGATTTATACAACTTTCACACCTTTTAATTGTCTGTTTATCAAATAAATAATACCTGTTTAAACACCAGAGGGCCAAAATAATTAAGTCCAATTATTATCCAGTAGTCAATACTCTACAAACAAACTCTACACAACTGCCTCAGTAACAGTTTACATGTATACAGGTAACATGGGATGTAGTGTCTTCTCCCTACTGCCAAATATGGTAAGCATGATGCTGTCGATATGTGATAATAAATAGAGGTGTAATGTACTGTAGATATTATTCCTTCACAGAGTTAAGTATGTTTAGCCACCATGGTATATAGATTGTTTTAAAATTTTAGTTTTCTTTTTGGCTATATTAAGAGACTTTTTCTACAGGTCCCTTGGAAATTCACATGACAGTCTCGACTGTACCTGTATTTTTGTTTTACTACTGTAGATAACTACTTTAATGCTATGTTTGTATATAACGTAAATGAAGTCACATCAAAGTGTTATTACTCTAGTGTAATATCGTATTTATTAAATGGCTTATTTATGGAACATCGTAGGTTTTACTCAAGAGTCCATTCATGCCTGACAGAAATGCATCTGCAGTAAACCTGGAAAGTCGCCATATGACCTTTATTGTGTTGGTGCAAGGTAAAACCCAAACAAACAAACAAATGGCTTTATTACACTCCTGCACCATGTTGATAAAGTACATTGTTTTACATTGGCATATCTTTATAACTTTTCAGGGAGATGGAAAACCTTTCAACATGTTTGAAAGAGAAAACAGTTGAGGAAAGTGAATTACTGTCACAAGTAGAAAGTCAGTCCAAGAAAGAAGAAACACATGAATTAAGAAATCAGTTGAAAGAGGAATTAATTTCACATCTTATGTAAGTTCCCTTTGTATTTGATATTTAAGGGGTTAGATTTTAAGTCATATGACAGAGTACATGTCAACATTTAAGCTTTAATGATGTGTATACGAACCATTTAGTTATCATTTATTAAGGGATTAAAACACATTAATGGTCATTATCATGACAACCATTGTGAAGCTAAGTATTGAGCACATAATCCAGGTTCCTGCAACCAAAGTCAAGGTCACATAGAGAGGTAAGTTTGTGTATGGGGACCATTTAGTCATCATTTATTGCTGGATTGTAACACAAATGATAACTATCATGACTACAAGTGTGACACATGTAATTTAGGTTAATATATTTAAGGTCAAGGTCACTAGAGATGATAAAATATCCAGATATTGCCCAGAGTATATTGTCTATATACATATCTATAATGCCCACATCCCTGACAAAAGTTTTTGTGTTGCCCTTGTCTAATACTATCTCTTTATATGAATTTACATCTCAGATTATCTTTCTTTTTCATATACAGATGTTGTGAATATAATTTGAATGAGTTAGAAGAAGATGTGGCAGTATTTACCTTCTTAGATGATAAAGTCGAACTTTATATCAACTTTTTGCTTGGCACAGAAGAAAAACAAATCAGTAATATGACATTGAAGATAAATTCGTCAACAAAAGGTAGTATTTCAGTAGGAATATTATGTGTTAAAAATACACTAACATTTTTATCTATCATTTATATGAACTTCACAAAGAACCTTTTCTGTTTTATTAACTTAGAAAATATTCAAACAGGTTTTCTTATATCAATCTATTTTTTAGCCTCAATTAGCTCTTTGAGAACTATATGTAGGTATTATATAATATACATGTATTTACTCTTATTAGATGATAATACTTTCAGTGAAGGGATATTTGTGTCTCCTCAATATATGCATTTGTGTATACTAAACTTTATTTCTATAGGTTCTGTGTATCTAGAGGAAAAAGTTGCTTGTGCATTTATATTGAATGGAATCAATATAGACAGTCTGAGACAGAGGTTCACAACATTTTCTTCCCTTCCAAAGGTTTGTACAAAAATTACATGTACATTTAAAAAAAAAGACACTCGGTGAGAGTTTATTCCCTTTCATGTACTTGCCAGGGACATGTCGAAGAGTTACAGAAACTTCTATAAATGATGAATGCTTACTTTATTTTCATTTCATGCATGTACCTTAAAATTTATATATTTATTGAAAACAGTAAGTTGAGATAAAATAATTTTAAATCTGATTTCAAGCAAGAAACCATTAAAGTCAAGAATTAAATAAATTGTTTTCCAGTAGTAGTTATAACCCTTCTTGCTGGCAAAATAGATAAAATACTAGTCAAATGAGTTCCTCACTTTCTAGGAATGGAAGTGTTAAAAATAATCAGTGCATTAGTAATTAATCTAATCACTGGAGTACTTCTTTAATGTAGTTATTTTTCAGCCTATGTTTTACTAGCACACCATATTCAAAACAAGCACTTGCCCCTCACTGCTGTGGGTTCGAATCCCTACAGGGACTTTGGATTCTTTCATGTGAGGAAGCTATCCAGCTAGCTTATGGAACGTTGGTGGTTCTATTCAGGTGCCTGTTCGTGCCTGAAAGGTGCACAGAAGGGCACCTGAGGTCTTCCTCCACTGGTAAAGCTGGAATTACGCCATATGACCTATATTGTGTCAGTATGACATACAACCCTATCAAACAAACAAAATATTAAGCTATTGTTGCCTATTGAAAAAGACTTAATACACAGTTCACAATCATGTAGTAACTGAAGGTTTTTTTTTTGGTAACCTTAACAACTAAGTTTTTCCCGCACTATTTTTCAGCTAATCCACGAGTTATCTGTTTCAATCAATGAGATAAAAATGTTCTGCAAGGACCTGGAGGAAGTCAATGTATACAATGTGCTCAAATTTGAAGATAATAGGTAAATATTGCAGCCATAACTTTCCATACTAAGACCAAATATGGGTTAAAATAATGTCATTTTATTCTAATGTTCTGCTCCGTCATAACAATTTGGTTCTCTGAATTGTAAATTGAGGATTAAGAGCTTATATAGATATCCAGTTTACTTCTTGTTATGGAATATTACAGTGTAAGGAAACTTATGTAATTTATTAGAATGACCATCCAAAATGATTGGGGGCCTCATTAGTAGGGGCTAAAAGTTGTTGACTTCATTTGCCCTGCATGTGTGTGTTCAAAGACCAAAAAGTAGGAATGCATCTAGAACAAGTGAGAGAATTATTTTTAAGTATTAAAAATTCTGATATAAATAAGAAGAAATAAAGCATAATTATTCTTCAAAGGACCCAACTGCTTTGTATATAAAAATTTACATTATACAGTATGTTAAACACTTGCCAAAATTTTACATGACTGATAATTTCTAATAATTTCAGTTTAAGAACAGAGCTGTGGGACAGGAAAACTATGGATTTTATCAAAGTTGGCTTTAATTTTGACCCAACTCACCCTCTGACAAATCATGTAGAAAGTAGAGTCCATGTCAAAATTGGAAAACTTGAGTAAGTTTCATTACTAGAACTGTTCTATTAACCTGGAGCTCCATTTCCTATAGATATTGACACCCTATACTGCCTTATACAACTTAAAATGTTTTCTCTAATACAAATGTATTTCTTTCACTATTTCTTTGCAACATCTTGATGATACTTGTTAATTTTTCATGTATCAAGTGACATTGTACCAAAAAGAATTTGTGCTCAAATTTAAGATAGTTGACATTTCACCCTCAACTATGTTTTATCATTGTATTTCCAGTTACTTATGCTCATTTGATTAAGACATTGACCATTACTTAATCACTTATTCTATTATCCTTGAATGATTCTGCAAGTACTTTTTACTTTACCGCGTTATGTAGTATAGCGGTAAAGTTATGTCTGCACGTTACGATTGAATAAGTCACAGGAGTTAAAGATTGACCTTTGTTACAAACTGACCAATCGAAATGAATGGTATGATAACATTAAGATAGGTAGAGTTACAGGTATCAGTTTCTAGCATGCACCAATGCTAATAAACACGTGCTTTAAAATTTCAAGTTCATAAATTTAAAAATAAATAAATGAATAAATAGTGGTTATTAAATGCAAATTTTGGTGATATTTTGTCATAAGGATATGTTTTAGTTGAAAGGTTGTTAGGCCATTCATATTATATTATTTAATATTTTCGTGTGAAGTCCACACACGCCGCTGAGGAAGGCACTGAACTTGTTAATTGGACACAGGTTTTATCAGAGTAACATTCTCTGTTTGTTTTCCTGGACGTCGTGTTTTCCGATGACGCGGTTGCTTATTTTTGAGAGATCTTTTAACATACTGTAAATGTCACTGCATTATAATATGTATACATGTTATGTCACAAATATTGATATATTGTAATAAACGGTCTCTCGTAGCTATTGTGCAGCGCTACCAGGCGAAATATATGTTAGTGTTTATACGTTATTTGTAGCAAAGGGGAGACATGTAGTTTTCTATCATTACAATTCATGGAACAACATAATTCATTTCTTACCTTGACTTTTCCTTCAACATAACTTGTTTTTTTAATTGCATTTTAATTAAATAGTATGTTACTATTATAAGTGCACAATTATTTTCCTAACACAACTTAAGTTGTTCTGTCATTCTATCACCATCAGAAATGGTAAATCAGACAAATAAAAAATTACAACTTTTTAATGCATGTACTTTTTAACCCTTTTACCAATCATTAAATTTGAATTACATTAAAAAAAAAAGGGGGGCGACAGACGTAGTTTTGTTAACATGCTATATGAACAATTATGTTTTATTTGTTTCAGACCGCAAGTTATTGAGGATAAGTTAAGGGAAGTAACTCCAGGACCACGATATCTATCTAGACTTATAAAAGCTGTAGACTTTAAGCAGTTAAGGATTGATTCCTGTACTGAATCGTGATGAAATATCAAAGTGTGGTTAGCGCTTGTGACTTTATCCTTACAGTTGAAACTATGCATGTTATAAACCATATACAAAATGACAGACTCTGGATTAAAACTGTTTTCTTTACCATTCTTACACTTGGTCGTTCAAATGTGAAAACCATGGAATGTTAACTGGGGTGAATATTCAAGGATGAAATACTTGTGGAATTTGAATGGAATGGTAATTCATGTATGAAATACAAAATGATAAGAGGAGTACAAGACATAATGGATTTTATCTGGGAATTTTGTTCAGACATAAAATACCAGGGAATTATTCTAATGTACATACAATACTATAGATTAAAACTGAAAATAAACATTCAGCTATGATATGCCATAACATGAAATATGAGTTTTAATAAGAATAGGTTTTATATAATTTATTTGTATAAATATGATAATGTCTCGTGTGCAATTTCAGTGGCAGATATTGTATGGAAAACTTTAGTGTGCTAAAAAATAACAAATACAAGATCCTGAAACTACTATAACTGAATTAGAATTATACAAAGGTCTTATAGACTAGGTTGAATTTTGTTAACAAAATAATTTATCTGAAGTTGAACATACTTTTATCAAAATTGTTGATTTTGGATGAACTTGTGTATTGAATATAAAATGTATTTATATAAGTGAAAATGAATTATATATGTTTTGAATTAAACTATAGACTGTAATGAGTTACTGTCAGTGTGTTCTTTGTTTCACAATTATTTATTGATGTATTCTGTGTAGAAAGTTGGGCAAGTACTGTAAATTTTCTATATTTTACAATTGTTAAGATTTTCAAAGTGTGACAAGTGACAAAGATCTAAAGTAACAACTCAAAATTTGTTTCTCAATTCTTGCCTAAGCCTTTATTATGGAGACTTGTCTGCCAGTAATGTCCTTCGCACACTGACTAGACTATACTGTTGGCAGCTTTTTTTTTGCTAAAATCTTTTTAAGTTTTGTACCTGATTAATTAATGGATATTTTACTTGAAAATTTTCAATTATATTATTTAATCAATAAATGTATGTAACCAAGTGTTGTCTTATTTTATTTTAAACCTTAATAGCATTATGATAGAAAGTCAGATAACTGGTTGAAATAGTAAGAAGGGTATCTGTAATAAGATCCAGTAGTTTACTACAATGGAGTGATGTTGACAGTATCATCAAATAGGTATTTGTCCATTATAATAACCATTTTCAGCAAGCATACCTTAACATCCTCTTTCAATGCAACATATTTGTGCACTGTTACTGTATTTAAAAATGTATATTACTAAGTGGCATGAGACCAAAATATTAGAAGTTATGTATATATTTTTACTCCCACAGATATAAGTTGTAAGGGGGGAATTCTTTATCTGGCTTGTTGAGCTGTCAGCATGTGAATTATCCTGGACATACCAGGTTTCAACTTGAAATACTTCATATAAATAGGTTTCAGTGAGTAGTGTTATGCTCAAGAACCATAACTTTCTTTGCACAATTTTGATCAACAACACTAATTTGAAAAAAAAAATAGTAGGATTCACTGCTGATAATGGCTGGATAAAAAATGAGCTAAGTGTTACACATATTTCTTCTTTATTATCTTTACTATTGCTTGAGAATAAACAAAAACTTAAATACAAGGAAAATTTATCACCATCCAGTGATGAGTTCTGACACAGTAACTGTAGGAAATCTATATAAAAGCGTAACAAAAGCATCAGCTATACCGCACCACTTGTTTTCTAACTCTTCTACTCTGGAAAAAAAAATACAAATCACATGCAAGGTGTATTAATATAGAAGCCTGATTATTTGAAATTATGATCCTAATATCTTTTGTCTTGTTAAGGCAGTGTCAATTGTGCTTTCATTTTAGCAAGATTTTTACCTTCCAAGAACATAAAAAATCTTTCAGAACATAAAATCAACATAGTGAGAACAAATAATTTTCATGAAAATTCTATTTTGTAAATAAAAAAAGCATGATTATTGATGAAAAGATGAATCAATTTTTATCAAATTTGAAATATATTCATATTAATTAGAAATTGAAATACAAAAGAGTGAATTTGGCTTGTCATATTTACTTTTCTTGTACCAGCCCTTGGTTTATTTTTATATTTGTTCTTGCGTCTTTGTTTTTGTTTTTCACGTTGTTGCCTCTGGATACTTATACGTTCCTCCTCTGTCATCAATTTTGTTCTACGTCGTGCTCTATTAAACACCCTGGGTGGGGACTTGTAAATTTCATCCTATATAAGAAATTTGTATTCCATTTCATGTCATTTAAAAAAGAAATACTGTTTACTTCACTTTCCTTAAGTTAATTACATCAAATTATGATGTAATTAAGGAGACAGATAATAAATATTGTAGGATGTAGAACTAGCATTTTTTCTGTAGTTACTGTTAATTAATATGTAATTTACAAGAACAATTGTTGATAGCTCCATTTACTTCTATTAGACTTTACTGCTGTAAAACTGGAAAGTGAAACCATAAACATGAATGTGTGACTTGAGCTTTCTGTGAAAAACATTTTCAGCTTTATTACAGTTGCTGTTTACCTAACGGAATGCAATGATGATGTAATAATATATAGAACCAAATTTAAATAAATTTTGTCATTGATTACCATGCTCAGTTTCTTTTCAGTCATTGTTCTTGTATCTGAACTGTTATGATGACTTGCTTCGTTTGAAAGATCTGCTGAATAATCTGCAAGGTTACTGTCCATGACATTTGAGTCACTGCATTGTTTAAGATGATGATCTAATCTAGCTCCAGTACATTTACTATCATCATCTGAAGGTGATAATTGTGTACAATAAGTTAATATGTAAATTAGTTACAATAGACATGCTGGTACACCTATGTATGACATGGTATAGAACTGTTAACTAACTGGGTAGAAAATGTGTAAACAGAATGGAAACTTAGTCAGTACCATTGAAACGGTATTCTATAGGTCCCAGTTTCAAGTCCAGACTGAATATTCTTCTCACCCTGAGACATGCATTTAGACAGGAGCGCATTTATGTGCCCTGAAAAAGGCAAGCTCAAGCCTGCTAGACCATGCCTGCAGTTAGTTATTTAATTGTATTACATTGAAGAATCTTTCACATAAAGCCTTAAAGATAATGTACATACTATCCACATTTATCAATAATGCCTTAATTTGTTTCTATTGTAAAAACTGAAATGGCTGTGACTAATTAAAGATCAAACATCAGAAATGAATCTGAAAAAAAAAGAAGACTTTTAAAAGTAAATGAACCAGGTTATGCCCCACTTTGCGATGGCATGTAGGGACCAACTACACTGTTATGTTCCAAACTAGATTTCCTTTTTAGCTCGACTTTTCTATGAAAAGGGGAGCTATCCTACTCGCCCCGGCGTCGGCGTCGGCGTTAGCGTTGGCGTCACACCTTGGTTAAGTTTTTCGTACCACCCCACTTTATTTCAGAAGTATTACAAGTATGGCTTTGAAACTTACCATACTTGTTCACCATCATAACCTCCATCTACAGACAAGAGTACATAACTCTGTCAAGGTTTTTGACAGAATTATGGCCCTTTTTTGACTTAGAAAGTGTATTGAGCTTGGTTAAGTTTTTTTGTACCACCTCACTTTATTTCAAAAACCATTGGAGGTATTGCTTTGAAACTGACCATACTTGTTTACCATCACGACCTTCATCAACAGACAAGAGGACATAACTCTGTCAAGGTTTTTGACAGAATTATGCCCCTTTTTTGACTTAGAAAATACATTGAATATGGGTAAAATCCACTTATTGCCTTAACCCTTTGAGATATTGCTTTGAAACTTTTAATGCTATTTCACATCATTACCCCCATCTGTACGCAAGAGAAGGTAACTCTGTCAAGGATTTGTTTTAAAAATTAAGGCCTTTTATCGACTTAGAAAGTGTATTGAGCTTGGTTAAGTTTTTTGTACCACCTCACTTTATTTCAAAACCATTGGAGGTATTGCTTTGAAACTGACCATACTTGTTTACCATCACGACCTTCATCAACAGACAAGAGGACATAACTCTGTCAAGGTTTTTGACAGAATTATGCCCCTTTTTTGACTTAGAAAATACATTGAATATGGGTAAAAATCCACTTATTGCCTTAACCCTTTGAGATATTGCTTTGAAACTTTTAATGCTATTTCACATCATTACCCCCATCTGTACGCAAGAGAAGGTAACTCTGTCAAGGATTTGTTTTAAAAATTAAGGCCTTTTATCGACTTAGAATCTTGGTTAAGTTTTTAGTACCAGTCCACTTTTTGACTGAACTGTTTGAGATATTAATTTGAAAGTTGGAATACTTGTTTACAATCATGATTCCCAAACATGTCCAGGAGAAGGTAATTCTGTCAAAGATTTTATTTGAATTATGGCCCTTAACTGTCAATGTTTTGTATTATAGGCAAGCACTAAAAAACTTAAAAAATCTAAAAAAATTCATTCCTATCCACTTGTTCACTTTACCATAAATTATGTCATAATAAAATAATTCTTCACTAAATATCTTAATGCTCATGGCCATTGTTCACTTTAAAAATACAGAGATTCTTGTATTGCCTTTTACTGCAAAAACTTTTTTTATTGGCAAGCAATAAAAAAGTCGAGCGCGCTGTCTTACGGACAGCTCTTGTTCTCAATGCTAATGTAAAATGGATCAAACTGTACAGTTCAACTAGCTTGGCCCTCCATTTGATCAATATCTTAGCATCACATCTATAAAGCCTGTACAATAATCCTGAAAAGATGAAAACTTTCAAATTGAGCAAAAACTAACAAAATGAATTACCAATAAGCTGTAGTATATCAGGATAAGGAGACAATCTGTTTTTGTTCCCAGCTTCTTCTTGTATGTTATCCAAGGTCTTTATCAGCATAGGTGTTGTTAGCATTGCTACTTCAAATGCTGACCTGTCAAATAAATAAAATGTGTCTGCTCATGGTTTAAATTTGACTTAAAAAATCACACTCTTTAACTTTAGGTATATCAATTATTTCATTTAGATAATAAAAAATCTGCCAATATAAAAAATTACACTGTAATTCTTTGAGTGACAAACATTTGAATTCATTATTCTTAACCATTAATCATTCTATATCTAAAGAAATGCTTTTTTTGTTTTGTTTTTCTTCTTCTTCAATATTCAAAGTTATAGAATAAAATTAAGGAGTAGTATATTAAAGCAAGGAGTTTTGAATTTCAAGTTAAAAAATCTGATCATAATAAAATTAAAATAATTAACTATGTACATTAATGGTGTTCCAAGAGAACTTGCAAATGCTGGTGTTTTTGGTGTTGATGGCTGGTTGAAACTTGGGTAAGTTAACTTCTGCTGGGTACATCTTTGTGATTTAACTAATCTGGTAGGAGTGTGAAATATTGCTGGCTTTCTAAAAATTGTTGGAGTGAGCATTTCTCCAAAATTCTGAGATATAACAGGACTCAAAATATTGGTGAAGTCATTTATGGAACCTATAATATCTGCCGCACACTCCTGAAAGGACATTCCATTTCTGATAATAGTAATTCAAATAATAAATCACCTTCCACAAAGAGCTATATGAAGAATATACATGTATAAGATAAGCATTCTGAAACACCTCAAGGATACAGGAATTGTGTTAAGTAATTTTTTTGGTTTAAGCATAATATATTTGATAACACTCACTGGAACTTGAAATTCTATCAAATAAGCAGTATTAAAAATAATATAAAAAACAAAACATATATAGTTATATACCCTATATAATGTTTATTTTATAATATATTAGGGTATTTTTGGCTCAACTTTTTCAAAGAAAGCTTCAGTCAGGAAATGTTGTTCCCTTTCGGAAACATTTGCTATAATTCTAAATGGATTGCCTCCATTCTTGGTAACAACAACCCTTTGTACAACACAATCAAGTGGACTGTACAGAACTTGACCTTGACTCATAACTGAGCACAACTACCTTTAACTTAATTTGACCTTGATCTATAAATAACATTGACCTTGAAGATCAAATTATTGTAATTTCACAGTTTTTTTCTTTCTTTAATTGGCTATAACTTTGTAATTACTGAATGTTTTGTCTTCATACTTGTGAATAACAATCATTGGGACAAAATTTTAGAGAAAATTTAATTGAACTTGACCTTAATTTGACCCTGTACTTTTAAAATCAATTTAGCTGTAACTTTGTAATTTATTTATGGACTACTTTTTATTTATGGACTTGATTTAAAGGAACCTTATAACAAAACCTGTGTGTTGAGTAATTCAAATATGACCTTGACATTCTGATATGACCTTGACTTTTATCGTGGACTAACCAGTTCTCAAACCTCTAAGCATTCAAGAGGTCTTATAATGTGAATAAAAATATATCTTTATAAAAATTCTTTACATATGTACACTTTAATCTTTATGTAACATTTCTGTAAAATTTGACTGAAATTCAACTATTAAAAAGGCTCTATTTCCATCTTGGAAAAGCACAACCCTCTGTTTTAAAACTAACATGGCCTCTTAAAATAAAGAACCTAATCTCAAACCCCTTCAAGTATCTCTAAAATTCTACTGTTTAGTTTAGCCAACGAAGTGATTGTTATATGACTATCACATGACAATGAAGTACCCTACACGATGCAGTTACCTGCTTTAAGATATTTTGTCTATAATATTCATTTTCATAAATAGTTAATGGTGTATTTATTGGACTTACAAAGGTAATAGCAATTTGTATAAAATTACGCTAAGTAATAAAATATGTTATGTAAATATTTGTTCCTATGCACTGTTTTCATTTGACATCAGCAGACATGTCTGTCAGAAACAAAGCTTTTATGCACACAAGTTCAGGACATCATAGTCATTTCTAGTAAAAAAATAACAGCAGATATATGAAAGGTTTGAGAATAGGTTGGGTGTGAGATTAGGTACTTATACGATAAGTGGCCTATTACCGTCAAGGTCAAATTACTAAAATGTACTTAAATTAAGTGTCAGAACTTTGTTATTTATTCTTGGATTTGATTCATAATTGGATAAAAGAACACACTTAGTAATATTCTCAACTCACAGACTCTTTTTTGTTTTCACTGTAGATCTAGATTTAAATTTGCATTGGTTAGAATGTAGATCTACATTTCAAAATGCTATGCCAATAAGAGCCATAGGCACTTGGTTTCCTGATGTTACTAGTGTTTTTTTTTTTGTTTTTAAAGTGACATCAAATCTTTACATTCAATCAAATTTGAGTCAAAAGGGGTTTTATCCTGAAACCAAGTGCCTATGAATAAAAGGTGCCAAATATTTTTCCCAATTAAGCAATTGTCTACGCAAAATTTCCCAAAGTGGATAAGGTAGTACAGTATGGTCCTTTTCCCAAATTGGTTAGAAAAAGACCTGATGAGTGATGTCATTCATTGATATGGCATGGAACGAACCTACAGTACAGTAAAATTAACACTTTTTTGAAATTTCAAAAATACCTCGAGTGCTTTAGACATTAAGACTGAATCAGTTTGAAAAAAGTCAATTTCGTTCAATATTCTGTCATCAGACATATCTTTTATTTCAACACCGCAATCTTGTAAAAAAGCGTCTGCACTTTCAACAAATTCCGCATGAACCGAGAACTGGAACACGTGTATGATATATCCAATCAGAAGGCCTGTAAAAAAATAGTCTAGCCAATGAACGAGGAGATAACAAATTGTATCGAACACCTGTTTTCTACTTTCGTTTTGAAAATAAGGAAGTGAAATAAAAATGTGCAATGCATGTGTGAAAGAGGAGTTTCCAGATAGGGTTTGTAGAATATAATACTCAGAAATAAATGTAAATAACATGGAACCACATTTGCGAAGTTTATATTTCTTTCGGATTACATTTATCTCTTGAATTTGGCCCCAGGAACTTGAAAAAGTTGCTCTCGTACATAGTCAAATTATATTGACGTGCCAAACCTTGATTCTGAGATATTTTCGTTCTGGGGCAGAATCTTAGACTTACAATAAATTTAACAAAGCCATTAGTCATTATTCATGACTGCTCACACTTCAGAAGACATATTATTAGTTTTTGTTGTTTTTTTTTCCTTTTTCTGTAATTGGATGTAATATTCTTTCATTTTTTTTTTCAGTTTTGTAAAAGTTATAGATATAGATCTATACTGTATCCAAATATCAAAATTGGTTTAAGCAAATTAAGGTCTTCTTATAATGACCAAGGATTTTATATGATCATTATATATTGTATGTACTTCACTACTTGTGAACTTGTTATAAAGTCTCAGAACATGTTAACATGTTAAATTATCTATATATTCAGAAAATGCTATATTGAATATTCATGTAAACTTAAATTAGACTTAGTTTGTAACAATTTCAGAAAATTGTTTGTTTACGGAAAAATTAATGTTTTCTGATTTTATGAACATAAAAAAATCCATTACTATATTTCTATATGTTAAATCTGAAAATAGAGCAAATTAATTTCTGAAAAATGTCAAATGGCTTGTTTATAAGAAATTAGAAAATATTATACTGTATGTCTTTGTGAACTTGTTTGAATTTATATGCTATTGTATGTCTTTGTAAATCTCAAATATATTTTATAATGTTTGTATGTGAAATCAGAAAATAAAGTTACAAATTATAAAAAAGAATCTTACTCTTAGGCGAGATATTGCCCAGACACAAAATAGTACAATATCTCGTCGCGCAGTACAATTAGTTGGACTACTCCGTACTTCAGTGTTGTTATCCTATTCTGTAAGTTTTCAATCACAACGACTTTTCAATCATCCTCAGAAATTCTTTATTTTTGACCTTATTTATCATGCAACCAAACTGAAGGCACATCTTGCGTTTACCTTGATTACATTTATCAGCAACAATGTCAATTATGGCGATAAAAAAACAAAAATCCAGTATTTTAGTTCAAAATATGTAAAATATATGTTTTCCACTATAGTTTACCGGAATACCCAGTTTCAAAATTTCTTCAAAATACATGACTGGTTTTATTTTGACATTGTATGACATTTTTATGTGGAACAGTATATATTTTGTTAACTGATTGAAAAGTGACAGTTGAATTTTGAAGAACAGGAAAATGGGTCAGTAATAGTTTGACTATGATGCATAATAATTCAGGTAAAATTTTAAAAAGTTGTTGCATTTATTAGCTAAAATGATGATATTTGCAGAATTGTGAAAGAATTTTTTTTTATAATTTCACTGTCAGTTATTGTAGAAAAATTTGTTATCTGATTGGAAAGTGGCAGTACAGAGATATGTTTTTCTTTTATTCAGGAATATGTCAGTTATTGCAGAAAAATTTGTTACCTGATTGGAAAGTGGCAGTATGGAGATATGTTTTTCTGGTCCTTCGAGATCATTGAGTCCAGCACTTTAAGTGTTGAGAATTAAGTACCACTCGAGCCAGTGCTAGGGGGCATGAGGGATGTTGCTCTTAGGGTTGCCTAACTGTGCTTCAGTTTCAGAAATTGTGTTGTTGTTTTTTGTTTTTGTTTTTTACATGGTGAAAAATTTCTGCCTCTGAATCAAATTGATTCTTGCCCAAAACAAATAGTATCCCAGAATCTTTTCCGAATTTGTATATTTTGGTCATAACAATTAGCAAGGAAGATGCTCCTCTTGAATTTCTTAAATATTTTCTTTTATTCAGGAATCTATTTGTTTGGATAATGGATCATACATGTTGAACTTTGCTGGTTGTGCAAACTGTGGAGAGAAGAGCAGTATAACCACAATAAACAGACAAACATCAGAAGATGATGCTGATGAAGAAATTATTACATACCAGCGTAATTGTTTTTCTTACTTTTTTAAATCTTCATCACATTTAAAACCTTTATGAACAGAATATGTGTTATGTTTTGATTGTAGTAGGTAAATCAAACATACATGTATATATGTCATGGTTTAGAACTGTTTACTGTTTAGGGGAGATGTGTAAGCAGAAGGACAGCTCAGTCGGTAGAGCCACAGAATGGTATCCTGAAGGTCCCTAGGTTCGAGTCCAGACAGGCTGCACATATATTTTTCAATGATTGTTAAGTTCATTTAATTACTACATTGTGTATTAATATGCATGTGTTTTACCCTTGTGGTTGAGGGGTTGTCTGTAAGGGTTGAGACATCAAAATTGAAGCCAATCCCTCTGATAAATCTCTAATTGACTCTTAGATCCAGCAGATGATGTGGTTTTGACCCCTGTTGTTGCTTGTTACACCTGAGGTTAGCCAAAATCATCTATCCTGTTTCAGTGAAATATGACCTAAATTGCATTGCTGCCAAACAAAAATTATGCATATATTTAATTTTATTATTGCGTTAACTTAGCATTTGCTTGAAACTTAACCAGTACATTGTACATGTAAATCCTATTTCAGTTAATTTAAAAGTCGAGTTTAAAATAAATATGGTTTAACAAACTTGTATAATTTATTTACAGATATTTGTCAAAGTTGTAGTCATGTTGTAGCAAATCACGAACATGTGTTTAGGATTGAGGAGGATTATCAGGTACAATTATTTGAAATTTTACGAACATTTACGTAAAAATATTTCTTTTCTTAATTCAACATTAAAAACAAAACAAGATTGTTTATTATGAATTGCATTTACATATGAAAGCATTATCCGTGTATTTCATTTAGGAAATCTGGGAAGATGTTCCAGAGGAAATATACACCAATTTTAAGTGCATTTTTGTAGAATAATATAAGGGTTTTTAATATATGCAATAATATATTTTCAAAGGCAAAGTGCCTGATTGATTATATACACAGCATTTGAATGATAAACCACGCATATTTGTGCAACAGAGCCTGAAAAAATGCTAATTCATAATAAAAAGAATGTTAAATTAATTACCTACTTACTCAATTAGTTATATCTTAAAACCAACTTATTTAAATGCATACTTTTTTAGCTCGACTTTCTTTTTTGAAAAAAAAAAGTAGAGGTATTGCTATAGTCGCGGCGGCGTTGCCGTTCCCGTCCGCAAACTTGTACCTGGATCATAACTTTTTTATTTCTTGGTGTATTGTCTTCATACTTGGCCACAACAACCCTTGGGACAAGACCTTTCAGTAGACCACACTAACCTTGACCTTCATCCATAAATGACTTTGACCTTCAAGGTTAAAAGTCCAAATTTTGCTTGTTCATGCTGTTATTGGCTGTAATTTTGTTATTTTTGAATGGATTGTCTTCAAACTTGAACATAATAATCTTCAAGGATATCCCTTAAAAATAACCCGACAGACCTTGACCGTCACTCATAAAATAATGACCTTGACTTTGAAGGTCAAGTTATTGAAATTTTAATTTTTTGGCTATAATTGGCTGTAACTTTGTTATTTTTGAATGGATTGTCTTCAAACTTGAACATAATAATCTTCAAGGATAACCCTTTAAAACAACCCGACAGTCCTTGACCTTCTCTCATAAATGACCTTGACTTTGAAGGTCAAATTATTGAAATTTTCATGTTTTTGGCTATTATTGGCTGTAACTTTGTTATTTTTGAATGGATTGTCTTCAAACTTGAACATAATAATCTTCAAGGATAACCCTTAAAAATAACCCGACAGACCTTGACCTTCACTCATTAATGATCTTGACTTTGTTTTGGCTGTACCTGGCTGTAACTTTGCTATTATTGAAGGGATCAACTTCATATTATAACAGAACATCAGACTTCCCGAAAGTTGAAAAAAACTGTCAGACATTTGGTCTGACAAACCATGAAAATCTGTCGGACCGAAACGAAATCTGTCGGACCAAATAAAATTGATCAAAATCAAAGAATAACTTGTGTTTGTATTTCTAAGACACATTTTGTTTTTAATTTTTTCGCCGTAAAAATCGGCACATTCCTTACAGCGCATTTTCATCTCCTCCCTATCATACACCAACGATTCACTGTCTTGCTTCTATTTTTCATTAAATTTTGTCTCAGATCTATTCTTTTTATCCTTATACTGCTGTTCTGCCTGTTCCTCTGACGTAGATTTTTAATTTTTCCAAGGTTTCTCACCTTTAGCGACGCCATTTTGTATACATGCGTCTTGGATAAAAGCCGGACAGTCGGACCGATCCGGAGTAAAAACTCGTCGGACCTGATCAAAATTTATCGGACATGTCCGTCGGACCGACGTATTTCGGGAAGTCTGGAACATACTTAAGGACAAGACCTTGTTGTTTATCGTGAGTTCACCACGTGACTCCACCGCGTGACTCCACCACGTGGTCACTCCACCACGTGACTCCACCATGTGATACCACCATGTGACTTCACCACGTGACTCCACCAGATGTCTCCACCACGTGACTCCAACACGTGACTACCACGTGACTCCAACACGTGACTCCAACACGTGACTACCACGTGACTCCACCACGTGACTACCACGTGACTCCACCACATGACGTGACTCCACCACGTGACTCCACCACGTGACTCCACCACGTGGCTCCACCACGTGACTCCACCAAGTGACTCCACCACGTGACACCACCACATGACTCCACCACGTGACTTCACCACGTAACTTTACCACATGACTTCACCACGTGACTACCATGTGACTCCGACACGTGACTTCACCACATGACTCCACCTTGTGACTCCACCACGTGTATCTATTTATAGAATTTTCTATTTATAGAATTGTGTGTTTCTATTTATAGAATTTTCTATTTATAGAATTGCGTGTCTTTATTTATATATATATAAATTAGTATACTTATATATAAAAAATATATGGACAAAACTAATGTGACATGACAGAATGATTAATTTTATAAAAAGGAAACGTTAAGATTTTGTTCAAACATTTCTTTGTTTGCTTTTAGAGAAAGTAAAAAGTCGAGCGTTGCCCCCGCCCGGCGGTGGCTCTTGTAATCTGTTCGTACAGTTTAATAATTATATAGGCTGTATGATCCAGTATAAATGGCAGTAAGCTTATATAGTGTGAGCCATAAGGAAAAGGTTTAAATAGCAAATAAGTATCCATATATGGTTGTCGTATAGCTGGTTGCACAGGCTAATGAGTCATACACGCTATATTCAAAAAGAATGACAAGTCAACATGTATATACATATAATAAGGTTTTTATTTCATAATGTGCACTATGGAACATGACATGATTTATGAGTATTATAGTGCAAGATGCATACGGACTGACCTTATGTCAGGGTGATTAATATATGTAACTCTAAAACGTGTGTATTTATATACATTATAAAATGTCCTTAGGACAGGTTGATATTATATATACTATTCTCAAATGTCAGAGTGGGAGTTCAGCTTTGGTATTCCACTCGTTCACATGTGTGTTTGTATTTGTATATTAAAAGTATGTAACATCCGTGAGTTCTTCCTATGTTATACGACAACGGTTGATTTGGTGCCGTGAAATTTAATATTTATTGAAAAACTTATAAAGCTATAATATTTACCTTATGTTACTTTAACATATTATTTTTGTATTTTTTTTGCATAAAGATTAATCGAACATTTAACAATAATTATTATTTTACTTATTCAAACTTTTTAAAACTAATATCAAAAGTAAACTTACCTGTGCTACATTGTATCTATCCAAATTTTTCTATTAAAATGAATTCAAACAAAAAGGTTACGCACGATATACAATTGACCAATCAGAGATTATATGACTTAAGGTGATTTTTTCTTTTAAAAATAAACTAATAAAAAGTCATTAGATAACATCTCTGACCGGACATCTCTGACCGGATATTACCTTAAGGGTAAAACAGATGTCAAGTTGATTTTAGATTTTAGATTTTTATAATTTGTTAGAACGAGTTTGAAATGTTTGATATTAAATAATAACTTGTTCAATACTTTTTTTTTAAATATTTTTTTTTATAAGTAATGGAGGAATTGTCGTATAGCTGGTTGCACAGGCTAATGAGTCATACACGCTATATTCAAAAAGAATGACAAGTCAACATGTATATACATATAATAAGGTTTTTATTTCATAATGTGCACTATGGAACATGACATGATTTATGAGTATTATAGTGCAAGATGCATACGGACTGACCTTATGTCAGGATGATAAATATACGTAACTCTAAAACGTGTGTATTTATATACATTATAAAATGTCCTTAGGACAGGTTGATATTATATATACTATTCTCAAATGTCAGAGTGGGAGTTCAGTTTTGGTATTCCACTCGTTCACTTGTGTGTTTGTATTTGTATATTAAAAGTATGTAACATCCGTGAGTTCTTCCTACGTTATACGACAACGGTTGATTTGGCGCCTAAGACCAGCGATGTCGAAGCGACGATTTTGCACAGCGGGACACAACGAAGTACCTGAAATAGAAAATTAAAGGTGAGTGATCGTTTATATACCTGTAGTTTGCTAATTTTGAAGATGTCAGATCAAGATATAGCTACAATTTTTGAAAATTTGTCAGATAAATTGAACAATATTTCAACTATCATAGGTACACAGGGTTTATCAGAAATAGTACAAAATTTTGATGGAAATTCTAAATATTTTAATGACTGGATAAAATCTATAGAAAAATATGCTATTTTAAAAGGTTTGGATGATAATAAAATAAAATTAGTCGCATTTCAATCAAGTAAAGGGACTGTAAGCGATTTTATATGTAGATATTTGCGTGATAATCCTATTAATTCTTGGAAACAATTAAAAGAAGAAATAAGTACTAGATTTGGGGAAATTAAAGATTTACATCATGAATTTTATCTTTTGAGAAATTTAAAACAAGATTTGGGAGAAAGTGTTCAAATTTTTGGGGAAAAATTTATTAATTGTGCTGAAACCGCTTATGAAAATTATAAACTAGGAAATAATAGTTTAATTGAACTTCAGTTAGTAGAATTATTTACGGATAATTTAGCGCATAATTATTTAAAACTTAAACTTATGAGAGAAAAGCCAAAAACTTTACAAGAAGCAATTACTTGCGCAATGAATGAACAGAATTTCAGAGCTAGATTTTCTGCCAGAGTAAAATTTTCTAATTCTCAATATCACGCAAAATATAATAATTACAGAGCAAATAATTCTAATCATTATTATACAAGAAATTTTTGCGTGTACTGTAAGAGACCAGGTCACCATGTGCGTAGTTGTAGATTTAGGAAAAATGAAATATATTCTGTATTTCACCGACAAAAATTTTCACGATTTAGGAAAAATAATAGCAATAATAGTTTGAAATCAAAGATTAAGTGCTGGAAATGTAATAATTTTGGGCATATTATGCGAGAATGTCGTAAACAAAATTTTTACGACAGAAACAAAATAAATTTTCAGGAAAACTAGCAAGTTCCTGTCACAAAGGGGTCATTGACAGGAACGATAAAATACCAAAATTTAGTATAGCATTAGCTGGAAGCCCTAATTCGTGTTTGATTAAAATAGAAAACTATAAATACAGATCGTTAGTAGATTCAGGTGCTGAAGTTTGTCTTCTGCATCGCAGAATATATAGAAAATTGAAGAATCCCCCTCAACTTATAAAACAGAAAATAAATTTATGTTCAGTTGACGGAAATTATTTACATATAGATGGTTATATAAATCTTAATTTTCAAATAGGGAAAACAGAAACAACTCAAAAATTCTATGTTGTTTCTAAAATGAATAGAAATATTATTTTAGGCCGTGATTGGTTAACACAAAATGGTGTTAGATTATATTTTGATTTAGGCTGCTTAAGAGTTAATAATACATATGTACCCCTCGAAGAAGATATTCATATTGCATCAATTGTTAGATTAAAACAGGATGTTATTCTGAAACCTCAAACAGTTAATGTGTGCACTGCTAAGTTAAAACAAAATCCAGGCTTGGAAAATGATAGATTATATGAATTAAAAAGTATAGAAACTGGAATGATTGCTTCTGAACCAGGTCTTATGATAACAAATTCTGTTATGAAACTTTCGGCTGATAGAAGATTTCCTATTATGATTGTCAATAATACACATAAAACTATAAGATTGAAACGAGATTCAGTAGTTGCTAAAGTTTCAGAAGTTGAGAGCATTAACTCGGTCACAGAGGCTCTTCAAACAACTTCCCCTCTTAACAACGATTTCGAACATGATATTCATACACCTCCAGAGCATTTTAATATTGTTAGAGACTTATTAAGGAAAAATAGAAATATTTTCGCAAATAAAGATTCTGAATTATCACAGACAGATACTGTAACCATGAAAATACCAACAGGTAATCATCCTCCAATCAAATTACGCCCATATCGCACACCTTTAAACAATAGAAAATTTATGAGTGACGCAATCGATGAGATGTTAGATGCTAATATTATAAGAAGAAGTCATAGCCCTTATTCATTTCCTGTTGTTATTGTCGGAAAACGTGACGGCAGTAAACGGTTTTGTGTTGATTTTAGACAATTGAATAAAATTACAAAGCCAACATCATATCCTCTCCCATTAATTGATGATATTTTAACACTACTAGGGTCTTCGAAATATTTTACAACACTAGACATGCGCTCAGGGTTTTGGCAAATACCCGTGCATGAATCAGACAAGGAAAAAACGGCTTTTACGACATTCCGAGGCTTGTTTGAATTCAACCGAACCCCTTTTGGCCTAGTTTCTGCCCCTGGAGTTTTCCAAGAACTCATGTCACATGTCTTACAAGGTTTAGAGGCATTTGCTGTCAGTTATCTTGACGACATTCTAATATTTTCGAAGTCATTAAATGAACATTTATCACATATACAGACAGTATTTTCAAAGCTTAAAGAGCATAAATTAAAACTTAAACTGAAAAAGTGCAGTTTTATTCAGCAACAAACAAAGTACCTTGGTTTTATAATTGATCATGAAGGTATAAAACCAGACCCAAAAAAAAGTAAAAGCTATTAGGTCACTTCCGGTACCAAAATGTGTTAAAGATGTCAGATCTTTACTTGGTGCTGCTGGTTTTTATAGAAGATTTTGCCCTAAATATTCTAAAATTGTTGAACCTCTAATCAATCTTACAAGAAAACGTGTTTTGTTTAAATGGACAAAAGAATGTCAAGAAAGTTTTGAACAATTAAAGAAAATGTTAACACGTATTCCACTTTTAGCATTCCCAGACCCAAATAAGCCTTATATTCTATACACGGACTCCTCAGATTTAGTGGTCGGAGCATGTTTAAGTCAGAAATGTGACAAATCTGGTATTGAAAAACCTATATACTTCTTATCTCATAAATTAAGTGAATCTCAAAGAAAGTACAGTACCATAGAAAAAGAAGCATTCAGTATTCATTATGCGTTACAAAAATTAGATGTTTATTTACATAATGCAGAGTTTACTATATTTACAGACCATAAACCTTTAAAATATCTTTTAGAAGCACCTATGCAAAACAAAAGAATTCAGCTTTGGGCTTTAAATATTTCTGCCTATAACTGTAAAATTGAATATTTGCCAGGAAAATTAAATTTAATTGCCGATTTCTTTTCTAGACCTCCAACTGATGATAAAAATGCTAACAAGTCCGATATTGAACTTTATGAGCCTGATATAAATGACAATGCCTTCGAAATAACAGTCTCAAATTCAAGTAATAATTCAAATAATGATAATGTACATGCTGTGAAAACTGATGAAAGCTATGAAGTAAATGCTTTTGATTCTACGCACTTTAATGCCAAAGAAATAGCAAACAAAGAATACCAATTTCAAGAGCCAATTGTAGAAGATATTAAACAATTCGAAAAATTAAATATGGCCTCAGAGCAAGATAAAGATCAAACTATTCTTGAACTGAAAATGTTACTACGTCACGGACAGCCTACTAAATCAGTGCAGAGCAAATATTTAGAAATTGACCAAGTTCTTTATTATCTGTCTAATGTAGATGATAATCCTAATCTTAGATTGTTTGTTCCGCAACACTTAAAACACCTTGTCATTACTCAATATCATTTAAATAATGGTCACCCAGGAACACAGAGGTTATTTACAACAATAAAACAAAAATATTTTTGGCCAAATATGTTCAAAGAATTGTATGAATATGTTTCTAAATGTGTTGATTGTCAGTCACGTAATCTTACAAAAATAAAAGCACCTATGGGCGAAACAAGAGTACCAATGTATTCATTCCAGACCATGAGTATCGACGTTATAGGGCCATATGAAAAAACAATGAGTGGTAACCGCTACATTATTTGTTTTATTGACCTTTACAGTGGTTATCCCGAGTGTTTCCCTACTGCTGACAAAAGTACTGATACAATTATACATTTACTTTTAGAAGAAATTTACCCTAGATACGCATGTCCATTACAAATTGTCACTGACAATGGATCAGAATTCACAAGTAATGCTTTCAAAGAAACACTTAAAGAGTTAAGAATTGATCACGTGCGTACAACTACCTATCATGCTGCCGGAAACGCGAAAAATGAACGTTCTCACCATGTCATAACATGATATCTTAGCTAAAAGAATCCAGGGAAATCTCAAACAATGGGATATTCATCTTAACATGACACTAGCCGCACTTAGATTCAATGTCTCTAGGACTTCAAAGCATAGTCCATTTTATTTGTTATATAACCGTGATCCAATTCTCCCGGTGACCTGTTGCTACAACCAAGGCAGCGCTATCATGGCGAAGAGTATCACAAAATTGCATTACAAGAACAACATAATACTTTTCTATCTGTTTATAAGAACCTTAAAAAAGCAAAACGAGAACAAGCTAGCTATGCAGATAAGACCGCAAAAGATATCAAATTTGAAATAGGCGATCCCGTATTTTATAAAAATTTTCGTAAGAGAAGCAAACTAGATGTGAATTGGAAGCCATTTTATAGAATTATGGAGAAAAGGTCACCATTAACTTATATAATAAAAAATCAATTTGACAATTCAACAGTTAAAGTCCATGCAGAACAAATTAGGCTTGCAAATATTAATGACTGGTCAATACCAAAAGCAGATGATACTGGCCGACCAAAAAGAAATGCCACATTTGTAGTTACACCTGAAAATAGCGATACTGATGATGCTTCAGAAATACCAGAATCAGTATTACCCCAAGTTGCTAAGAATGTAAGAAAAGAAAGGTCAAATTCTGATAGTGAAGATGATATTCCATTAGCTGAATTACAGAAACATCTTCGACAACAACAACAAATTTCAAATAATGAAAATGCTCAAAGTAATGCACATTCAGAAGAAATGCAATCGCAGACTTATTCAGAATTATCAGGCTCAAATTCCATACAAGTAAATAGCAATCCTCAGTCACAAGCAACATATAATGCTATTCAGTCAGATTCAATGGCTGATGATAATGATTCGGATAATAAAATGTTTATAAACTCTATTTCTAGTAAAAAGAAAAGTATAGTAAAACCTCGATATAAAGTATCTGGTAAGGTAAACACAAAGTTACAAAGTAAAGATAAAGGGTCGAAATCAAGTTTTAAAATGATTTTACAAGGATTAGCTGAATTGTTATAGAACGTTATATTCCGTGTTATATGCTATACTAATTTTCGGTAAATTGACCTCAGGCATTGTAAATAGTTATTACAGAAAAAAAATATATATGTTACAAGAAACGATAATAAAACAAAACAGAAAATTACATTATTTAACCATAAATCTTTATATTTTTGGTGGTTGTATTCAATTATATTCATTTTCAAGTTGTTTTATTAGAAATATATCTTAGATTTTTTTTTATTATTACTTAAAATGATCGTTATTCGCTATATGTTTATTAATAGATCGGTTAATTAAAATGCATTTCAAAGTAAATGACAGCACTTAATCATGAGTTTCAAATTGATTATTTACTTTATTTCATATTAGAATAACACGTGTATACATACATGTTTCAACTGTCATCGCACAATCATTAAATAAAGTTTAAATTGGGATAAGTCTTATTGTCGAAATAAAACTAAAGTTAATAGCTTAGTTAAAAACTAACAAAATATGTCTAGAAAAGTAAAAAAAATTTAAATATCAAGTATTACATAAATAAGATACTTACACTAGAGAACATCTTTCATTGGAATTCTTATCCTATGCATTTTATGACAGTTGTCTTGTTGTTCATATATCTGAAACAAAATTATGTTTATTGTATATAATATCTATTAACCGATCTGACAACGGACGAAAATGCAAAATATTGGTCTAACGATCACTTGTCGTCCAGCCAAGACAGAGAGGTGCGAGCGAATTCGCCGGTACAGTAAAACACCGCCTGACTAGAAATATTACAGTCAGCCTCTACGATGTCAAACTATGTACAACAAAAACCATGCAGATATAACCATAAACACCTTCTTCGATGTAAAACCATGCAGATATAACCATAAACACCATCTTCGATGTACAACCATGCAGATATAACCATAAACACCTTCTTCGATGTAAAACCATGCAGATATAACCATAAACACCTTCTTCGATGTAAAATTATATGAAATAAGCGTCTACGATGTTTAAAATATATAACTATGCTGACACAGCCGTCAAACAACAACAACAACAACAAAATTGTGGAATCAAATAAACTTTTGTTCCTGTCTTCAACCAGAGAAGCCGAAAACTTCCGTTTATCAATAGAATGTGTTTTTCTATGTGTTATATAAACTTAAAAACAAAAACCCAGAGAAATACTGATGACAACTTCTTATCAAAATAATTATTTGTGCGCGACAGAGATATCCGAAATAAATATCACATAAACATTTGCAAGAATCGTGCAACAGCAAACTGTTAATTTAATTATCTTTTACTCAAAAACATTGCTACATAAATGAAGAATTATAGATCTATCATCACTTTGTTGTATTGTTCAATACAAGACATTCTTTTTACAACGACGAAACAAGAATAGCGTTTACAGATGTGCCAATAAATATTCGAATATAACTTTATCAACTTGTGTATAAAGTCTACGTTTACACATATCAAATACATATATATAAATTTTAAAGAATCTTCAACAACATCAACCATTTATGAACAATTATGAGTGTCAATTTAAAATTATTCTTTAGAAAGCTACATACCAACGATTTGAAATTCCCGACACGTCACGACCACCAAGCCATACCGATGTCAGCAAGTACCTGTTACAAAAAATATACCTGTCACAGGAAGTGTTCAATGCGCATGCACAATACACGTTTTACAGGAAATGAAACACCTGGACATTTTATCAATTATCAATTGTTTATAATATTTTTTAAACTTTTTCGTATATAAATATCTTTTCTACTCTTATCATACATATAATTCTGTTAAATGATATACCTTAAAGTTTTAGATATACCTTAAAGTTTTTCTAATTAATATTCTTAAAATAATTTGTTCTTTGAAAATTGTTAACTTATTTGTTTGTTTTTTATGTTTTCTTGATCTCTAGAAATTAACTTTTTTTTCTTTTTTTTTATGATGAAATAAAGGAAATTTAATATTTATTGAAAAACTTATAAAGCTATAATATTTACCTTATGTCACTTTAATATTATTTGTAGAATAACAGTTATATTAACTGATTAAAATTTTCGAAAAGATTATCTTTACATTTAACAATAATTATTTTTTTTTTACTTATTAAAAACATTACAAAATTGTTGAAGTAAATTATAACTTACCCGACTGCAGTATCCGAAAACTTTTTAAAAAGTGACAAGAAAATATATTGAGCGAATATTTCCGAATATTGTTTCCTAAGGCGTTTTTCTTTTTCAAAATAAAGTAACAAAAGTCGTTAGATAACATCTCTGACCGGACATCTCTGACCGGATATTACCTTAAGGGTAAAACAGATGTCAAGTTGATTTTAGATTTTAGATTTTTATAATTTGTTAGAACGAGTTTGAAATGTTTGATATTAAATAATAACTTGTTCAATACTTTTTTTTTTAAATATTTTTTTTATAAGTAATGGAGGAATTGTCGTATAGCTGGTTGCACAGGCTAATGAGTCATACACGCTATATTCAAAAAGAATGACAAGTCAACATGTATATACATATAATAAGGTTTTTATTTCATAATGTGCACTATGGAACATGACATGATTTATGAGTATTATAGTGCAAGATGCATACGGACTGACCTTATGTCAGGGTGATTAATATATGTAACTCTAAAACGTGTGTATTTATATACATTATAAAATGTCCTTAGGACAGGTTGATATTATATATACTATTCTCAAATGTCAGAGTGGGGAGTTCAGCTTTGGTATTCCACTCGTTCACATGTGTGTTTGTATTTGTATATTAAAAGTATGTAACATCCGTGAGTTCTTCCTACGTTATACGACATGGTCATTTAAACTGACAGTGCAGTAACCGGTTAATTATGCCCCGAGGGGAGGCATATTCGAATTGCACCGTCTGTCTGTCTGTCTGTACGTCCCCTCTTAATTCGTGTCCAGACTGTAACTCATACATTGAGGGATTTTGAAATAGCTTGGCACAAATGTCTACCACATCAAGACGATGTGTCGCATCCAAGAACCACGTCCCTACCTCAAAGGTCAAGGTCACACTTACATTTTGAAGTTTCACATTATCACAAATAGAGTTAATAGGTACACACATTCGTGTCCGGACTGTAACTTTGTCATGCATCGAAGGATTTCAAAATAACTAGGCATAAATGTCTACCACATCAAGACAATGTGTCGCGTTCAAGAATTACGTCCCTACCTCAAAGGTCAAGGTCACACTACCATTTTGAAGTTCATTTTATCACAATTAGAGTTAATAGGTACACACAATCGTGTCCGGGCTGTAACTTTGTCATGCATCAAAGGATTTTACTATAACTTGGCATAAATGTCTACCACATCATTATCAAGACAATGTGTCGCGTCCAAGAATCATGTTCCTACTACAAAGGTCAAGGTCACACTACCATTTTGAAGTTCACTTTATCACAATTAGAGTTTATAGATACACACATTGATGTCTGGACTGTAACTTTGCAGCGATGAATTTTAAAATAACTACTGTATGCATAAATGTCTGCAACCACATTAAGATGATATGTCGCGTTCAAGACCCCTGTCCCTTCCTTCAAGGTCAAAGTCACACTTATAGTTTGAAGGCACTCATTCTCTCGAGAAGAGTTTTAAGATACACATTCATGTCTGGACTGTAACTTTGTCATGCATGGAAGGATTTTAGAATACCACATCAAGATGACATGTTGTGTGTAAGACCCATGTTCCAACTTCCAAGGTCAAGGTCACACTTGTGTTTGAAGGTACTTACTATGCTCATAAGAAGAGTTTGAAGGTACACATTAGTTTCCAAACTGTAACATTGTCATGCATTGAAGGATTTTAAAATAACTTTGCATAAATGTCAACCACATTAAGATGTTGTGTCACATCCAAGTCCCTTGTTGTTTGCTATAAATAGCACTTCATTTCATAAGAACAATATTAAGCAATAAGTTACTTTCATTCTCTTTTTTTTTTCATAATACCTGCATGCTTAAGAAACCTTTTCAGGGGCATTTGTCACTTTGGTGACAGCACTTGTTCCTTATATAATTCAATAGGAGTTAGTCCGTTACAGCACTAAGGTGACGATAACACTGCACATTACCCTATCTTGATTTATGTAAAATTTACTGCAGTCAAGTTTAGGATTTTGCCACCAGTCATAATCTGTACATTTCGTCACTTAATATCAAATGGAAATGAACTTAACAAACATGCATTTTAATAAAAAAAATACAATTAATCCAATGATTTGCAGGTATATGAGATGCTGTGTTTATTGTGTGGCCGTAGTGATGATCAGAGAAGCATTCTGCCGTGTGACCCACGAGGACCTAAACCAGAACACTCGGATTTTGATTGATAGCTTTGACAGAAATTGATACTACCATTACTGTTTATTAGCATTACAATGTGTAAGTTGAAGCAAAAGAAAAAACCGCTGAAGGAAACTAAAATGTACGTCAGAAAGACAGAATATTGCTGTATTTTATCTTATGAAATTAACTAATTCTGACTTGGCTTGAAATAAAGGTAAAGAAAGAAAAGGTTGGAAAGAGTTATACATTTCTGGCATGTCAGGAATTTTATTATGTATTAATACTATTGCACTTAGTGACTAAAGGCATCTAGCCTAAATGTTTGCATTAAATAAATACTAAATGTTAGTGTTTGCATGGCTTGTTTGTTCATTTTACCATGTTACATGTAGGAGGAATTTAATATATGTAACATAGATGATGAATATTTTGATGTTAAGAGCAGGATAACAATAAATGTATTACTCTGTATTATCGTCGCAACTCTATTACCAACCTACTCTCAGTATTTTGTCATATGCGGTCATATATACAGTGAAATTAAAAATATTTTACCTCATTCAATAAAAAATGTAATGATTAGTTGAATTTGTTCTGATTCACATAAAATATTCGTTATTAAAAACATCAATTAAATTCAGTACAGACATACAGAAAATGTTAAGTGACTGATAATACGGAGTCCCATGCTATGTTGATTGACGCATTTTTTTTATGGTGATTAAAAGGAGATCATAGAAATAAACTCAATGTGATATTAAAGTTAAGAAATTTATTTTGAAATAAGTATTTTGTGTGAGCAGCATCAATTAAAGTATGTTATAATGTTTATTTATAAATGAGCAGTTATCTTGATTATACTCCCATATGTTTTGGAATCATTTCCAATCAAACACCTGGCAGATTATCAATATTGTCATATATTGCATGTGATTGTAGTTTTCAAATAAACAAATGTAAACCAATTGCTGCTCTTTTCTTAAGACTATCAAGAAAATGGATAGAAAAAATGTATAGTTTACAGCCTTACCATGGAAGAAGAAACAGAATATTGTTTTTGTTTATACAAAATTGGTTTTAATCTATAAAGAAGGAAATTCTTTTAATGTTTTAGTCCAAACACACTATAAAAGAAAACAAGAGCTCACTTTCAGAACAGTTCAAAACTTCTTACACCTTGTGCATAAAATAATGTGAATTGCACTGACCTTGATTAATTAAGCCAATATGAATAATGAGAGGTTATATGATGTTAAGTAGACAGCACGCAGTAATAAAGGGGCATAACTCTGTAAAAAGGTAACCCAGAGTTATGGGACCTGTGCCCATCATGAATGATAATCACAGAAAACAAGTGTATGAAGTCTTCAGTAGTTTTTGAGATACCAGCTTTCATACAAAACTTACCCAAAGTGTGACAGTGACATTTGTGTGAGTCAATAGCTTTCTCCACTTTAAAGAAAGCTAACAAGAGCTGTTGGAAGGACAGTGTACTTGACTATTCTTAGTGCATGATATTTAAACTTCTTAGTGCTTGATATTTAAACCAGTGCCTGGATAATGTATAATTTTCCAAGTTCAAAAAGGGCCATAATTCTGTCAAAATCCTTGTTAAGAGTAATGGTCTTTGGCCAGTGGCCTCCTGTTATGCTCCCAAATAACTGTATGAAGTTTCAACCTATTCTTTTCAGTACTTTTTTGGGATACCAACTTGCATGCAAAAGCTTAACCAAAGTGTGAGGCTGATGCCTGGGTGATTACAATAGCTCTCCCTAGTCAAGCTAAAAATGGTAGAGTTTAAGTTGCATATTTTATGTCCTGTACTTCAATTTTATTACTCCAGAAATAAAGGCTTTAAGAGGAAACATGTTTTAAGTATCATATCTAGTGAATGAGGGCAATTCCGTATAAAATTATATTACTCTGCTGTACATACATAGTTTGAACAGGCTTTAAATTTAAGTAATGCTTGTATTTCTTTTAACCGATGGTATAAAACAAGTTGAACATTGTATAATTCAAAAGTTATGGGTCTTGCTGATAGTGACCTGTAAGTCGGAAATGGTTGTGGAGATACTATGTTACTTGCAAAACATTGTGTTTGATAAAAACAATATGGCCATGTTTGCACAGGGGAGCAATTCTGAGAAAATCTATATTAGTTATGGATTTTAAACATTGACCTACTATTATAACCCAGATTGTTCGGTTTTACAGCGCACCATCATAGTTTATGTCATATGACGTCAAAACAGAAAAGATGACTTTGGCTAACAGACTTAAAAACAACATCAGCTGTCAAAATCACCTCATATGCTGGAGCGAAGTGATACATAAACTCTAATTATTTTCACCGGTTTAGTTGCCTCTTGCGATCATGCAGGGATAACCAATGGCTGCAATTCTTAGGTCTCAACCCTTACAGGCAACCCTTTAGCCATTAAGACCGAAAACGTGTGAAGATTCAAATGAACAACTTCAGTGGTAGGAAAAAACACAAAATGTAAAATATAAATGTATTTATTTCAGTATAATGCATGTATCAAAATATGTATGAGTTGGACCTTTCAACATCTATTTTTCATACAGTTTAAATATTAGCGTTAACTTATCAGTTACTTTGTTAAATATCTTATTTCATCATAACATTAAAAATAATCTGAACTTGAAAAGGTGATACATATCTGTAATATTTTTTCATACAATAAATAAACATTAGTACATTTTCCTTGTGACACATACAAATTTCTCACTTATTATTACACAATTGTTATTAAATAACACATATTACAAATAAATAATAACTGGAACATAAAAATCAGTTTCAAACATAATTATCAGTTGAAGAAAAAAAATCATACATAATTATCAGTTGAAGAAAAAAATATAATACATGTACAATATCAGGACATTTTTTATAGGTAGGGGAATGGGGACCTTCCCTGACACTTGAGGGCGGGAAAATAACACGGTCTTTTTGCAAACTTAATGTAAATCTTATTTCAAAGGAAAACATCACAACTTAACATATTTTTTCCTGAGGGAAAGATGCCTGTAATCAGAAAGAAAATCAGATAAAGAAAGGAATAAAGCCCTGAATACATTATAAAACGTTGTTTTACAATATCTTATGTGTTCCTAATTAAAGAATGGACATAGAATTATACTTAATATTGGTATATATTGCATGATTTACAAAATAATCATTAATGTCCTAGTATTTGAGGCAGAGTCACGAGGCCACAATAACTAAATATTGACCAATGATTTTATTTTTCTGAAAGTTTAATAATATAAAAAGTCATAAAAAATACAAGTCCATAAGTTAATTTACACAAACTATAAATGTGATAAAGAAAAACCAAACTTTGTAATTCTTGCTGTACGATTACCAATATATATGTTTTGTAAGCTATAAAATGTTTTTAGTCAAATTTATACAAATTTACATAAACTGATAAATTTTAATACAATTTATATCAGATCATTAATTTATTCCAGTAACTGCATAATTTATTCTAATTTACAAAGCATGAGATATAACGAAAAGGTGAATTATAAATATATTGTGCTATTCAATGCCATAAAACTACAAAACTGCATATCATCATTATATTTTTTATTTGGTTGGGATTTTATACAAACAAACTTTGTAAAAGTAATAAAACTTTACTGTGGATGAAAAAACACCAGGTGCCCACCTCTGTGTATGATTCATTCATGAGTTGCACCAAAAAATCACCCTCATTAAGCTTGCTAAATAGTTTCCTCACATGAAAGATTTTGTCGTCTCTGGAGGCATATAAGCTTGCAGCTTGTGATAGGAAATCAATAACCGATAAGCATTACATCACATAAACCTTGAGTTTTAAATTTTGGTTTTGGCGCAATCTTGCAAATAATTCTAATAATTTTTTTCTTTCTACAAATTGCTTTATAGGCATAGCATGTAAGCTGATAAAAAGACAGTGTTTAGATATTCATTCTAAGGAAAAAAATCTTACATTATCTGTATGAAGTAGTTAATATCTAAACATGAGCCCGGTTTGAGCCGGGTGATGCTCCCCGAATAAGTTTTGGACACAGGAAAGTACACCTCTTGTAGTTTCAGAGTTATGTCCCTGGAAAAAGTCTCCAGAATTAGGCAAGGCAGAGTTATGATTCTTGTGCACTGCACATCTACCCATTGAGATGTATCTACCTACAAAGTTTCATGTTGATATCTCTTATAGTTTTACAGCTATGTCATGGACAAGATTTATCTAAAAGGGGAGATAATTAAAAAATGAGGCTTAACAGAATTATGGTTCTTTTGCACTGCACCTCTACTCAATGAGATCTATCTACCAACAACGTTTCATCTTGATATCTCTTATAGTTTTAGAGTTATGTTCGGGACAAAGTTCAAAGTGTTAAAATTAACAAAGGGCAATAACTCCAAAATTAGGACAAAAAGAGTTATTGTTCTTATGCACTGCACATCTACCCATTGAGATATATTCACCTACAAAGTTTCATGTTGATATCTCCTATAGTTTCAGATTTTTCTATAAGGGGAGATAATTCAAAAACCAGGCAAAATAGAGTTATGGTTCTTTGACACTGCACTCCCCCTCAACGCCCTCTACCACTGTATGAAGTTTCAACAAATTATCTCCAAGGGTTTTCAAGTTATGCTCCGGACAAGACAACAGATGGACAGACGGACGGAGGGACAGACGGTCAAGGCGCCGACTATATGCTCCCCCCGAAATTTTTCGGGGAGCATAATAAAAATATGTAAATCTAATACAATGATTCTAGTTAGTGTGATACTTGTTATCTTATTTTTGTAACCTTACATATTTAAAGACAAAAAAGGCACATTATCTCAAGACCATCTCACATTATAGGCAAATTTTTGCTTTATTATTGTTTCCACATTATTAAACTAAACACAATTTCATGTATAAACAGCATCTATATTTTACACCTGTAACCTTTGATCAACAAGGGTGACTGAAACCAAATATATTCAGAATCACTGGGACAGAACACATCACTTTCTTCCTTGCAAGTCCCTGAGCAATTGGTCAGATCTCTCCTTTTCTTCACTGAGTTTTGTGACTCCTTAGACATCACACTTGTCTGTGACAATATAGAGCTACTTGAACCAAATTTACGCAGCTTCTTACTTTCTTTCACATCATTTTCATTGAGACTGCTACATGATTTAGTTTTATTACTAGTTGAGCAATCTGCTATCGAGGTTGAGCTTACAGTTGTTACTTGATCTTTACTATGACTTGACTGAACAATCTCAGGATTATGGTTAAATACAGTGTCTCTGATGTCACTTGAGGTCACAATTTCAATGTCATGGTCCGAGTCAATACAAACATAGTCTGCAGTAACAGAACCTTCACTAGAATGTGAAGTCGTGTCTATGCTAGATATGCCTGATATTTCTTCACATTCACCAAGAAATGAGTCAAAAGGTTCAAAACCTGACAGCTCAACTATAGAGAAATTTGTTGATAAGTCATGGGAACCCCGTCCATATTTGCTCTGTAAAGAAAATTCAAACTGCCTGCCTCGTACAGGAAGTTTGTATGTAGGTTTGGGATAAAACCATGATAAATGGGATTTTCTTGGAGCAAATAGTAATAATGAAATATTAGTTGGCGAAATCTGCTTCACATCTCCAAGTGGATCCTGCATGATTAACTGTCTAAACATTGATTTAACACAAGCTTTACTTGATAAATTATCTGCATCTGGATTTAATGGAGGTAACTGGATCACAAAGATTTCTTTTGGCGACACTGCAGTGGCACCTATTGCTATGGCAACTTTGTCAATTTCTGGGCATATATCAAATGCTTGACCAACATTTTGTTTGGTTTCTTCTAATTTACTCACTAAATCAACAGCCTTTTTCATCTCCAAGCGATTGATCATAGGAACTCCCTTCACATTTGATTGTGATACCTGAAACAGGATAGAAATGACAACTAAAATACATGTAAAACATTGAGAAAGATTCTAGTTCTCCTTGCTAAAATTGGCTTTTAATAATATTACCAGCATTAACCTGCTGAATTTATGTACTGATTCACTATGGTAAGTAAAATTGCTTGTAAATATTTTTTTTTTTTTAAATTATGTTAACTTAGCTACTGAATGAAAAAGGTTTTAAATTTCATCATTTCTTTCCTCAGAATTATTTTGCTAACATAAACAATAGTTGAGTGAGACAGTTAAAAATATATAATCATGGTACTGAATACAAAGAGGTTTAAAAAATAACTCTAAAATATGGTGACAAATTATGAACAAATATCTAAACAGGTCTAGGATTTTGTTATTTTTTTTCATATTTATAAACTGTCTGTAAACAAAAAAAAATATAGACAAGTCATTAAATTTAGAATTTTTTTTTAACTGTAAACTTGAAATATGAAAAAGTGAAAATAATACAGATTATACAGTACTGGCAAGATGAAACACGCAAAGTTTAAGCCATTTGGTGACCCAAATATCACGGTGAACTTGCCTCAAAATATTTTATAAACAATTTTGAGTTTCGCTTAGGTTTGAATTATACAGAGATAAGTTATGGCATAAATAATTGCCAATTCTTGGCCAACACTGTTACTTTCTGTTTCAGATAACAATGTCCTGACTTTATCTCTTTATTTTGTAATAGTTTAAGTAGTTTATGAATTGTATTTGACTATTTCGTTGGTCAAAGAAAATCAAATGTGTTTTCAGAACATCAACATGTCAAGACTCAAGAGGCGTGAAAATTGCAACATTTCGAGTTGATGGTTTACAAACTTGACAAATGGGTCAATTATTATTATTTGCTAAATTACACTCATTGGTGTTAAATATTATTATTTCTAATTTTTCAAAGGATGTGTCATTAAAAACCTGATAGGCTTATATAAACGGCATTAAACCTGAAAGGTTGTTTCTTGAAACTTTTTATTTTTCATTTCATTTTTTTATGGCTAACAGCATTCATTTGCGAATTTAGCACAAGTCCACTAGCCAAGGGTATTTAAAGGCTGGTAAAATAAAAAAAATACAAACTTGCCTAACTGGACAGTGAAAATCTTGCTTTTCGAAAATGAAATAGATTTCTAAACAAATTCAAAAGAAAAAAAATACCTCTAGTAGGTAAGCAGAAGTACAAAATAATATATTTGTAGTATACTAGGTTCCTATGATATCACGGGTTCTATGATATAATGGTATTTACATTTTCTTTGACTGCTAATATTTTTCAAACTGGCACACTCAATTCATTTTCATCTGCCATAAAATCAATTTTGTAAATAATGAATGTATTCGTGAGAAGAAAAATATTTTAAAAAATCATCATATTTTACTAATATTTCCTTAAATGTTTTTACACAGTCAATATAAATATGTTATAATCACATAAATTGACATATATATCATCTGTTCATATAGTTTGAATTTTATAGCAAGTTAACTGTTGGAAGTTTTTCAAAACATAACTTGAAGATTTTGACCCATCTATTCTTCCCTACTTGCATTTTTGGGGACTATCGTGATACCATAGTAACCTCCTCTGAAATAACCAAAAATGGCAGACATTGGAAAGAGTTTAAAAAATGTCATTTTAATTGGATTTTTTTAAATAATTTTTTGACAAACAGTTTTGGAAACGGTTCACTGATTAAATAGAAGGAAAATCTTAATCATGCATGATATTTACATTTGAATATTTTCCAATAAAAGATTAGTACCGTGATATCATAGAACCCTGGGCTATCATTCATTATAGTCCTAATACTCCGACGCTTAGAGATATTTTTGCTTCTGGGCAAAGTGTCGGGTTTGACAGATATAAACTATAACAAGCCTGTAATGTCTCATATATTGGACTACATTCATTATTCTTAATTTATGGCCTAAAAAATTGATAGTGATAGGGCTAAAAGATTGTTAAATGCTAGTACAACTAATTGTACTGCGCGACCGGTATAGATGGATACCGAAAATAAGCTATTTTCGCGAAAATAAGATCGCGGCTACGAAAATAAGATTTATTTTTGAAATAGTGCATTTATCTGTTGAAATAATTATATCACTTATATATTTATGCATTCATTGAATGATTTTACAGCAAATAAATTTTCAGAACCAAACAAAAGTATTTAAAAAGTGAAGTTTGAGCCGAAAAAACTTTCATACGAAAATAGCTCGAAAATAAGATCAGGTCTACGAAAATAAGATTTATTTTTGATAAATTGTATTGAAAACGTATTTTTGTTGTTATCAAATGATTTGTATGAATATAATAAAGAATGAAATGTTTTGTAATGAAATATAAGACGTTTGTTCGGTACATATGGTAAATATCCCAAATAGTATAGTGGGAAGGCATGCGAAAATTCACTATTTTAAATTATTTTTTTGGTTCTGAAATTTATTATTTCATTCATACAAATCAACTATTAACAACAAAAATACGTTTTTAATACATTATATCAAAAATAAATCTTATTTTCGTAGACCCGATCTTATTTTCGCTTTACACGGCAATTTGAGCTATTTTCGTATTCATGATAGTATTTTTCGGCTCAAACTTCACTTTTTAAATTATTTTTTTTTGGTTCTGAAATTTTAATTTGCTGTAAAATCATTCAATGAATGCATAAATATATAACTAACATAATTATTTCAACAGACAAATGCACTATTTCATAAATAAATCTTATTTTCGTAGTCGCAATCTTATTTTCGCGAAAATAGCTTATTTTCGGTATCCATCTATACCCCTGCGCGACGAGATATTGTGCTATTTTTGTGTCTGAGCAATATCTTGTCTTTTAAAGCGAGATTCTGCCCCAGAACGAAAATATTTCAGAATCAAGCTTTGGTACGTCAATATTTTTTGACTAAACAAATGCCAACCAATAACCAAAATTGCTTATGGTTTCTACTCCAGAATTCTTTTCCTGCTACAAAATGGCCGAAAACCAGATAGGTGAGGTTTCTGGGTGTAAAATCAGTTTAGTTTTATTATGTAGAGAGAGTAGGCTTAAATCACAGTCCATACAGATGGTATCCTAGATCCGATAGTAAACAGAATATGCATAAGGCAACTTACCTTTGCAGAAACATCACGTTTTATTTGAGTAAATGATAAGGGAATCTGTTGCCGTTCAAATAAGATGTACTGGAGCAATTCGTTTATCAAATCTGCTCTTACACATGATTGTAAACCACCCTCAAAAAGAACAGGACAGGAAAAATTTGTATTTTCAAATTTATTTCGCTTTTGAAAAGCCATAATTCGGCGAGCTTGTTTATCATTTAGAGAATGATGTTCTTATTTAATCGAACTGTATAGCTGCTATATTCCGGTATCCGTACTTTATCTGTACGTGTTTGAGCCAACTGAGTAATAGAGAAGCACGTAAAAGTTATGAACATGTTCTGGTTTCAGAGATATTACTTTTGTTTTTTTTTTATTTCAAAGCCTGAACATACTTTGATAAAATGCAGATTTAACAAAGGTAGATACATGGAAATTTGACACAGTAAAGCTAGGTTCTTCTTCAAACTAAAGAGCTATTTTTTTTATTTTCTATATTGATACACTTGTATTTTAGGCCTCTGCTAGGGCCTAAATTGTCTTCACTACAGTACCATGTGTCCGGACAGATATTTAAAACATTATAATCTTATACAGATAATGGCTTTAGTTTAATTTTTAGAATATTTTTTATCCTAAAATACAATATTCCAGCAGCATTTGCTATTGTTTTTTTTATCATTCTATTGTTTATTCTGAATATGATATAGTTAGAGAAGGAGGTCAGGTATTGCACCCTTTACGTCAGAATTTGTAACATCAACTTTTTTGTAATAGACATAAACCTATCAACATTTGAGAAAGATAAAATCAATATAATAAATTCATTTTAGATGAAACGTCCATTTATTATTGATATTAGAGCAAATGATTTATCGACAACACTTGGACAAAGAAAATAACTAAATAAAATGTTTTTCGTGGCCGTCCGGGCTGGATGGTCATCCAGTTTTGGTGGTCTCCAAGCAGTACAGAGTCATGAAATTTGACCTGCTTATCTTTCTCAATACTTTATACGCCACTTTTTTAACAATGATTTCTTTCAGCTCAAACGTCAATCTGTTTGTTCTATATTGATAATTTTGATACAGACTTTAGTCGCTGATAAGCTCGGCCTTCATGGCATGCTACATGTGCATGTAATATCACTTGCGTATTAAATCTTTGAATATCTGGTCATGAAAATCCTGTAAAGAAATGTTTCTAATTATTTTTCAATTTCAGGCCAAAACATTCTCCAATTATTATGTCAATGTGTTTAAATTAATATAAACAAATATATTTGTATTTCTGTAATATTTTCAGAAAAATAAATAATTGCATAATCTCCATACTGCCATATGATATTTCCATATTTCAAGATAAACAAACAGAGGGCAAACGGTAAGTGCCTTTAGGATAGACTGGTTTTCCACTTTATTATGTATCCGCTTTTCAAATTTTGTCAAAAAATATTTTAAAGCAACCTTCTTCCCCACAAGTACAGTCTGTACGGAAAGAACACAGATATTCATCCCAGATCCAACTTGAATTTCGTGTAGATGTGTCAACATTTTGTGTGTGTTTTCGTTTAAATGATCTCTATGTGGCATTTTCCCACACAAACCGGAGAATTACCACATTAACAACTGGTACTGGTGCATGTCGTTTCCTTCTGTATTTTTAAAACTAAAATTAAGGACAGAAGAAGCACATAAACAATTGTATGTTTTCCCTGACAGACAAACTGAAAGTGGGACAGAGGGAAAACTTATAGTCTACCAGGACTAATAAATTTAGCATAAAAACTACATGGGGAAAAATATTTATTTCTAAAGAGTCAAAAATGAACATTTTTGATGATAAAATATCTATAATATACAAATCTGAATTTATTTGATACTTTTAATTTTAATCCATTGGGAAATATCCGGAAAAATTTAAATAAATTTCACCATTCTGTAACTTTAAACCTTGCCATTTTAATTAATGGTACATTTTGTATGTAAAATAAGTACACATGTAATTTGTAATTTACTTGAAAACAAAGTTAAATACACAACATTGTTACAGAAAAGGAACAACCAAATATTTATACTTTAACCATCACTCAGTGTTGCATTTATCAAACATATCAGCAAATAAAATATTGAACCTCTTATAACCTTATTATACACAAACATGTAATTTTATAACATTATTAGCTGATATGTACAATTCAATTACATTATATAACTAATAATAACTCTCAAAAGAACAATTTATACACAAATGAAGGCTAGCAACCGTTTGAACTTTGGAATTTAATGTTGAACTTAGGAAAAAATGCACCCCTATCATCACCTTTGAGAGTTTGTTTCATTTTACGCCCTTTCCTCCCAACAGTATTTCAGTCATATAGGCGGGTAGTTTCCTAACCATCGTTCCTGGAGAGTTACACCAGTACCAGACTACCTTCCTCAGCGCTAAACTTCCAAAGCATCTATTGGGGATTGAACCCACGCCAGAGAGGTAACTGGATTAGAAGTCATCGACTCTAACCCCTCGACCACAGAGGCGGTTACCTTTAAGAGATGAATGAATTAAAACTACAAGTATAATAGAAAGAACTGTTATGATGTATTCTTAGCATATAAATAAATGTATAAAGAAAAAAAGAAAACATCAAAATATAAAGGCACATTATGCCTGAGAAATCAGATATTTTGAATTCTTTAGAAAGGTTGACCATGTGTCTAATAATGCTTTTGAGAGCATATTACATGTTAAACGCCTGAAGAGAAGAGCATGGAACATGCAGTAATGTGCAAAAAAGGTAGCAAAATGTTAACAAAGTAGTATTTTGACTTCCAGACAAAATCACTATACTGGTATTTATACCAAAGTATAAGAAACAAAAGATAGTAATTCTATATACGGTCAATGAGTAACTTATTGCAACTGTAACAAGATACCATAAATAAGAAGTTCTTAAGAAATACAAATGATGCTATTCAGGCACTTAATAGGCCTCTAAACTATACACTTAACATATATATCTGCAGATGTTTTCCTCTTATAGCAACTACCTGTAAATGGAAGCGGTCTCAGTGCCAAGATTTTCCCTAAATTTAAAAACATACAATATCCAATCCTTAGTCTTTCCTTGAAAAGTGTTTTTGTCTACTAAGAAAACCTTAAAATGATTTATAGAAGAATTATAATTTGAATACAAAAAATCTATTCCTTGAAGCGATTCCCTTATTTTCTATGTCTTTATTCGTTATTGTTAGTTACTATGGACACTTTACAATATATTTTTCCAATACCATACAGTAATGGTGGCATTCCTAAAATGTTGGAAAAGGTGTCTGGTGGTGACAGGTCTGTTATCTTTTATTCCTGAAAATTTAAGAGACCTGGGTTCATAAAATATTAATATAATAGTAACTATACCACTTAATTACAAATATTACAGCAGGAAATTATGTGACCTACAGGTTAACTTGATTGTAGAAGTAAAAATTACTGAAAATTTTAAACAGGCCAGTTAATATAGATTGTGCACCAAGGTTTAACAGTACCATACACAGTGTTCCTCATAGACAAATGATTTCTTCAATCTATGTAAAATAAGAACACACAGTGACACTCATTTAATGATATATAAAAAAAAAAAAAAAAAAAGAGCATAGCATATGATGTTAACACTTGTCTATCAATTTCAAAATAACAACTTTTGACAAAAATTTCCGAGTGAAAAAAAGAGCATAACTCCAAATACATAGCTTTCAAAATTATACTGAATTATTACCATGATAAGCAAAGATTTCAAGTTTCATAAAGATATGTTTAAATTTGTTTGACTAACAGGCTACATTTTTACATCATGACAACAAAGATGACAATGATGCCAACAGCCAATATTATAGCTCGACTTTTTCTTCAAAACAGACAAGTTAGAAATTGATACATAATTCTTTTATATTATTCTCCAAACAATGTAAACATCTGATAAACAAACCTGACAAATATAAGAGAAATAGTCATTTACATGTATCTTACATAAATTTGATAGTTGTGACCAAGTCTCTTTTATAAAACTTATTATCTAAAACTGAATCTGATTATAACTGCTGATACATTTAAGTACTGTACAGAAATGCAAAAGTTGGTCCGAAGAAAGGCCTTAACAGAACATCGTCGGATACCCACGGCCGAACCATTAACATTGATTGCATGTTATGTGACATGTTTATCAATCGTGGGTATCGGACTATGTAACAGTAAATACCACTTAACATTTCTTCGATACCACTTCCACATTACTAAGAATTCATGCTACCCAAGTTATTCCAATGACAAAATAACAGAAAGAAAAGATTTCTTTCTTTTTAGCTTTTAAGTTTTGCATGATTTAGTTTATATCTATGTATATCATGTTCATCGTCAAAATACACATCACCAGTCAAGAAGTGTCTCTCAGACTCCCTATACCAATCTTCAACATCAAATTCTGGAAAGAAAAAGTTCATTTCTTTCAACGCAGTTTCATCAGAATCGGATCCATGCGTTGAATTTCTTGTGTCTGTCAGACCAAATTGTCCCCTAATACTGTTTGGATCCTCATGTATAGTTTTAAATACTTTAGTTGCTCCCATTAGCTTTCTCCACTCTGCTATGGCATTTTCTCGAGCCAGAATATGGGTACTGATTGGTCCACTTGACATAAATGACACCAGTCTATTGTAAAAAAATCGCCCTTCATGCTCCCTGTAGAAGTCCTCGACTCTCGCTCTTGGTAGATGCATTCTTTTTGAGCGAATAAACAAGAATTCTTTTTGATGAATAAGTTCTTTAATCTGATGAACTAGATGTGGATGAGAAACCACATTAGGTTTTAATATTGCAAGGGTTAATTGTAAACTTTTTCTTGATGCTGATGACATGTTTATTCTTGTGAGCACAATTTCTTTTTTTTTTAACACAATGATAAACTTCTAGCAGTCAATCACTAGTTCATTGACTTTAAAAATCACACTTTTAAGCTGCAAAATTCAGAATCAAGTTTACTTGTTTTTCACTCCAGGATCTTTCATCAGTTTTTCAAAAATTTGTTGATTTCGCAACTTGGAAGCTTCAAGTTCAGAACGTGTCATTTTATATTTCTGAAAAGGAAATAATAAGTATGATGTTGAATATCACCAATAACAGTGAATCATGTCAGAATGTATGGTTGTTGGGTTTGTATATTTTGGCATTTAATGATAAATTACTCACCAATTAAATGCCATCATACATTGTATGTGTTAAAAGATTTTTTACTGAGGCTTTACAAATGAAATACATGTATCCAGATTCAGCACCTCCTCTCCAGATTCAAATTAATTCCTATCAAAGTTTTAAGCTGTTGTAAATTACTAAATAGAAAATAAATCATGTTGTCAAGTAAACAAATACAATGTATTAACATAACAGAAACTATTTCAATATAAAACATATACAAAACACATATATAAGATAAACTAAAATAGCTTAAATGGCCCTTAATTAACAGTAAGCTCGAAGAGCTGGCCCAAAGGGCATGCTGGCAAAGCGAGCTTTATGGTAACGCGAGTACCTGCTAGATAGTGTTGGTTTTGAAAACCTTTGCCAACATTTTTCTGATTATGTAATTATGTTATCAAGGAAAGCTGTTTAAAATGAAAAAAAAAACAAAAACAAAAACAACAGAAAAAGTTAATATGTTTTGCTTTTTTCAAAGTGGGCCGAGTTGACCTGTGCCGAGTTGACCCGTGCCGAGTTGGTATAGGGCTGAGTTGACTCTTTACCTTGGACTAGACATATAAAATAAAATATATCCCAGTACAACCAAACTACGTCTACTTTACCACACTTCTGGTTTAAGGTTTTTAGTCAAGAAAAATGTTGGCAAAGGTTTTCAAAACCAACACTATCTAGCAGGTACTCGAATCTGGAGACATGTATTTACTTTGTAAAGCCTCAGTAAAAAATCTTTTAACACATACAATGTATGATGTACATAATTGTACATTGTATTTCTGCAGAATTAATGTATATTTAGAAAAAAAATTCTTATGTTTATTCGTGCAGATTCGTTAAAAATTACTATGATACAATTGTGTTCCTTTTGGTGCTTTTTGTTTCAATGATGCTTTTTGTTTAAATAAAATATGATATAAAAACTTGTTTACTTATAATATTAAATATTTTAAATGTTTGTTCTTTATCTTACATACATAAAACAACATTTTATACATTTATTTACATGCAATGTATTTTGCTTTGTCCCAAGAATGGGTTGTAATTTTTTTTATTACCATAATCATTTAAATCGCGTTCATTGCCAAAAATTTAATACTTATTTAAGAAAACATCTTTACACATTGATGAATAAGTCCAGATATTAATTATGTGGTTCCAACAAAATAAACCAAAATTTTAATAAATTGAAAAGTGGGCCAAGTTGACCCGTGCCAAGTTGGAATATGGCCGAGCTGACTCGGGGGATCGAGTGCATTTTAAGGCTGAGCTGACCCTGATTCCCCGTACAAGTCAACCCGGCCTGAAGAGAATCCTGCCCCAAATTAGTCAATCCAGCCCCAATTCAATCTGATATCTGGTCAACCCGGCCCTATGTTTATTATTAGTTATTTGCCACTAATTTTTCTTCATTAACTTTTTCTACTCAAGAAATAATGTAAATAATTATTATTGCAAGATAAAAAAAGATTTATGATATCTAGAATCACATTAGCGGTTGTCATCAAAACTAGTTAACTAATGTGCTTTATTGTTTAATTACCAACTTATTTAAAGAAAAGGTGATGATTTTAAAACAAATCTTTGAATACATTCTCTTGAGTTGTTTATCTTAATAATTATACACATTATTTCCTGAATAGAAAAAAAGATAGAAAGATAATAAGAAAACGTAAAAAAGAAGTGCTATATTAATAATATTTAAAAATTTCTCTATTCTCTCGATTTCGGGTCTATACATGTACCTACAGACACAGTTTTAATAAGGGCTGAGTGTTGTGGACAGCTCTTTGTAAAGGTACATGTGGAAAAAGAAAACACATAGAGTAAGCACGGATGTAATATAAATCCGTGGAGTAAGTCCTAAAATATTTCCAAAGTTAGTTATTAAAAAAAAGTATTTCATTATTTTTTCTCTTGATTTACTAGTATAGTAACGGTACCAAAATAGACATCATAAGTTAAAGCATTTTCATATTTAGGAAAATATATTTTCGAATTTACATAAAATAAAGATATGAAACAGGCTAAGGTTTTTTCACAATTAATATTTCTTTGTTTATTGTTTGCCCTTACTTATTTGTTCATCACTTTTGAATACGTGCATACGATCACACATAATAATTATTATTGAATTTTATGTAATCATTCATTATCACTATCATGTATAAAAGCAATTAAGCCTAATAATGTTTTCAATAACTTTATTACATGGTTCATAATCTTCATTCAGTAAAGTTTTATTTATTTGTAAATATGAAATTATTTATAATTTTTTTTTTTTTTTATTTTTTTTTGTGTAATAAATATATCATTTATATGAAAGAAGCAAAATATTGTCTAAAACATAATAATTTAATTTAATAAGATGTTCTCTGAAAATCATTTTGGGGCCGGATTGACCGATTTTGGGGCCGCATTGACTTGAGGCCGGGTTAACTTGGGCCGGGGATAGGAAACAAGACAACTCACCCCCCAGATGATTCACCCCTCAAAAAACCAAGACAACTCACCCCTCAAGACAGTTCACCCCCCAAAATTGATAAGACAATTCACCCCTCATGTTTATTGTTTAAAAAAAATTAAAAAGTCAATATATTTATTGATTTATTATTTATCTATTATGTCATATTTATTCACAAAATAGATCTATAACGAAAACAAGCAAGTCAAGTTTCAAAATTTGATATATATTTATTTGTTATGTTATAAAGGCTCTAATTTTATTCAATCAAATCAAATAGCACATAGTTTATATTGAGGGAAATGCCCATAATGTATACACTTTTCATAAACATGTTATCTATCATTTATTTAATGGTCTTGATATTTTTATTGTATATATAATGCAAACAGAATAATTTAATTATCCATTATCTTAAAAGTGCTGTAAAACATATTGTTTATTCTAAGCACATAACACCTTGTTGTATAATCAATTAAGGAGGGAAAAAGTGTTAAAGGGATTAATGACAGGGATAAAGGGCTATTAAACGTATACAAACATCCACTCGAAATGTCATATTACACAAGACAGCATGTCTTGAATAGCTCCTCAAAAAATTTATTTGTAGATGATGTGTCATAAGCATCCAATGAGTTGTTTGAATATTGAATGGGTTACTTTAATTATCAATTCTACCAGGTACGTATATAAATATATACGTACCTGATTCTACATAATTTAGCTTTTCAATTTCACTTGTAAAATATAATTAGAAATTTATCAGAACTTCAAAGATTTAAGATAATTACCATATCTATCCATCTACCTAGATTAGAGTCACTTAACACCTAATTAGAGCAAATGATTATCACATGTTAATATCTTTGATATGTCATCTTATAATAACATCAAAAGCACTTAAACAAATTAAGACAAATTTATGGTGAATATGTAATTTTTACAGTTTTTATGTAAAATAATATGTAAAAATATTAACGCATAGTAACAAATATTATCTTTCAGTAATAAATTATAATAATTAGTTTAAATATGACTTAATATTTTATAAATATCAATTAAGTAAAGAAACACAACACATTTCTTTATTGCATCTTCTAATTCTAAGATAAATTTCATCAAAATTAAATTTAAAGAAATGCGGGGTGAATTGTCTGTGTCATTTTTCCAATAATGTGGGGTGAACTGTCTGGTGTGTTAATTGTCTGGAAAAAATGGTTGAGGGTGAATTGTCTGGGGGGTGAGTTGTCTGTAAGCCTATAGATATAGCTACTCAGTAGATCTACTGCATTTCATTTTGATTTTAAAGGCGTTTTGAGCACCACACACCAAGTCAAAGTGTCTTATGTCAGAACTCAGAATCTTAAGTTGCAAATACAATACAACTGAGATCAATATTAATGCTGTTTACGTAATTTATTTGATACCTTCATTGCCTCCTCTTCAGAAAGGTTGTGACAATAATTTGTGAAGTAGTATTGGAATCCAACAGGCGTCAGAATTGTAATAAGAGAAAGAGTGACTTTCGTTATCGTTCGCATTTCTACTGATGTATCACACAGTCAGTTAGCCTAAAAAGCATGTAAGGAACAATTTTATGGTAATCACTTTCTGACATCCCTTTCCTGGAGGAGGCGGAGTTTCGAAGTCACATGCTTATGACATCACAGAAAAACAAGATGGAGGCTTCCAAAACAGAGGCGCGGGAAATAGTCCAGAAAAAATACCATTTTTCTGGTTCAAACTCCCTTCAAAAATTAGAAGACAGCATCTTTCAACACGAGAAACAAACCAACTCTCTTTTCGTGTAAGTAAAGACCCGTAAATAAGCTTAAGATACCCTGGAAGTTTAATTCTATTATTGTCAATTTTGTTAGAAAATATACCGAAAAGCGAACGGAACAAATACGCGGAAAGTGTTACTGGACACACAGGGACCCCTCGTGACCTCCCCACTCACAGGCACTAGACATAATTATTTTACCCATATACGCTCATAATACTATATATAAAGAATTTTCTTTATATATAGTATAATGAGCGTATATATCAGTGTTTATTCTAGGAGGGGGGATTCACCCCTATTTTTGAGAATTCACTCCTATTTTTTCAGAGGCAGGGGGAAAATTTTACATAGAGAAAGAAGGGAAAAGATCAACAAATATAATAAATTCTGACTTTTCGATAAAAATCCCCCCAATTTTTCGAATCCTAGAATAGACCCTGGTATATGGGTAAAATAATTGTGTCTAGTGCCTGTGTCCCCACTGGCACTGTAGAGAACTGTCTGTATTTGTGCGATATTTTGCAGACAGTTTCTCCCCATTTTATTCTTTTAAAAAGATCGATTTTTTCTTAGTTGTGTGGTAAGGTATGGTAGTGTAACCGTAATTCACTTTAGTTGATATAAATGGGTTGACGTAGCCTACAGAGCCCCCTCTTGACTAGATCTACCGGGTTGAGACAACTCGGCCCTATACCAGCTCGGCACGGGTCAACTTGGCCAACTGAAAAAAAAACATTAATTTTTTTCTGATTACTTGCATGTTATCAAGACCATCTAATGTATTATAAATGAAAAATAAGAGATATCTGCAGATCAGGTATACTATTATATTATTGTATCCCTGTTTCTCGTATTTTTGTGGTTTCTCATATTTTCGTGGAATTATTAAAACAGATGGAAGCGACACTCGCGACTTCTGTCGATATCCGAAAACATGTCTATTTAGCAGAGCTGTTTTGTCTCTGGCAAAAATAACGAAAGAAATGCGACAAAAACAGATAAAAAAACAAAATAACTGTGGAAATTATTGCAAAGTCTAGAGGAAAACATTAAATTAATCAGTTTTTTCTCCAAGATCATCAATTTTTTAGTTTTTCCCATGTTGCAGAAACCTGTATCAGGTCTCTAACACAAGGCGCTTTAAATGACGGTTTCACACTACTATATGTACAATACAGCTCAAAGCATTTGTTCCACAAATAGATAATATACAAATCATATGAACTCCAATTAAAAACCAATAATGAAACATTATTTATCCTTAATATAAATTTTTAGTTTTGACAACAAAACAATAAAACATATGACTACAGTACAATGAAAAACTGTAGTATTCATTGCTAAATGCTTATATAACTAATAAGTAAACATAAACATAAAATATTTTAGAGGGATAATGTAAACAACAACACATAATTGAGTTCAAACTATTTTTAGAACAAACCAAATCATGTGGTACCAAAAAGGCGTCAATATGATCCTAAAAGTTTGATTATGGCCTACCAAGCTTTTATTAAAACACAAAAAATTACAAAGCTAAGCTATTTAACACTTAATTAGGAGTTGCACTAATGATTTGAACTGGTGTGTAGAATAAAATCATCACAGAGCGACCAGCCTTAACAACCAATCAAATTCCACGATAATATGAGAAAGCACCTGCTTCACATAAAGGGTGAAGGTCAGCATATACAAGCGGAAATAACTTAAGTTTTGCTTTCGGTTACGATCTTTCTTCATTTATATTGTCTTAAAAGGGCATTTTTCTGTGTATCAGACTAAAAAATACTGTACCAAAATGTTTAATAAAAATTATCCAACCAAGTTTAGGCCTTAGCCCCACTATAATACGAGAAAACAGGATACATAGGATGGTCCCCTATGGTACCACTGTTCTTATTATTTCCAGCAAATTGTGCAAATAAAAAGAACTTGTATTTACTATTTTATTGAATTGTGTTTTGTTGTCGCATCTTGACATTAAAATACACATGTCATTGATAGAAATAACTCCAAAATTTGAATGGGAGCTTAAATGGATATCACTATGGTACCGTTATATGTTAATTGATGGCCCTTTTTTAATTCAGTATAATTGTTTGTAACAGAATATGATGTCACTACAGTTTCAGCAGACGACCTTCACTTGTCGGAACATGAAATTATAAGTTTAAATGTTAAATATTGGGTAAAATAAAGAAGTATTTTTAACACACACCGGCAGCTTTGGATTTTCCTATCAATGACAGAATTTATTTGAAATGAAAAAAATTCTATCCAAATTCACAAAAATCAGCACTTCCACTTTCACGTTAATGAATAAATTAGATGGAAACAGTATTTGGTGGCATTCAATGTGTAAAGAAACAAATTTTCTAATTACATCGGAATGGGCAAGGACGCGTTACCTGCGGGGAGTACTATACTACATTGTATCTAATCTCATGCAAACTAGTAAGGGTGTAACGGTTTACCGGTATACCGATATATTGCAATATGAAAAAATAAATTTCGTACCGCGGTACGATTTTTGGAAAACCGGTATTTTATAAAAATCATAATTTTCAATTAATTGCCTTCTAATTTTGTACAAATTTCACATAAAATCTTTAATTGGCGAATTTTGTTGGCGCCAACGTAAGATAAAAGTATCCGCCAACTAGTACACTTAAAAATAATAAGCGGCCGCATAATTTACAATTTTACATAAGCGGCCCAGATGTGAAAGGTCACACGCGACTAGTTTTGTTTATCAAATTGTGTGACACTTTACTTTCTATTTATTCCTTACATTTTTATTAAGTTTCTACTAAAAATATATACATATAATAATAGTATATGAATGTTACTCCATCTTTACATCAAAACAAATACACGACAATACGTATTGCAATATATTGCAATACGCTTCAGCAAAATGGCAATATATTGCAATACGGTTTTTGCTGTATTGTTACACCCCTACAAACTAGTTAAATCCGCCCAAAGTCAGATCGGCCCCAAGTCAAATTGGCTCAAAATCAGTCGAATCGTCCTCAAAATTAGTCAAATCGGCCACACAACAATTTTAAAAGTCAAATCGGCCCCAAAACTAGTCAAATCGACTCCAAAACTAGTCAAATTGGCCCCAAAACTAGCAGAATGGGCATCAAAACTAGTCAAATCGGCCCTTAAGTTATTTGTTGGTTATTGAAATGACTGATTATTGTATAGACTGTGGAAGTGTTGTGAGGAAACGGCAGGAGGCAGTCACTTGTGATGCTTGTGACAGATGACAACATAGGAAGTGTAATACCGGTGAGTTACTTTAATTGACAAAACTTCAGGAGTAAAAATATTGCCATTACATTTGAAAATATATCATCATGAGATTGACTAACAGGTTTAAATACTTAAAAATAATGGTGCATTAATTGCCCTAGCAAAATAATTTAAAAAAAACAAAACATATCTATATCTAAATTCAATTTTTAAAGAGCAGTTTTTACCTTGACTTTTTTTTTTTGAAAAAAAAGTAGAGGTATTGCTATACTAGTCTTATTTCTTGGTGTATTGTCTTCATACTTGGCCACAACAACCCTTGGGACAAGACCTTTCAGTAGACCACACTAACCTTGACCTTCATCCATAAATGACTTTGACCTTCAAGGTTAAAAGTCCAAATTTTGCTTGTTCATGCTGTTATTGACTGTAACTTTGTTATTTTTGAATGGATTGTCTTCAAACTTGAACATAATAATCTTCAAGGATATCCCTTAAAAATAACTTGACAGACCTTGACCTTCACTCATAAATGACCTTGACTTTGAAGGTCAAATTATTGAATTTTAATTTTTTTGGCTATTATTGGCTGTAACATTGTTTATTTTTGAATGGAACATAATAATCTTCTAGGATAACACTTAAAAATAATCAGACAGACCTTGACCAAATCACTCATTAATGACCTTGACCGTTTCATTGTTTTTTGCTGTAACTGGCTGTAACTTTGCTATTATTGAAGGGATCAACTTATATTATAACAAAACATACTTAAGATTGTCTTCAAACTTGAACATGTCACCACCACGTGACACCACATGCACCAGCCAGATCACCACCATGTATCACCACACATGAACACAATGTGACACCACCATGTGATTACCACATGTCAACACCAACATATTGTGCGTGTTTCTATTTATAGAATTGCGTGTTTCTGTTTATATATATATATATATATATATATATATATATAAATTAGTTTATTCAAAGATTTTGTTCAAACATTCCTTTGTTTGCTTTTAGAGAAAATTAAAGTCGAGCGTTGCCCCCGTCTGGCGGTGGCTCTTGTTTCCTTGTTGCCATGACAACCAGAGTTCTGCTTATAATTTAATTCTTTGAACAATTTTTGAACAAAGTTGACTACCAAAGGAACATTCCTGTGAAGTTTAGATGGAATTGGCTTAGCGGTTTAAGAGGAGATGTTGTTTAAAGTAAAAGTTTATGGACAGACGGCTGGACAGGTGAGCTTAAACAAGCAAAAACTTGATTGTCCTGCAAGAATAATTATCAAGTCAATAGTTTGATTTCCAGTTTATATGTAATGCCACTCTTAATTCAGGGTTCCCACGGTCAGGGAAAAGTCAGGGAATATTGAAATTGGTCAGGGTAACTTGAAAAATAACCAAGTCAGGGAATTTTGTAGAAAAATTTTTTTGTCAAACAGCAAGAAGCAAAATCAGTAAAAGCTAAGGCAGTTTCTTCCATTATTTTGGGTATCTTTATTGTTATTTTTGATTATGAGCTTCTGTTTTATTTTTATA